ATGTATGTTATCCCAAAGTTCCGTAGCCTTTGCTGTTCAAACACATTACAAGACTATGTTTTAGTCCAAAAAACTGCTGTTTTGAATTATATTCCAGTGATCGCGGCTGATGTATTGCTCCGATAACTTCCATAGTTTCAGTAAATGTGAATAGGATATATCTAGCTTGTTTGAGACAAAGAACACTCTTATCGACATGCACTTCCCAGAGATATCAAATAAGTTCTCATCAACGGGACATATGAGATGCTATTAATCAGGCGCCGAGTCACACAACTCAGCGCTCCTCTGCTTTGCGTGCATCGAATGAAGGGCGGCGCTCGGGCGGCATTGCCTGATAAGATCATCTATTATCCATAGAAGGGAATCACGCTGATCTGTGACACTGGCCAAAGGACCCAGGACCGACTGATACTATCGCGACCCCAGTGTTCGGACGACAAGGCGCCCACCACATGATTCCTTTGATCTATGTACCTTCCTATCCTCCGATAACATTCATTTTTTGCATGCAAGCAGTCACATATAAAATTATGCTGCATGCCAAAGATGAGATATATTGGAGAAGAAATGAGTGTTAGAGAGGGGGGTATACAGGCCTGACCCCAGTGTTCGGACGATTCTCCGCGCAGAAGGTGACGAATCGTCACGCTTGCCGAGCCCTGCCGGCCTTCGGGAATGTCCGTCATCCAACTTGATGAGCCTTAGCCGAGCAGCCTAACCAGGTCGGAGAGTGAAAATGTGGCTGCACTGTCACGCCCTCGAGGGCCAAGTCTTGTTTCTCCCATTTGTGCACCAGTGAAGGCTTCGGAGAATTGAGTCCTGGGTATCATGGGTGTGTATGAGTACGTCTGAGAAACATGAAAGGAAGCGCCCGAGGAGGAGCTCGGAGCGAGACTCATCAAGTTTGAATAGGGATGAGTTGCACCACTTCCTCCTGCAAGATCGCTGCAGTGACTCTGTGAATAAATTTGGTTCTTTTTTCTGCTTGTTTGGAATGAACTCGCGCACCTATTTGCCAGCTTGCAGCTTTATCGGGTGGAAAATGAGGGAGACATGGTCCTTTGTCCGAACACTAGGGTCTGTCCGAACACTGGGGTCGCGATAGTAAGCAGATTCGACAGTGATTCATTACGATCTCCTTTACACTGTTCCCAATCGTGCTCATACTTCTGGTGTAGTTACATGATACCGTATTGATTCAACCTAGATATTCCGATCTATGGCAGGAGGGGTGTGTGTGCTTCACACAGGTGAACGAAAATTGGGCGGCCAAAGGACCCGGGTAAGACTGTAGATCTCGACACCGAACGTGGGCCTTCATGCACATGGACGGAAGTGGTAGTCGGACATTTGACAAGCAATTTCGACGTTCAACGTTCAAGGACCATCCACTATGTATATATGTACAGCCCGGGATGCAACCAATGCTACAACTAGAACGACGGACATGTGATAAAAATACAGCGGGACGACCTCCAGAGGGTAACAGAGACAAAAGAGCGACCACAGACAATTACGTATATACGGACAGCAATGGGATGGACTACTGACTACCCTTGCTATTATGATAGGTCGGTCATGTGGGTGGGAATACAGTATGGTCTGCTAGAAGATACAGCGCAAAGGCGATGCGAGTGTTCAACAATGGACGGAACGAGAGCTGGAAGATAGAAGGAGAGAAAATGGAGAAGTACCCATGAGACGACAGGGGAGAGACGTTACGACGTTAGACCGCAATTGCCGTCGCGAACGGGTCCGAATCCGGTCGCCTCGGGGTGGCAAACGGGTTCTGTGCTGTACGGACGTTGTATGGCAGGCCGCGCGGCCACGACGCAGCCGGGGCCGGCGCATTCGTAGCGTGCACACGGTACTCGTCGTCAAAAGGCGTCACGAACGGGTCCACCGCCTGGGAGGACTTGCGCGCGTGGGTCGTCGTCAGGAGTCGTGTCACGGGCGTGGAGGTATCAGGGTCCACCCGCTGCTGCTGACGCTTCGGCGGGAGGACGGCAGGGGGCTTCAGGTACTGCGAGGATGTCTCGGTGGGCGGCAACTCGAGTCCCGGGGGCGGTCGCTCATAACCGTAGTAGAGGGGAAGAGGAATCCCGGTGGCCTTCTGCTGAGGAGCCGTCGGCTTCACGCCCTGCGACGTTATGGGCTCTGCCCAGGGCTTGGACGGAGGCATCATTGGGGACTCGTCTGAGGCAGGCGTCTGCACGATCGTGGGCAGATTGTCTGAAACGGCTGTGGCGATGTCAGTGGCGATAGACAGGTTGGGACGTGAGCGCGAGCGGCGATGAGGGCGGAGGTGGGACAACGCTTGCTTCTCGGAGGTTTGACCAACGGGAAGTCGATCCGCGAATGGGTCCTCCGGGAAGTGGGACGGAGATTGAGGTTGTGAGTTGAAGGGGTCCGAGAAAGAGGGGGTTGGGTGCGATGTTTCGGGATGAGTGAAAGGGTCATCTTGTCTGCGCTGAGACCGTTGCTCTTTGGAACGAGAAAGAGACTTGAGGAGTTGGGCATGCTTGGAGAATGGAGGAGCTACGGGCTGTTGGTGGTCATGACAGCTTAGCTAAGGGCTGTCCGGTGGGTACTGTCCAGGGAGCGACTCCGAACTTACGTGTTCGTGAAAACGACTTCTGTATTCAGCACCTCCAGGCTGCTGCGCTGCGCTAGACGTCACTTCCCGCTCGTCGACGTAGGGCAGATCTTCGACGACTGGAGCAGCCGCGTCTGCCTTCTTGGATGCCCCGAACAGCTTGCGCCAGTTGCCCTTGGCAGGCTGCGCGGCTTCGTTTTGCGTCTCGAACGCCGCCAATGTCCCGTCGTCGTCCGCCTTGAGAGCAGGCTCCCTACCCATCCCCTTGCGCCCCAGGGCCATCAGCTTGCGAGACTTGCCGACCTTGGAGGACGGCTCGCCCTCAGGCTCGTACGCCGAGGGGTCAGCGTTGTCCAGGATGTTGTCCCAGCTCTTCTGGTACACCGGGTTCTGCATCATCAGCGGACGCGGCTGAGAGAGGTCGCCGTCCACTTGCGGCGGCGAGCGCGCGTCCCTGCGCCAGGGGCCCTTCATCGAGCTCCAGAACAGGCCGCGCGAGGCCGTCGCCTTCCCGTCGCGCGCGTCCGCGTCCGCCAGCTGAACCTCGTACAAGTCCTGCTTCTCGCCCGCCTCCACATGCTTCCCTGAGCCGTACCCTCCATAGAGGGCGTCGACGCGGTCGCGGTCGTTCGGGCCACCGCCGCGACGCCTCGCACGCATGAGCATCGGACGGCCGTAGGACGCCCAGAAGAGGATGCAGAGCGCCATGAAGACGACGAAGAGCCAGAGGCCCGCGAAGATGGCGAACATGATGCGCTCCTGCTTAAGCGACTTGACGTACGCCTCGACGACGCGGCCGACGAGGCCCGTGTCGTCGCCGTTGCCCGTGCCCACGGCGGCCTGCGCGATCGGCTGCGCGGCCTCGTTGACGGACGCCGGGGAGAGCACGAGGACGGTGTCGTTCACGCGGGGGACGTCGACGTGGAGGTTGTCGTGGAGGAACGTGAGCGCGTCCTCGATCGCGTCGACCTTGGAGCCGAGGAAGCACCGCAGGAACTCCTGGAGGGGCTCGTTGAGCGGGGTGTTGTTGAAGACGGAGTTGACGACGTTCTGGACGTCGGTGTAGAACGTGTTGATGGTGTCGTTGAGCGTGGTCGTCGTGCTGTTGACCCAGCCGAAGAGGCCGTCGTTGATCGTCGACTGGACGGTGTCGACGCGGGTGTTGATCTGCGTCGCGTACGCCGCGGACTGGTTGTACATGCTCGCGTTGATGGACGTGGCGATGACGCCCGAGAAGTCCGAGACGGAGGCGGCTGTCTGCTGCTCAAATTTCGCCTGGATGGGGCCAATGGCGAGAAGCTGGAGTTCGACAGAGAGAAGGCCGAAGAAACCGATGAGGAAGCAAGCCATGGCAGGCGGGTGGAAGACGTAGTGGGAGAACCAGATGAGCTTGTCCTTCTTCGACTTCCTGAGCTTGAACACGAGCTCAAACTTGTTGACAACCTTCATGACAAGAGGGTGGCTCATCGTCCCCTCGACGGACATCAGGTCATGATCAGACATGCCGACCATAAGGCGTCCATCGGGTCCGCGCTGGGTCTTCACGTCAGGGTCGGCGACGAGGCCGTCGCGGATGCGCTGGAAGTGAGTCTTCAGGGCGCGCCACTTGTACCACTCGAGTGCACAGTTGGCAGCGATGAGAAGGACGATGAGGATGATCATGATGACGGTGCCGATCTTGACCACCTTCACCATGTCGCGTCCGAGGTCGTCTACGACTGACGTGTCCATCTGGTCGCAGAACGTGACCGTGTTCTGGGTGGGGAGCGGAAGTGCGCTGACGTCGAAGGAGAGGCCGCCGAAAGTATCGTTGATGTCCTTCTTCAACAGCTCGAAGGGCGTGTCCACGCTGGAGGAGTCCGTCTGTGAGTCATCATCCTAATGAGTGAGATGTCAGAATCTTACAGAGAGTCGATTTTGTCCTTCAGATCAGAAACGGAGGGAAGCGAGTTGTTTAAACTCTCCAGACCATCCGTCAAGCTCGAGGGCAGCGTAAAATTCCGTAGACTGTTCAAGCCGGACGTGTCGATGTGCCCTGGGATGGATATACTTCCGAAAGAGACTGTTTTGATAACTTTAGAGGCAGCGTCAATGAAGTCGTTTACCGCACTGGCTGCGGCATCAAGTGCATCAGCAACAGGACCTGCTGCGTCTTGGATGAGCGAGTTCGCCTGCGGGGTACGAGACGGTCAACATCGGTATTATAGGACATATCTCCTGCGGAGACACAAATGAGACGCACCTCATTCACAGCACTGATCAGCAGAGAAAGCACAGCGCGAACGATGAGCTCGATGAAGCAGAGAAATGTGGATCGGTAAATGTCTATGACGAAGTTGATAATCGTCTCCATAATGGTAAGCGCCAAGACCATCGTAGCCCGAGCAGCGTTCATCGTCCCGTTCACCGCATCTGTGATCTGCGCATTGGTGGCAATCGCAAGATATCGGGGCATGCTCGCCGCTGTGGTAGCCGCGTGTTCTGCGGCCTTACAGCTCGCGAGCAAATCGTTCTTCGCATTAGCGACGGCGTCTTGCGCAGAGGTCGATGACAGCTGCAACCGGAAGACGACGAAGATGAGAGAAAGGATGGGGTAAGCAAGCCATGTCAAAGACAGAAGGTGTGGTAGTTGGAGGTAAGGACGAATGTCGTGCGCGTAGTCCACAGATTCGATCCTGGAGGTGCTCATCGGTGAGGAGGGGTCGACCGGCGACTAAGTGGTGAAAGTCTATGGGGGTCGTCGACGGACGTGCAAGAGAAATGAGGGGATATGTCCCGGAGGAGACGCAGGTGATGTTTCCGAGCCGCGCATGCTTTTGAGAGTGTGTGCGGTCATTGTGTTCGGTCGGAGACCTGTGCCCATTGTTCTTCAACACAATAGACAGCCCAGATATGGACAGCGGTGCGAGCAAGCGCCGGCGCTCACTACATACTTGCCGCAACATGTGGACATTGATCCGCCTCTTCTGTTACGTGTTCCCTCAATCTCTGCTATCAGCAGGAGCAAGTCCGGGTGTCCAGAAGTGCCAGAGGTGGAATATCGCTGGTGAGAGAGCGTCGTGGCGAGGTAGACTCAGCAGGCAGCATGCATACACACATTAATCCAGCCTTAGGTTACCTAGGCCTATAGACAACACTAACTATTCTCATCGTTGGTAAGCTAATGCAGTTCGCTACACAACGTGCACGTTGCGGGCGGTGCTGGGATGGAGACATTTGGTGAGTCCCGCATTCGGTGAAGACATAGGAATGTGAATCTCAGACTTCGCTCATGCCCACCCCTCCAGAGCCCTCTAATGCCAACTAAGCATGACCTCGGGGCGTTCTCTGCTATGCAGTGCACAAGTGCGCACATAGCAGTTGTAGTAGAACGGTCGCGCTGCGGTGTGGGGAGATGCCGAAGAGCTGGCCGACAAGGCAGCGATCGGGGGAGGGCTGACAGAACTCAACCTCCAGAGTCAACCTCCTACGGCTGACACTCTTCCTGACCCTCCCCTGCCATATAAACACGCGCGAGCCGCCATCTCTCATCCAGCACCAGCTTTCCCTGCGACGACGACCACACCCCCGCCACAGCTCTACCCCACGCCCGCAAGGCCTCACGATCTGCACGACATCCTACGCTCGTTTCATCCTGTCTCTTCGTCATGATAGCTCCCGCTCTTCTGTCCATGTGCGCCGCCGCGCTCATCGTCTCAGCCTCCGCCGCCCCTATAGAGATGAAGACTGCTTTCAACGCCCTGCCCGCCGTTGGTGAGATGACACTTGCAGTCCTCGGGCCCTCCGAGGTGCCCAATATCTTTGGCGAAGGGCTCGGTGGACTTCCAGTGCCCCTGAAGCGGACGCCGACCCCCGAAGACGTGTCCCGCCCCATCCAAACCCTTCGCACCGACCATCTCCTCCGCCTCCCCCGCAACGCCAACTTCCGCGAGGCCGACTATGGCGTGAACCCGGCAGCAGCCTTCCAGACCATAGTGCCCATCGAGGCCATCGAGGCCGTCCCGTCTGCTGCTACCCCCGCCCCGACCAACGCTCCACACTCCCGACGTGGCCAGCCCCCAGCTGACTGGCGCTTCGCCGCCGACATGCCCGACTCCACTCCTCCCGCTCCCTCCCCGACGGGGCTCCTCGCCGGCGCGAACGGTCTCGGCACGTCGAAGCCGAACAAGCTGGATGCGAACAACCTCCCTCTCAAGCCCGACATGTCGCCGCCGTTCCGGGTCGCGGCGAGCGGTCTCCAGGATTTCGGCGCTGCGAGGTACAACACGTCCAACATCTTCCACCAGGCCCTCGGGGCGGCTTTCCTCAAGCCTGACGAGACGGCGGCGGCTGCCCCGGCAGCACCTGCGATGCAAGCGGTCCCTCAGGTCGACAAGGCGGGCTCGACGCTCCCGAACGTTTCCCAGGTCGACAAGTCAGGTTCGACGCTCCCCAAGGTCAACAAAGTGGATTCCACCGTTCCCAAGGTCGATAAAGCAGACACCGGCGTCCCCAAGGTCGACAAAGTAGACTCCAACGTCCCCAAGGTCAACAAAGTAGACTCTACCATCCCCAAGGTCGACAAAGCAGGCTCTGCTTTCCCGACCTTCCCGCAGGTCAACAAGGCGGACTCGGCGATTCCGAACGCCAAACAGCTTAACAAGGCCGGCTCAGCAGTCCCCGACGTGCAGCAGAATATGGGGGCCGTCGCGCCCAACCATCACCGCCGTCTCCTCGAGCCCACTCGGTACCTCACCAACGCTGGCGCCAGTGCCGCCGCTCTCCATAACGTCGCGCGGGCGAAGGAACCCGTCCAAGAACTCTCTCAGGCTACGAAGGCGTTCCTGCCCCGCCACATCTTCGAGCTCAACACGGACGCGCTCCTGCCCCCTGCGCAGAACAACAATGTGAACCTCTCGGACCCGCTCACGGCGTATGAGTACGAGCAGAAGAAGCACGTCGGCCTCATCAACTTGGACAGCAACCGCCCTCCTGTACCCCCGGCCACCCCGTCGCTCGCCGCGCTCAGCCCTGCGACCTCGGACGCTTCGGAGGACGTCGACAGGGTGCAGACTGCGACGCAGAAGGCGGACAAGGCGTCCATGAAGGCGAAGAAGCTCGCCGGGAACGCGCAGAAGATCACTGGGAACTCGGATGTAATGACTGGGGGCGGCACGGCGACCGGGGGAAAGAAGAGCGTTTCTAGCGCGAGCAAGGCGGTCAAGAATGCGGCCGTCGTGCCGAACACGAACTCAGCGGTGAAGGGTGCGAGCAAGATGGTTACCAAGAACAGGAGGCTCGCGCCGGTTCCTAGGTCTTGATAGAGGAAGGACGAGGAGATGAGGGATGTGGGGATGTCGTATCGCAAGCGATCACCCTGGAGTGTCCTTTGGAATCCAGAATCTATGGTACAAGTAGAGCATAGCATTACATGACAGAGACAGAATACACGGGCATTACCAGATAGCACTCAGCGACAGGGCGTGCGTGTGGACATCTACATGAGCTTGGCTTCCTTCTTTGCGAATTGTACTTGGGAGAGCCTGTGGCTGCGTAGCGTCATCTGCGTGCTCTGTGCGCCGCCCTTTTTACCAGACGTCGTTGTGGGTGCTGCCGGGGCAATTGCGACCTGGGACAGCGATATTCGCGCCTCGTCTGAGGCAAATCCAGGTATACGAATGTTGTGGTTGCGTTCTTGCAGAAGCAAGGAGATGAGCATGTATGCATATATACGTCGTTGTATGCGCACCTAGGTGTAGTTGCAGGTCCTTGACCTCGAGCGTATCTCCTCCCCGATGCTTCGCAAGTCGACAGCCGAAGTTCGTCACGGAGTCGATGAACTCATCTGCGATGTCAAGAAGCAGCTGATATGTGTCCGTTCAGATTTTCATATTTTTCTGAGCAGGAGGAAAGGCACGTACATCCTCTACGTCTGGCTCGATCTTGACGTTTGGGTCGATGCTGGATACGAGGTCCTGTATGGATCTCCGCATGCTCTGATCGCCAGGCGTGTTCTTCCGTCGTGTCCGGTTGTCGTCCAGCGGCAGAACCGTCGAGTCTTCTGGCTTTGTGACCTGTGGTGGAGCACCTGTTCGTGGCCAGACCCGGCCTGCGTTCAGGCCCCGCATACATCTACCACAACATACAGCGACTTGCCTGTTATGCGGCCACTCGGGATACCACCAGTTAACGACGGCCGTCCTTGCTGAGCAGGCTGCCATTGTACCGGGCCCTGTTGAGTCACAGATGGAGTCTGGCTGATGGGGTACCCTTCGCTGACGGGCGAGGCACCGAGGAAGGGGCTGGGGTTCGTGGTCTTGAATGCCGCATTCGCAGCGGTGGCCGCAGCCGTCACGGCAGCGGAGGTGGATGCAGCGGTGGCAGACGGTGTTGCACCCTTCCGGGTACGCGTACGTTTAGCCGACTTGCGTGCTGGGACGCGTTCAGGGGGAAGACGACTCACCGGAGCGGGCGTGGCGGAAGTGGATCCTGCGGCACCTGCGACTTTATGCTTGTCTGCGTACTGCTTGAGCTGTTGGAGCATGTTTCGCGATCAGCATGGAATCGTTCTACCGAGAGCGGATCATATATGTGCGGCCGTCCTATTGTATCGTGGCTACATTGCCGAACAAGACCACGGTCACAAGAGAAGCGTAAGAGGTAAGCACCTGGGCTATTTGCTGATGCGTAAGCTTTCCCTGCTTTGCGAGCTCTCCCAGCTGGCTCATGTTCGCAATGAGCAGCTGGGCGATATGCTCGCCCGGAAGTGGGTCTCCATTCTGTGACTTGAACGCATTGCCGAGGGCGGTGATGATGTTTGTCGTCGTCGGGTTTGCAGCAGGCTGAGTGGGCGTCGGCTGATTCGGAGGATTTGCGGCCATGTGAGGAAACCCGAACTGAGAGCGCAGGTAGGAGAGGAATCAGAGTACGAGGTACAGTACAAGGCCCACGAAGGCGCGTTGGTGGCTGCAACGACCCGTAGTCGGGCTTCTGTCAGTACGCCGGGCACGTGAGTCCTTCCATATAAGGAAGTCCTTGTTTCACGCATGGCACGCAGTACACATGTCCTTAAGACCTCTGTTCCCCCTCGTCCTCCTCCTTCCCTATCCATCCCCTCCATCATGTCCACCGCTACCAAACGACCTTCGATCTCTTCGCTCCCGGACGATGTGCTCCTCCTAATTATCAGTTTCATAGATATACGGGATATCTTGTCCCTCCGCAAGGCATGCCCCTGCCCTCCGCTTCTGTCGCGTTCGCCATACTAACCAACCACCCCGCAGACGTCTAAACGCTTGTTCACCATGAGCAAGCTGCGCTGGGTCTGGTACGACGCCATGAAGCGCCATGTTATCCAGAGGGGGCTCCCCATCCCCGCTGCCGTCGCGACAGACCTCAAAGCCTTGACGGCGGAACACCTCGAGGCCCGCGCGGTGCACGCTGCGCACTTCCACGACAACTGGAACTCGGCACACCCGGTCGCGCGAAAGGCCGTCGAGTTCTGCGCGGTGAACTACATGGACGACGAGCTGCCGGACGAGCACCGGGCCGCGGTCACCCACGTCTCCTTCCTGCCCGGGCGGAACGGGCAGTACCTAATTACGGCCGTGGGACGCGTCTTGACGTGCTGGGAGGTCCCTCTAGGCGAGTCCGAGGCGTATCGGGTTGCAGAGTGGGTGTCGGCACGGAGGATTGAGCAAGTGATTGTGAATGACGACCCGAAGGCAGAAGTCGTCGTTGCATATGTCAGTGCGCACCCAATAACGTGCGTACTCCTCTCCGCCTGTTCGTCCGCTCGGCTGGGGCGATACTGAGCTATACCGGACCCTCCTTGTTGCAGTCAAGGTGCAGTGGAGTGCAGGGCATTCACGTTCGACAAATTCCACGGGAGGTTCAATTGTCGAATGGAGCTGCGTGCCCACCGCCAAGTTGTCATGTCCCTTCACGTCCTGCATAGCGATTATCTCATCTTTGGAGACCCGATGCATGTATGCTACCTGAGCGCGCCCACAATAGTTAAGCCGCTTGGGAAGCAGTCGTTAGCGGAGCTGCCGGTAAGTGGATAGTGGGGGATATTTGTTTGAAGTGGGGTACTGACCAGGATATATGCGAACTAAACAGGAGAACTTGGTACTGGCTGTCAAGCCCGTCAACCGATATCTCCTTATCGTCCGCCAGCGCACATTCGAGATCACGCTAGCCCCCTCGTGGAAGGGTCTCCGGATCCCCCAAGCCTCGCTCGTCGCCGCGAGTATGTGCATTGAGATGGACATACCTGCGTCGAGTTCAGTGATCGTCTTCCGCGACAATTCCCTTGTGGTCGACGAGGACCCCCCTGACTGGCCCAAGGATCCCGTCACTGTGTTGTCCCGCTATTCCGACGACGTGTTCGATACGGTGCACCAGTACGATCTGTTGCCGAATCCGAAGGCGAAGAACGAAGCTTCTGAAGATTCATCGAAGGGGTATAATGGGATGATGGACCGCCTCCCTTGCGTGTTTCCGTCGCAATGTACGCGCGTGCTTAACGTCGCGCCTTCGAGCTGCGATCTTCGCATCGGGCCCAGCGGGAAGGGATTCTGGACCGAGACGAGGAACATCACTTTGCGGCACGCCAGGACGCCCGCGCGATGTCTTGTTGGGTTCACGGTGAACCCAGGTCCATACGATACCGAGAAGAAGGCGGACGTCCAACCGGCGCATCTTGAGGTATGCAAGGACGTCCTCTATTCGCGCCGCTGCAACATCCACGAGATCCTCTGGAAGAAATACATGATCGCTTCCACGGCTCTGGAAGATACGGTCGGGCGGATAGCGATAGGTGACGTGACGGGGAGGGTCGAGGTGCTCGATCTCGCATGAAAAGGACGTGGACGACGGTCTCTGGTAAGATCGCGTTATGCGCGCGCTGTAGCTCTAGTGTATATATACCGCACTCCGTATACCCGCTGTATCCCTAGGTTACCTCACCATCGGTGAGCAGTTTCTCTGTATATGATCGAGGCTCGCGAAACAATAAGAACTGAGCTGCGATACTGGCCCGTGCGCGCGCTGCGTGGGAAAGCGCTACGCTGCGTGGGAAGGAGGAACACGTCGTCGACGTCGTCGGCGGAGTGCGCGCTCGGTCTCCTGTTTCCTCCCTGACCTCCCCCGCTAGCCCCAACCTCGTCGGGCATGACCAATGGACAATCTCGTCGCCATCGGCGTAGGTCTTGGGCTGCGCGCACTCATCGACGTCGTGACGCATCATAACCATCGCGTCAATGGCTCCCTCGTCGGCCTCTGGGAAGGCGCCGTTCTGCGTCACTTTATCACAAAATACCCTTCCTCGCTCGACCCCTACATCGCTTATGGCTTCAGGCTACTCGTGGACTTGCTATGGACGAACAGCTGGATGCGTCTCATCATTGTGGTCTTGTGGACACTGATGGGGATGGTACTCACCGATGTCGCGGTCGACCTTTACGCCGACCGCCGTTTCCGAAGACTCACTCGCGCGGTGCGTTATACCGTCATTTACCCCCTCTTGCGCCAGTTCTCCTCGTCGCGCAGGAGCTCGTCCTCTGCCACCCCGTCGCGCGTTCAGTTCTTCCAGATTCCCGCCACGACATCCACGACGTCCACGGCGCGCAGTCCAGGTACCCAGGCCCGCTCCCCTACGGATGTCTCGGGGCCCCCGCGCTCAGCAACCCCTGGTCCTGTTCGCCGTCCCGCTCTACGTGTGCCTGGATCGTTCTCTGCTTCAGAGACCGATACCGACGTGCCGCGCCCGCCTCCAATCTCGCGCGACAACTCAAGCACGTCCCAGCGGGATGGCTCTGTCACCTCAAGATCCTCTAGTTCCCGCACGCCTTCTGTTACATTCTCAGAACCTCTTGTCTCTCAAACACGACCCCTTGCGCGAGGCGAGCTTGTACGACGACCCTCGGGTAACTCTGCGACCCAAAGTATTGCTTCTGTGCTTTCCCCTCCCTCCTCCGTCGCTTCTCCCCCAGCCCACATCATCCCCCCTCCGGTCGCACGTTTCCCCCGTCCAATCCTGACCACGTCTTCTGCTGCGCCTACCCCGCCTCCCATTCGGCCACCATCCCCCGAGCTGGAGTACGTCTCCATTCCCTCCGCTTCCGCTATCCCTGCGATACCCGACAACATCGAGCAAATCAACCCCATCCGACCCGTCCTGTCCGACGACGAACGTAGCATCGGATCTCCCCTGAGCGGACGTTCAGGCCTCACAACGCCCAACGTCAACATCTTCAGCCCCCCGCTCCCCAACTCGGGCCTCACGACGCCCGAACGGCCGCATGGCGACCTCCCTTCCCAAGGATCGAGCACTATCACCGGAGGGTCAGACGCGACGGCGACCCCGCTGCCCATTCCAGTCCGCCTGCACGCGCGCGACGCCGATGATGCTGAGCAAGTAACAGCGTCGCTCCTTCACCCTGGTCTGCTCCCTGACATCCCTACCCCCCAGCCGAGTCCGGGCGTGGTAGTGCCTGTGGAGTACCTCCCCAGTCCGAGCCCCGAGGACGAGAAAAGACCGCTCCCGATCCGCATGTCCATGCCGGAGCCTCAAGTTGCCCCCGTCCTGACGTCTGATCTGGGGCTGGGTGGCGGGAGTCGGATGAGCGCGTCCGAGCCGCCCCCGGCGTACGAGCAGACCCCGGGGCAACAGGAGGAGGACGAGTCGGGGGAGAACACCCCGGCGGCGAGCGTGATCTCGAACGCGGCGGACCGCCAGCGGTTGCTGCAGCGTGCGGAGTCGTTGAGGAGTGTGGCGGACGAGGCGGACAAGCGGCGGTCGCGGCTCAAGAGGGAGTACGAGGAGGCGAGGCGGAACCGAGAGAATTGGACGGCGTTCAGGCTGAAGCATGAGATGGACAGGGCGGAGAAGGAGACGAGGGAGCTGCACGCGAAGGCGGCGAGGAGGTTCTATCGGGGTACGCTGCATCCTCTTTCGGCTGGGCGGGACTCTCGAGGTAGAGAGCTGACTTTTGCGTGTAGCTCACAACCTCAGACCTGAGCCGCAGACTATTGACGTGCACAGACTCAAGGTGGCAGAGGCGTTGGAGAAGGTCGAGCAGGCCTTGTACGACGCCATAGTCACCAATACGCCCGAGTTGCGCATCATCACTGGTCGCGGGAACCACTCGAGAAACGGCATCCCTGCGCTCAAGCTTGCTATCATTGGCGCCATGTCCGAGTATGTTCCGTTCCGAGGTTGTGGATTCGTATGTCTCTTCCACTCACTGTTTCGCGTTTGTAGCTACCACCTCGACGTCCACACAGACCCCAGCAATCCTGGGGTCCTCATCGTCAACCCTCCGTCAAATCCAAACCTGACCATGGCTGGCCCATCGACGTCCTCATGATCTCACGCTTCCCCGTCTTGCTCTGCTTGGTTGGCTCATGTTTTCCCACTACGCCCTTGTGTATCGGAACCCAGATTGTGTAGTATTTCCAGTCTATCACCCTCTGTACGATTTTGCTATGAGCTAATGCTATCTTGACGTTGCTTGTGACTTGCTCGTACATCTGCGACATGTTCCGTTCCGCTCTTTGAGTTCCATGACTCTATTTTGTGCAGTCGAAGTTTCTACACTGCTACCAAGTCCATCCTGACAGTGTACAGGACATCTACCGAGCGGCTGCGAAACCGCCAGTTGACACCGACTCCGGCAGACCCGCCCCGCAATCATCGACCGAGGCCTTGTCCGCGGTGACCTCGATGACGAGCTCCCCACCGACACGGAAGACGTCGTAGAAGTCCAGATGGCACCTATTGGGGGAGGTGACGTTGTTGAACGTGACGCTCTTGACGTACGCCGCCGCGCCCTCGGGGATCGTCTGCTGGACCGAGGTCGCGTTGAAGCCGGCGACGGTGACCGTCGTGCTCACGTTCAGGAACGAGTTGTGGATAGTGTACTTGGGCGTGAAGGGCGAGAGGACGAGGAACTGCGAGGTGGAGGGAACGGGGTAGAGCCCGAGGAGGTGGAAGACGAGCAGCGTGCCCATCGCCGCTTGGTCGTCGTTCCCTGGCAGGCCAGCGGGGGCTGAAAGAGGACTGCGTCAGCGCCACTGACGAGAGGGATAGACTAGAAGAGGAGGAGGGAGGAATACGTACTGATGTCGAAGTTGGTGAATACGACCTCGCGAACGCGGTCGACAGAGTTGGTGGGGTGGTTGGCGTAGTGGTAGCCGATCGGGGTCTGGAAGGAGGGCTCGTTGCCGGCCAAGTAGTAGCCCGCGTTGAAGAAATGGTCCAGACGCTTTACGAACGTGCTCTGCAGGGCAGATGTAAGAAATCAGTTTCTCATACCCAAGCTGAAGGAGCGACAAAACACACGTTTCCGCCCATGAGCTCGATGAGGTGCGCGGTGTCGTGAGGTGCGAACCATGAGTACTCCCAGGACGAGGACTCATAAAAGCCGACGACGTTGTCACCCTGGAGCGAGCACTCGCGAGAGTCGTCACTGTCGTTCGGTGAGCAGTCGACGGGATCGGTGAAGGCGAACGTGCCGTTCGGCCACCGCTTCTGAGCGAAGCCCTTGAATCCGTCGCTCTCAACTTTGGGGTCCCACACGTTGCGATAGAACTGCAGATTCCCTGTCAGCGCTGATTGATGCTAGATCGCTGGTAGCGGACGTACAAGTGAACGGTTGGTGTACTTGGCAACATCGTCAGTCTTGTTCAGGAGTAGGGCGACCTGGCGAAGAGCAAAGTCCTCAAAGGCGTACTATCGATTAAGTCAGTTTTGCTAATCTCGACGAAGACAGGACTAGAAGGCCATACCTCAAGGGTACGACTGCCTTCGCGGGTCTGACGGCCGACGCTCTGAGTGTCCAACACACCGAATGGGACGTAGCCGTACTGCTTGTACACGTTCACCTGCCGGCCAAGCGTATTCCACTCGGGCGGGTTGATCTCAGCATCAGCCAGCATCGCCGAATACAGCTCGTCCAGATCGATCCCGAGCGCAGAAGCCTCGTTGTGGTAGAGCATCGCGAACTGCCCAACGATGGGGTCAGCGCTCGAGCCACCTTGCGTCCACCCGGGCAGGTTGTTCGCGCGGCACTCGGGCATCCACCCGAGCTTGCGCCAGCCGTCGATGTAATTGTCGACGATCTCTGCGAACTCGACTGGGGAGTGGAGCGACATGAGCGGGTAGAACGTGCGGAACGTGTCCCAGCTGCAGTAAAGCGAGTCAAAGTACGGGTGGGTCGTGCCCGCGAACGCTCCCTGCGTCTCGCCCGTCGCGTTGTTTGGCGTGAGCGACCCGCGGTAGAGGGACGAGTAGAGCAGCTCGGTGACGTTCGCTGGGGTGTTCTTGATGTCGATCTCGATCTTGCTCAGCTTCTCGTTCCAGAGTGCTTGGGATTGGGCGACGATCTCCTCGAAGGAGGAGGTGCCGACTTCGCTCTCGGCGTTTGCGCAGGCTTGGTCGACGGAGACGAAGGAGACGCCGACGCGGATGTTGATCTCGGTCGGTTCGCCTTCATACGAGAAGAGCGCTCCGGACTCGTAGACACCGCCGATAAGGTTGCGGGTGAGATTGAGGGATGTCTTGCCGAGGCCCTTCGCATCGAAAAGCTCACTGGACAGAACAAGGGACCTGCGTCAGCGTCATAGCCCCAGCGACACGAACCAATGTACATACTCCGACATTCCAGTCCAGACGCCGTATTCGCTCAGTTTCTGCTTTCCGCCATCGAGAATATCGTAGCAAGCGAAGGCCTGATAGCTGTAGATACCAGGGCCGAAACTGGAGCCCCAGTGTCCGCCAATGATGATCCTACCCTGCTCAGGATCGATGTTCATAGAGCCGCCCACGTATGATGCGGGGAGGTCATTCGCGAGGTCGAGCGCGAAGTACGGCTTCCCCGAGCCCTTGGGGAAGGTGAACCGCTCAAGACCTGCGCGACGGGTGGAAGTTGCCTCCATCTTGATGTCATTGTCGAGGGTCTGGGAGAAGTAGCCAGGGTAGGCATCCTACATCATGCAGACAAGGAAGGGTCAGTCTGCAAGGCTCGTAAGAAGGGCCGCTTCTGGAAGACGCACATCGGTGTTGTTCTTGCGGAAGCGCTCACGGTCGGCGAGGAGCACCTTGCAGGAGTTGAAGCCACCCGGGCACAGCATGGGCATGATTTCGAAGTTTCCATAGGTTCCTTCAATCGGGGTTCAGTGTGCTTATATTCATTCATGACCCTGGGTATACTGAATGTGCGTACCGAGCGAGGAACCGGTTCCGCTGTCGTGGAGCGGGCTGAGACCGCGGATTTTCTGTGTTGGATCGGTGATATAGCCTATGATTCAACGCATTGGATAGAATGCCCAAGAGAACCAGAAGGACACAATACGAACCGGCAGGAGCGTAGCCCGTTAAGTCCGTAGAGAACTTAACCTAATATGGTGCCAGCCCAGATTTTAGAGAGATTGAGTTGCGTGAATTTACAATACTAGTATGTGCGTGACGCACCATGCCAAAGGGCACGGACGCACCAGGACTTCACGGGACCACAAGCAAGGCATGAAGAACATTCAGCTAAGCCTATGTCCTGGAGCACAGGAAGGCGTACCAGACATCGCCGAAGTTGTCAGTGCCGATGAAGACATTAACAAACTGGGTATAGTCGATCTCGGTTGAGTTGGACTGCCCCGCCTTCTTGATAGCAGCAGAGATGCGCTTCTGGACCTCGGGTGACGGTTGTGCGTGCACCCCCACTCCCGCAAGGCAAACAGCGGCGAGCACCCAGAGCGCTAGCGTCTTCGCGACGGCCATACTGTGGTGATGTGGAGGACCAGGTGAGGCTCAGCCGAGCCGACACTCTTCCGTGCGCCCTTATGTACCCTCGCCTGCTGGGTGCATGATACAATGGCCATCGGACGAGACTTCGAAGCTGTTGGGATAGAGATAGGCGGCGTCGCGAAGTCCGCGGTAGCACATGCATCGATGCTAGAAACTCGGCCGCATGCAACCCGTGATCATTCCTCCGGCCTTGTTGACGCGTGTTTGGCCCCTTACTCGCGCATGCCGCCTGCCCGACAAGGGCGAATCCAAGGTGTTCGTCCGACGGCAGGAGCGGCGCTTATGAGGGATGAGGGCATCCGGACAGTGGTTGTGCTTCCATGCCGTCACGGACAGCGGCTTCAGCGGGCCATCAGAAGGCCGCGGTATCTCTAACTCGACTGACATGGGTACCGCTATCGCTCGTAAAGACACCGACTGAGCGGTCTCATGATGCTGGGCGCAGAGTGGTATCGTAACATCAGAACCAACGGCCATACCAATGACAGCCGCTATAAATGCACCCACCTCGTCATGCAGACGCGTCCGTGCCGTTATCACGCCCAGACGACCTGTGTCCAGTCACCGCGCTGCCGCAACGGTCTTCTCTACGATCCTCGCCAGCTCCCTCCACACGACGTCCGGCCCTGGGCCATTCGCGCTCCAAAATTCGCGTTCCTGAGCGGACAGCGGACCGAGGACGTAGTCCGTTATATCGGCCCCACTCAGCCTGCCGCGTCCTATGCCCAACCGTAGGCGGTGGAAGTCGGGATTGTTGCCCAGGGCAGCGACGATGCTACGTACGCCGTTGTGGCCGTTTGCGGAGCCGCCGAACTTGGGGGAGACCACGCATGGCTTGTGATCGAGGGAGTCGTGGATGACGATCAGGCTGGCGGGGTTGATCGCAGTCTTGCGTAACATGTCAACGACTGGCCGCCCAGAAATGTTCATCAGAGCTCCTAGAGGTATGATGTCGGGGTCAACGCGGGTACGCGATAGAGTCAAGTGTGGGACAGACTTGGCTTGAAGAAGGTGAGTGTCACTGCTTGTCTGATATCCACGCTCGTGGTCGCTGCCCAGCCAGAGCGCTCGGACGACAAGTGTGCACCAAGTCGATTCGCTAGTACGTCAATCATGAAGTGACCGAGACTACATATTGCTTTCCAGTCAGATCAAACCTCAACTGAGTTGCAAGCACTACCTATGCCTCGTTGTTGGAAAAGTGATGTTGCCGAGGCCGACTACAAGAAAGTGAGGGTTGACCATCCAGTGCTCAAGAGCCGGAATTGCAGTCTGTTCACCACAATGAGCTACTACAACGAGCACGATCCCGAGAAACTTCGAGGACGAGGGGCCTACCGGAAAGAGTATGTGAGTTGGATCAATATGATAAACGACCTGTGCAATGGAGTGGTGGATATACCTAGATGAGCGGTCAGTCGTACAGGCAGATGGCGCGGTCACGAGAAGTATCCTCCTCTTCGCAAAGAGCTACAGCTTGCGGAAGTCATGCAAACTACCCGGATTAGACGGGTTTCATGAGAGCACGATATATGCAAATGTGTCGAATTCGTTATCTCTATCGGCAACACGCCTAACGTGTACTGCCCGTGGGGATAGCATCATACACAAGACATGGGAACGAGGTTGGACTCGCAAGGGTATGAAAACAGTTGGATGAGCAAGGGAGAAAGCAGCGTACCTTGGTGGTGGTCGGAGGACAAGAATATTTGCCCTAGCGCGGAGGCCAGCACGAGAATATTGGACGCGGTCATCTGATTCGTACTGCGGTTCGATTCTGAGCGACGCCATTTCATTTTGAGAGCCCGGCTGACATAAGCAGGGCGATCTGGAGATGAATCCCCACCTGCTCCTCACAGACGCCGACGCTGGGTGGCAGCGGCTTCGTCCCAGCACCGGCAGCACGTTCGTCGTCCCCGGCTGTACCTTCATGTCATAACAGCTCTGCCCTCTACCACCACGTCCACTTCCACCCCAACGGCAACGACGGCGGCAACAATGGCGACAGCAACAGCGGTCGAAGAACACTCCCCTGACGCTCGTCTCCGCCGTCCCGCTCAGGCCCCGCGGCGAAGGCTCTCGACTTTTCAGGCCGGACGGTACGCACTACCGCAACCTTGTCACCAGCTCCCCTACTCCGTTGAAGCCCTCGACTTGTCTCTCAACTCTCTGCCCCCTACCCTCGCTTCCCTTCGTCTCCATGTTCTGTCCTATCTCGCCGATCTCGAGTCTCGGCTCTCCCTTCTCGAGTCGCCGATCTCCACAGAAGCGATCATGGCCAAGGGGGAGCTGACCATGGAGGAAGCTCGCACATGGGCCAAGGATGGTCTCGAGATGCTGCGCTCTATACGTGAGGACGTCCTTTCCCACCTCCCCGACATTTTCTCCCTGGACAGCGTCCCCACCGTCGAGGATGTCGAGGAATTCGTCAACGCCCACTTGCCGGAGGTCCCCACCCTACCAGAGATGCGCTCCCATCTTCCCGACGTACCTGACGTTGTCCGCTCGCACTTACCGGACTTCAAGCTGTCCGATGTTCGCTCACGACTAGACGACGTCCGCTCTCGCATTTCCGATCTAGACTTCAATAAACCATTAAACTACGTCCCGACGCTATCTAATCGACTCCAGTCCCTACAAGAGCATCTCTCCGCCATGGAGCGCTCCTCGAGCTTGTATTTATCAACCTTGGCGCCTAGCGCGACGCTCTGTACGCTCCTTGACAAGGTTCTCTCTTCACATTTTGTTGCCGACATCTCTTCGGACCTCCGGAGCGGGGAGGAGACACTGGAAAAGGCTGCGCTCGAGATAGGGCGAGCCATGAAGCGATCCCTGAACGGGTCTCGTCTCATCCAGTACGTCGACCTGCCCGAGCAATGGCGCAACAACCCCTTTGTGAAGGGCGGTTATAGGCAAGTGCGCTGTGATTATCGAGGCCAACGTGCGCGGCTAACTCACGTTCGGTTTCGACGTGCAGATTCATTCCTCTACATGATTGGCCCCGACTCGTCCTGTCGCTTTTCGCTTTGCACAATGAGACTCGTACGTATCTCCCCGTATTTCTTACATAGGCTGTGAGCGTGTAGCTGAGGGAGATCTACAGTGAATATCCACACGCATTTGATACCCTTCCTGCTCTGGTCCTTCGCTTTGTTCCGCTTTTCTCCATCATACGACACATCCGACTACCAAGAACCGGCCAAGATCGCCTTCACTGTATTCGCATTGCTCTGTCTCTTTACCAGCGCGTTATGGCACACCATGGCGGGCTGTGCGCATCCCGAAGGCATGGAATTCTGTGCTAGGGTTGACTATGTCGGCATTGGATGGTGCGTATCGGAAGTGCGACTCGGTCTTGGGAGGCTAACTAACGGTCTCGTCCCATGTCGAATAGGCTCATCAGTGCAAGCGTCGGCACTTTGGTGTACTACGGCTTCCAGTGTCGACCAGCTGAGCGCGACGTGTTTCTCCTGCTCTGCCTTGCTGTCGGACTCTCCGGCAGTATCGTCCCGTTCACCCAGTGGTTCAATCAACGAGAATACAAGGTGCGTCTTCGCTATCTGCAGGCTTCTACCGACGTGTACGCTGATCCTCCCTCGGCCAGAACGCACGCATCGCCTTCTTCCTCTGCATGGCGTTCAGCAGCATCGCGCCCCTGGTCGAGCTCTCCCGGCTCCACTCTCCGTGGGAGATGTACACGTTCATCTCGCCCATCGTGCCCTCGCTCGTGTCGTACGTCGTCGGCCTCGTCTTCTACGCGACGCACTTCCCCGAGTGCGTCGTCGCGCCGCGGTGGCCGTCGCTGTGCCGGTGGCTCGACTGGCTGGGCGGCGGGTCGCACGCGATCTGGCATGTGTTCATCGTGCTCGCGATCAGTCTGCACAAGCGGGGGATGGAGGTGATGAAGGGCGGGATTGGGGATGCGTGCACTGTTTAGGTTGTTTCGCTTTTTGCAATGAGTGCTGGCTTTGCCGAGGGTTGTTCCTCTTGAATGTTAGCTTATTCTTCTGTTTAGGACATTGAGAGAACGACGAGACGGGCGTCTGCCCTCAGTCAAATCATTCCCGAGTGCAACTGTTCCCTCCGCATACGCCATTTACCTATCTCACTGTCTACGATGTGCAATCGTTTCCGCGGGGCTTCATGCGTCTGAACGTTTGGTCTGTGGAATTGTAGGCATTGGGGGCCGAACTGAGTCTTCCTCGGGGTTTAGAGTGCAAAATGTTGGTACCTCGGAAACTACTTGGTCACTCCGTCGAGACCGCTGTGAAGGAATATTGCAATGAGGCAACCGCGCTCTCGCAAAGCAGGAATATAGGCACCCAGAAGGCCAGTCCAGAGATCAATCCAGAAGGGGCGAACGGGTGTTCGGGAGGCGAATGCGACTTCAGGGTGAAATCCATGGAGGACTTGCTCAAGCTCCGGGTATGGGATATTTCTGTTTACTTCCTTTAGTCGACGGGTTCAGTTAAGGCATCTGATACAACTTCACCGACAAGCTCTTGTTACGGAAGCCTTTCAAAACCTTTTGAATCTGCCCTCGTTCCAAGCGAGCTACGTCATAGTGGCCGACGGCTTCCTGGTCTCCCACCACCGTCGTATACTCTGGATTCGACCACATCCCACAACTGAACTGCCGCAGTATGGACGAAGAGAACGTGTCTACGCTCAGACTGCTTTATCTCGAGAAACTGTCGAAGGACCAAGCCGCCCAGATCATCGCGTTGAACACCCAGATCACTGCACTGGAGACCCAAGCTACGACTCAAGAGAACACATCGCCCGATTGGCAACATGCATTGCGAAGCTTGCGACGCACCCACAACCGATACGTAGGCCTGCAGAAGAACCAGAGCCGGTCCCACAGGCTCACAAGCAACCTGAGATGGCGACGAAAGTGCGCGTGGCAGAAGATGATCATGTGTCACAGTCACCCACGTCCGTACTCGCCGAACTCGGCACTTCTACGATTGAGGACATACTTCGGAGCTCGGTAAGTGCAAGCATGAATCCTTAGTGTTCCTGTTCCTCTCCGAATGTCGACCTATGTTGCACTAGGCGTTCCGGGAGAAGCTGTGTGAACTTGGACGTCTTGTCTTGGGCGATACGAAGACCCTGGACGAGTATTTTGAATGGAAAGGACAGACGGAGATGATAGCTTCTGCTCAGCGGGGAACCTTTGTGCCCACTTATAGACGGAAGCTCTCCTCAACTCAGCACACCTCTTCTATGAGCAACTCCTACGCGCGACCACACGGGCTTCACGAGAACGTAGGACGCAGCGAGGTCGAGCGACTTGATGCAGACAAGGGCAAACAGACCGAGGGGCCAAGCGTCTCAGCTCATGACGGTCTCGAGGAGAAAGGTTCGCCATCTTCGTCGAATGCGAGCGTGCCTCAGGCTCCAACGACCCCGGTTTGTCTCGACGAAGAGGTATTAGGGTCTACATTCTGAGCTCAGCCAAACATACTGAACGAGAATTTGGCTGATAGACTACCCGAAGCACGAAACGGGAAGCCTCGGTGGAGGTTGACGCGTCAATATCTTCTGTATCCAATAAACCTAATCCGGCAATGGGAGCGGGGCGGTTAATCGACGCAATGGAACCGAGGCCCACCTGTTGAACAGTACCCCATCGCTCTCAGCATGGTCAACGTCAATCGTGACAGTCCCCACATCACGTCGCTCTATGGGCTATGAGGCAAGCGGCATACATACTGCGGTGGGGCCACGGTCATTCGGGGAATCCTTTTCTGGTTCTGAGGGTATCAACGACACTGCTACGCGGGTTATTTTGGGTGTATAGAAGTCCTAGCCTTCAGGTTTCAAGCGCTTCCCTTCACGGCAGCGGTAACGACGAGTATTCGATCAGTACAGATTCATCTGTCTCTTATGCATGTAGTGATGTGTCACTAGCTAAATAAGGAAGCATATAGAGCAACGCTGATATGAAAGAGGGATTAACCAGCAATTCACTAGCCTGGACAGTCTCCTACGGACACCCAATCTCACTCTTCAAGCTCCGGCAATCCGAAGTTGAGGAAGACCATCGGTGCACCCTGAGGCTTAGAATCCTCGTGCAAATATACAAGCGACTCCATGCGCAAGGGAAGACTGCCCCAGGGGTTATGTCTAAGAGTAGATTCAGATCAGGTGAGAGTATTTTCAGTGAGCCGTTGTGTAACTCACTTATCTCGCAAGTGAGTCTGCATAGCAGGATGGTATCCCCAGGCAGGGCAAAGGGTACACCCGAAGACCTTCATGTCGTTGAGCGATAAGGCATGCTCGGTGTTCGCAGTCATCGACTCAAACCAATGCTCGTGTTGTATGGCGATCGCAGCGTCGGCATCCGAGACTCGTTCGAAGTAATCGGAGAGTATAATGTCGCCCTCTTCTTCGACTTCAATTCCCTGGTGGTCAATCAGATACCGGATCTATGCAAAGTGAGGTGAATAGATTTCAGGCTATCAGTTGCGACTAATCACAAGGAAAGTATTCGGACGTACTACTCCTTGCCAATCATAAACTGGCTTCCTGCTCATATCTGCGCCCAAGGGAGCGAAGCGAGCCCCGCACCCTTCCAGCTCGTCGTACGTAGCCGTTGTGGGGTCGAAGCCGCACGCGCAGATGACTGCTCTTGTGATGTTGACGTTTTGGTCGAAGACTGTCAGCTCTTCACCTTGGAAAGGGGCGTCATAGTCGTTGTTGGTATGGCGGAGGATGGCGACTTCGTAGTTCTTGATTGCGCTGCTAACCGTATGGTCGGGAACAGAGCTTTGTCGAAGGCAGTGATGTGCGAGTATGCCTGGCCACCTGAGACGGGGGCGGCGACACTGAGTGCAAGTGAAGGATACGATCGCAAGCCTGAGGAAAGCAGGGGGGTACGTCGATAGGACCTCGAAGTCGTTGCCGAGCTGTGTCAATGCCTTCTGGACAAACACTTCTTCGTTACGATACACCCATGCAGCAGTGTAGTTGGGAATGTCGTCTATGAGAGAGAGAAGAGATGCCTGGACGATGTCATCGGGCTCCTCCTGCATGATCAAGTCCCGGAAGTCAGGCAGATGGGCAAACTCTGCAAAACCGGGTTCACGGTCTGATTCGGCAGTGCGTCGTGGAAAATGCGAGGCTCGATAGGTCTGAATAGCTTCCTTGAGATATTTCAGTCTAGCGTTATACTTGCGATCGAGCCGCTCCTCGTTGAACGTCGTCATGATTCCTATCAGTGATGTGCGCATAATTTTCCATGCTTCGCTACGTGAGCCTAAACTCTAGATCCGATTGAAAGTTGACCGACCTTGATCAGTCAGCTTGCTAGCTCGATTTAGGGCCTTGACGGTCAGCAATCTACGGTCGAGGGTATATGTATTGATGTCATCCAGTGCGTGCCCCCATCCTTCCTCGCGAAGTCTTACTTTCACCCTACATCCAAAGAATAAGTTGTAGAATAAGATTGGGGAGCAGATACGCACGAGCTCAGACGCTCCAACCTCAGGCTATCCAGTTCAGCGGATTTTATCGTCTGGTATTCCTCCTTCCACTCAGAGAGCAGTTGTGCGTACTATGACGATGGCATCAAGTCGATCCCTTTGATGAAGAATGCGATGATATTTACCTCTCGGCACACTACAACGAAAGCTTTCCGCTCGTTCAAATAAGCGTCCTTTTCATCGCCGTCTCGTGCAGCCCATTGGGTGTGAATCATTTCCACTTCTGGCTTGAATATCTTCCCGTTATATCGTCTGAAGATCTGAGACCTACGATGCTTGGCATTAGCTCCTTTTCGGAGAGGACCGGAGGGAACAAGCACAGGCGGCTTACTCATACCTGTATCTGAGATCATTCCATTCGGAGGGATTGCCATCTGCGATCTTCCACAGGACGTCATCCATGTCTTTATGGTTCGTGGTCAACCTGTGTGAGATGAGTAGATGCTGCATGGTTTCGATGTAAGACTCACAAATCCTTCTGACAACTTCTGCAGTATCTCGCCGAAAAGACCCAGATGACGGTATGGATGTTGGACTTGAGACAATTCTACGGCTATCTCGGTTTGCGGAGGGGAAAAAAGGCAGGGCTCAGGCCATGTGCACTTACATGGCAATGCGGAAAAAACAGCAGATTCGCGTACGCAGGTTCGCTCAAGTAGTACGGTGGTTTGGGCAACCCTTCGATCTGCTCGCGGGCTTCCGTCCAGAAGCTCGTAGACCTCCTGCTCATGAGAAGTGTCCTGAAGCTCCTGGTCGTCCGTGCAAGGTTCAGCAGATCGCGGGGGTACATGACTCCAAAGATCTGGAAGATCACGTCGGAATCAATGGTGGTAATGACCAGCCCAAGCTCCAACTCACCTCAAATAATATATCGAGAGGCATCGCAGGCATGTCTTTCAGCCCTCCTCTACGGCCGCGGAGGTGGCGTCGAATTCCAGGAAGGCTGATCAAACCAGTTGCATCAGATGAGTCTGCTCTGCCTACGGACATGTCGAAGGTTGGCTGAGGAGTAAGGTTTTTGGCGACCTGGAGGTCAATGCTCGCAACATGGGCCGACATGGATGAGAGGGCGTGGTGGTCAAGAGACTCGCGCTGCACACGTGTCAGTGGTAGCACTCATTCCTAGGACCCGGGCGCGTCAAGACCACATTTAGCTCCGGAATGGCAAATGGGGCAACTCATGTACCTTCCACCGTAACGTGTCGCAAGAACACGCACGCCGCCAGAGACGCACGAACCACACATCCTTCCATTCTCAGAAGGAGCGCGCACCCGGTGCTAATATGCTGTATCAGATGAGACATGGAACCCTTCCAAGGGTCCAGATCTGTCCAGATGGAGCAGCATGGATGGGAGCTTTTACGAATGCGGATGCTGTGAACCGACAGAATGAGAAGATAGTACATAGCATGAATGCAATGTCCTAGTGCAGACGCCATGAAGGCCCTCAACTCAGGAGCATTCCTCAGATATCTCTAATTGGACGAAGCGGGTCAATTCCATGATGTGCGCTGAGTCTTGATGAACGTAAACATCATCTTCATTGAGCACCAGCTCATCCGAGACCAGTGGCTTGTTCAGCCAGAGCCAGTGGCTTCGCGTCATCAATCAGATGATAACATAGGCAAGCATTGTCGAGACGACTTACTCAAAGAGCACATGTTCCTGAACTTCGGCAAGACTTCCGTGATAGTTGCATTGCGTACAACCGAGAACGACGTCGGAGTCTCCCAAGGAGGAAATGGTGTTCAGTGCTCGTGAGATTTCACGTTCCTTAACCCTCGTTGCGTCGCTATCTGAGATGCGTTCCCAGTCATCGACGGATCCTGAGTGGCAGTTGGGGTGCGAGCTGATCGAATGATAGATCTGCCAAAAGGGACAGAGAGGAGTGAGTCGACTGTCGGATTGATTCGTGGGGGTATCTACTTACCGCTGCCTGCCATGCAAATACGCCGTATTTCCCTTCTGCTAGCCGGTCATGGATCGAACAAAACGAGCACACGAGTCGTGCCCCGCAGTTCTCCATCTCTCCGTATGTCGCTGTGCTCGCATCTAGACCGCAGGCAGCGATGACCGCACGAGTGATAGCGACATGCCGGCTGAAGATTGCATGCTGCCCTCCTTCGAATGGTGCGTCGTTATTGTAACGCACAAGCCCCCACACGGCGCGGCTATACGTGCCGTGCGTCTTCCTCCTGCCTACCGAAAACACCGTAGGTATCTGCCGGAAGCACCGATGAGCGAGTACATACGGCCAGCGAAGCTGAGTCTGTCGGCATGACTGGCAGACAAATGAAACGATCGCAAGGTCGAGGAGGCTTGTCGTTGGAGTTATGATATCGTCCAATTCTCCCGCCGCAAGTGCCTTCTGGATGAAAACAGCTTGCCAGTGGTCTGTCCACGAGACGATCAGATCGGCCAGCCGACCCTGCAGAGCGAGAAAGTCATTTGGAGTGATGTCGTCCATCTCGTTTCGGACAAGGCTCTTGATCTCGGGGATGTCGGCGAACTCGGCAAAGCCTGGCTTCAGGTCTGACTCGGCGGTACGGCGGTCTTCCGCCAGCTGGCAGCTGTCCAATAGCTCCCGAAGGTATCGGAGTCTTGTCCTGTACATGCTCACGAGCTTCTCCTCGGTCATCCGGATGGACGCGAGCCGAGCTTCGCAGACACGCGTAAGCCGATTCCGAACGTATACCAGCCGAAGGGGTGCGACAAAATCCACGATCGACTGTCGAATGTGTTTCCATCCTATGTCACCTCATCAGCTTAGGGGCTCTCAAATTGGATGAGGGATCAGGTACCATTGTCGGTCAACTTGGTAGTGCGACTGACTTCTTTGAGGTTGGATAACCGCCAGTCGTCGTTGAAGTGCAAGTGATCTATCACATCTGCCCAACCCTCTTCGCGAAGTCTGTCTTTAATCCTAGAAAATGGGAAATTAGCCAGGAAAGCCATGAATGATGAGCGATAGGCTCCACGACATACGCTTCGAAGCGCGCTGCCCTGAGGTCCAGTTTGTCCCGGAACAGCCTTTCATTATAAGAGTACCTCCAGTGCGGGAGAAGCGAGGCGTACTTTTCGACAAATTTGACTCAAGTGAACACGCTGGACTGGCGGAAACGGCGCGCACCTTCTCGCACTCCTCCACAAACGCCTTCCGCCTGTCCTTGTATGCCTCCTTCTCTTCATCAGTCTTGAGCCGGACCCATTCGTTCCGAATGGTAGCTACTTCTTCCGTGTGATATTTGCCCTGATGTCGCCGGATGTATCTGCGATCACGCTGGATCAACTAACTTTCAATGACCACTCGATAGACCGTCCCAACCTAAGAGCGCTCTCTCCACCACGAGCTTCGCCCATCACCTCTCGGAGCAAGGTCTCAACATCGTTGCGGTCTGCAGAGAACCTACAGATGTTAGTCAGTATTGAAGAGGTGAAGCATGGAACATCCTGCTCACAAAATCCTCTTGCATGGATTACAGTACCTCGCCGAAAATAACCAGAGGACAGTGTTGATGTTCACTTTCAAGCAGTTCTACACAATAAGAGTCGGTGGGGGATTGAATGAGACGCAGAAAAGCTACACACATGACAATGCGGGGAGAACAGCAGGTTCGCGTACGCAGGTTCGTTCAAATAAGATGGCGGTTCTGGCAGCCCTTCGAGCTGCTTCCTAGACTGTCTCCAGATGCGCGTCGACTGGCGGTCCAGCAGGAGTCTTCGGAAGTCTTTCGTGGATCGCGAAAGGGCCAGTAGATCCTTCGTGGTGACGTGAGACAGTACCTGTATGACATATCAACGAGGAGACAGTTAGCCCGATGCGCATACAACAAGTGACCTGCGCGGGAGAAATGACCTCGAAGATGACATCGAGGGGCATATGAGGCAGGTCTTTCAGCCCTCCTCTACGCCCGCGAAGGTGTCGACGACATCCAGATACGACGATGGCGCCGGCCCCCGTGGTGTTTCTAGTTTCTATATCGGAGTCGAGACGCTTGTTACGAGTTCCCAGATAGTCGTCGTTGGCCAATACTAGCGGAGCCATATTTCAGCAAGGCAAGCAGTGCGTGGAGATAAGTCCAAGCACTGCAGGGCATACAGCCTGCGTACTTATACCCCGGCGTGAATGGACCATGACCACACACGCAAGTGCTCGCGGCAGAACCTAACATGAGCGCCTGCTGTCCCCAGTACTTCCGTGCTTATCCAACCCGACACTGCGGTAACGCCGGCGCTAGCTCCGAGCTTGCTCGCACCGCACACACCATGTCATCATGTCAATGCAGTGCTCGTAAAGTACAGCCAGGATCTCTAGATGCGGACATTGCGAGGGAACATGGGTCAGATGTTAAGGATTCCTCAGCAAAGCCGAAGCTTTCAAGCGGTCACAGCGTCCCGGGATAGCTGAATAATACTAACTCAGGATACCCGAAGGAATCCTCAGCTCCTCGGGGCATCCTCAACACCACATGTATCCTCAGCTCAGGTCGTCCTCAGAACCTCGCAAAGAACCCTCGTCCCTCACGGACCGTTGCTTGGGCCTCCGGGTCCTGCAGCAGGCTCTCAGGATATATGGAGACCTCTCTGATCCTCTGCTCGCAGCAATAGTAGTCCACGCCAAGCTTTGGCTCCGCCTTCTCGTGTCTTGTCATGCAAGCACGCCGGCGAAGCAAAGGTCAGCAGATAGTCGTAGCATGACTTAGGCTGGACGCTCACCGAAGCTGGAGGTGTTGACGAATTCCGGTTATCTCGGTAGAGTGGTGACACCATATACACGTATATTCCTTCCATGTCACCGTAGACTCCAGCGATCTAGCCTGTGCGGCGAGCTGGTCTGGCAGCCGAACCCAGTGGTTCCCGAGAGCGTCCTTTCGTTGCCGATGAAACCCGTTTTCATCCGTCTTCTCATGGCGTAACTACACAAACTGCGTTAAGCACTACGAGATCAGCGATGAGGACGGAATCTGGACTCACCATGCGGGTCCAGTCACAAATTACCCGCCCGGTTTCGGGGCTCGAACAGATGCTGCAGACAAAGCGAGCACCTTGGTTGTTCATGTCCTGCACCGTTGCAGTGGTCGGATCCAGCCCGCACAAAGAGACGATCTGGCTCCTATCCTCAATGCCCTTAGCGAACTTTAGGGCGTCGGCTTGGAAGCGTCTGCGTATCGTCCACTTCGCATGGTCCCAACCCAGTTCCTGGAGGTATTTCCAAACCTCTTCTTCGTACTTGTTCGCACGAGGCGGAGGGCCATCAACAAGGTTCGCATCGCGGAAACAGTCGTGGCTGAGGGTCTGCGGCCAACGTAAGTTGAGTTCCATACGACACCGTGGTTCAGCAAGGCACTGGAAAGACACGATCGCGAGGTTGAGAGGCTCGCCCACCGCTGCGACACCAGCAGCCTCCAGACCGGCTTGCGCGATGGAGAGGTGCGAGGACTTGCACTGCTCGAACCAGGTATCTGCCAGGGATGGGATCATGTGCTCCAGCCGAGTGAGGATGACATCCCGCGTGAGGTCGGAGGACTGATCTTCCAGCAGCGCTTGTACCTCTTTCGTGGCAGCTAGGTCGCCGAACCGGATGCCACACTCCGTCTCGTACTCCGCGTTCTCTGGCCTCTTCGAACGCCGGTAGTCCCACAGCGCGCGGTCTAGGAGCCGAAGCCGCGAGCGTACTCGGTCCCGGTATTCGTTAACGGGTGCCGACGGGCGACGGAACCGAGACATGAACTGTATGACTTCACTACGTGTGTCTCTCCAGCCTACGATCCGTGAACCACCGCTAGAAGGAAAACAGCAGATAGTCGCTCACTTTTGTCGGTCAACTCAGCTTTCGAAGCCAGCTGTTTCAAATTCGATAACCTGACCAGGTTACCCCAAGTCATCATGTCTATCTCGTTGTCCCAGCCGTCTGCGCGTAACTTCGCCATGGCGCTATTGGCGTATGAGTGATATGAAGCAGTCTTCGAGATCGCAGACATACGCAACACAACGTTTCTTCATAAGCACATCTTTGTCTGCATCCAGTAGTCTCTGGTAGTCCCTTAGCCACCTGGCGAGCCTTGGTGCAAGCTGTGTCCAATATCAGCATAGCCGTTCAGCCGGAGGACCGTGCGTCTAGTATGCGATCTGAGGCGTACCTCGTTCCACAGTACCGCTGTCTCAGTGCGTTCCTTGATGAACTGACGCTTTGTGTCGATATCTTGAAGAGTTTCCCATGTCGTCCCGATACAACCCAGCTCAGGTACATGGAACAGCTCGGCACCCTTTCCGCTATTCCAAAGACTGTCAGATTTCTTGCGCCAAGACAGAGCTGTGGCGGTCAGACATACTTGATTCGAGTATGGAGCACGACATCCTCTACACGGACAGCGGCTTCTGACATTATACCACTGATGACGGAGGGGTCAATGCTCAGCCTGCGGCAGGGACATGCAGTCAGAATTTCTGGTGTGGAGACAAGGGTGTACCATTAAACCGAGCACTCACTTTGACTGTCTGCAGTCCCGACAGTATCGAGCCGGGATAGGCCAAAGTATCTGAGATTGGCTAGTCTTCCCGCATCCCTAGCAACGGAGGCGAGGAGTCAGCTCAAATGTATTCGCCAAGCGCTCGACAGCGGTCGGGACGCTCACATGGCAGTGGTTACAGAAGAGAAGATTGGCAAACGCGGGTTCACTCATGCATTCGGGAGGGGCAGGGAGCTCAGCCAACGCCCGCGATGCCTTCCACAAGAAGGCGTTACTGCGCAGCATGAGTTCAGCTCGGAAGCCCTTGCTGGTCCGCGCGAGGTTGAGGAGGTCGCGGGGAGAGAGGTGTTGGAAGATCTGCGACGACGCATGGGGGCGAGCGGGTGAGCCTGCAAGAGAATATGTGGCGGATATAGACGACGCACTTCATAGAGGATGTCCAGAGGCATCTGCTCCAATTTCCTGAGCTTCGGCCGACTCTGTCGACCTACAGGTCGGTGTTTGGTCCTAACCACGACGCGACGAGGCCCTTGCGATGTAGCCTGCTGCGGCAGGGCTTTGGTGTTGGCTATCTGGTCATTATGGAGTACGTTGGATATGTCTCTGTGGTCGAGTCTGGCCTTCTTAGCCGGAGGAGGCATAGCGAAGGTGATGAGGTGGAGGTGAGTTCTGAGAGGCCTCAGCATAAAACGGGCCGGAGGGTAGAGGTATTGTGGCGGTGTCATTGTCGTTGCCGCGAGCGCTCAGATTCGAACCGATGGTGATGAGGGCAGGCATCGTCCAACTTTAGCACATGCGACTTGAACCTACCTGCATCTCGCCACATGGATCCGTTGCGTGCTACAATTCTGGGAGGTGCGTCTGCACTCTGTTACGCCACTTTATTGCAGAGCAGCTGACAGACAAGTGCAGAGGACTCGACACGAAACAGTACCATCTACGACTTGCGCTTGAACAAGTAGTGACCAACACCCCATCTGGGGACGCATTATCCATCAGTACGGTACAAAGATGAGTATTCGGAAGAAGCCTGTCTTACTCATTGCCTCCATGCAACCCGAAGAATTCCGCGACAGCGATATAGAAGACGCGGAATCTGAACCGACCAGTTACATCAGAAACAGGGGAGAGAGCAGTTCATGCTATGGCACAAACCGATAGAATGCTTTCCTGCCTTCCTCCTTATCGAGGCCTTTCGCAACGGCGTCCTTTTCGAGCTCAGCAAGACCTGCCTTCGCATTGGCGTCCTGCGCTTTGAGCCAATGCTCTGATGTCTGCGAGTAGTGCTTGCCGTTGATAAACCAGCTCCGGACGTGTGTGAGGTCGTCTTGGAAGTACAACTATGCGATATTGATTCGCCAGGTGAGTCCGAGTCATCGCACCTCAAACGGAAGAAGCTGAGTACACACCAGTAGGTCATGCGACGGCATAGTGCCACCTATATGCGAGAGGTGAGTTGACTGTATGCGCATCTTCGAGCGTTTTGTAGAAGAACGAACCTGAGAAAAACGTCTGTGCCATCCAGCCGTCGCCCTCCTCGAAGTGGTATGGGGTCGTGCGGTGGCAAAATATGTGGACGAAGAAAAGCGCGTCTTCGGGACCGTCGGGGCGAAGCCAGGACGCGACCTTGGCCATCAGCATTTTGTAATTCTTCATATGCTCGAACATCTGATACACACAAGCTGATCTATCCATGTCTCTGTGCGGTTGCAGTGACACATACCTCGATGGACAAGATCCGGTCGAAACTTGAAGGGCCGAGCTGAGTCCGATTGGATATACGCTAGGTTTCAAGAACTTACTGTCTCGAGCCATTGAAGTCAAAGGCGTTCACATCGGCCGTGATGATCTTTGAAAAAGGTGAGAGCTCCTATCTCAGACGTACATGGCTCAGTCAGCACGGACCTCTAGGTTGGTCAGACCGCGAGCCTCTGCGGTTTTGTCTATGTGTATCTTTTGGGTTGAAGAATTGGAAAGACCGACGATGCGTGATTTGGGGTATTTTTGCGCCAGGTAAAGCGAAAGACTCCCCCACCCTTTCAGTGCTGTGAGATCATGGTGCATCGGACGATTAGTTCAGTCACGTACCGCAGCCTAGGTCAAGTATGTCAAGACCGTCCCTCAGCTGTGCCTTCTCGCAGTAGCTTTCCAACATGAGCACTTCGGCCTCCGCTAATGTCTCTTTCCCAGTGGGGTATAGGCAGCATGAGTACTTAGCGCAGGGTCCCATACACGATAACATGAACTCCGTAGAAACCTAACAGCATTCTGCTATGAGAGTGCCTACGGAAGTTGCGGAGGAGTCTTGCCACGTACCTCATAGTGCTGCTCGTTCGCCTTCTCTGTCAGGTCTGCAATCTTCGACCTGGCACGGACACTCTCTATCCATTGCATCTTAGCGGCATAGTTTGCCTCAAAAGACCCGTGGTCTATCTCGCGAAGCCTCTGGCGACAGAGCGCCCTAATGGCAGGTCTGAGGACAAAGTCGGGGACCAGCCCCTGCCATCGGAGGTGAGCCCACCCGCATATATCAGAAGAGGGTGGGCGCAACCGCTGGCTCACCTTGTCTAAGAGGCGGTAAGCGACTTCGAGAATGTTGTCGGTGAGTGCTGGCATGATGTGAGAGAGTGGGAAAGACAGCGGTCGCGAGGGAGGAGGCGAGATGGTGTGCCATCGCTGTCGGGCTATTCGGCTGATGCGTACACACGGAGCGCAATTCCATTGCTGTCAAGGGCTCCGCCGCTGCGACCAGCGACGCAAACAGGACCTCGTCGCTGCGAGACGCGTCGCAAACGAGATCACGTGAAGAGACTCTTCGGTCGATTTACGCGAGTGCCCGGCGTGTCCCTCTTGCAATTGCGTCTGGCTCGTGTGAGCAGATGCTCCTAGTCCTATGCTCTAAGCTCACCACCGTCCTCCCGGTCGCCTCATGCACGGAATGAAGCGTATCTTGCTGCAACACACCAGTCGTGGTGCAGCCTTCGACAGATACACCATCATACGCAACTTCTTCCGCCAACATCTGTCTCCAGTCTCCACTCTCTCGTACTCCGCGCGCGTGCACTTCGCATCCTCGCCTGCTCACACAGTCAGGGCTCGTGTCACCCTCCGGCAATTTTCGTTTCAAAGGCCCTTACTCCATGATTCTCAACCTCGACAACCGTCCGAAGGGACTCGCCAGCAGGATGGCAAACCGCCTGAGAAGGACAAGGCCAACTCGTCACAAAAGGAGGGCAACGAGAGCGTAAGCTACGAACACTACCCACGGCTGTTCAGGAGGCTGGCCATGTCTCTACCGCACTTGCAGCGTCCAACGCGAGACGACTTCCTAAAGGCAGCGGACGGATTTTGGCAAAGGATGCGTGTTCGCTTCAAATGGCTTACCATCCGGTCCTTCAGGCGGTACAACGCGGACGACATGTCCGCGTTCTTCACATGGTTCCTCATGAGCCAGACGCTTTGGCTTTTCGTCGGAACGTGGGTCTTTCTACCCTCGTTTTGCGCTTCGCATCCTGACCTCCTTTAAGCACCACTTTCTTCTCAGTTGTGTTTGCGACTGCGAATAGTTTGCGGTTGCAAGGTACGCCTCACACTTCCACGGCCATCGTGAGCATGCAAGTGAACTCCGTGCTGCAGAATACATTGCTCGCGCTCTCAGCGACTACCTCACGGCCGAAACGGGGATCACGATTATCTTCGAATCGGCGATCGTCCCGAAGTGGAGAGACTCGCGCATATCCTTCAAGAATGTGTTCGTCACGCGTCGTCCGGACAACTTCTATAGGCAAAAGCTGAGCAGCAACTCCGGACATGCTGTTGCGGCTGGCTACGACCTGAGTAATCATCCCTCCTACCATGGAAGGATAGGAGAGGAAGACGAGGAAGCCCCGCAGGACCACTCAGAGGATGACCTGAACTATTCCATGTTCGATCTGAGCGTAGACTCTATCGACGTGACGCTCTCGTTCGCTAGATGGTTTGAAGGCAAAGGGTTGGTTGAGGACGCGGTGGTCAAGGGTGTGCGTGGTGTCTTAGGTATGCTGTCACCCATATTTGAAACATTTGAGTTGTTTCACCCATAAACGCTGGACCGTACAGACCGACGTTCGGTCACTTGGGACCCAGACCATCCCCTCGACCCAGCATCGTTCCGCCACAAAGCCCAGCCTGGCGACTTCGAGCTTGAATCCTTGCAAATCGAGGATCTTCTCATCACGGTGTACCAGCCAGGCAATTTCCGGCCGTTCACCGCGTCCATCTTCCGCGCGGACATTGGAACGTTCCGCAAGCAATGGGCGTTTTACGATTTCCTCCGCGCAGAAAACGTCGTCGGGCAGTACGACAACTGCCTATTTAGCTTGCACCGTCCGCAGAGCATAGGCCGGACTACGGACCAGGACCTCAAAGGCGGCAAATGGAGCCGCATGGTCAGTTCTCAATCCCCGATGTTCTGCATATGCAAGATTCTGATCCATTTTGGACCATAGTCGCGCTTCCGCATGGACGGCCTGAATATCGACCACATGCAGAGCATGTCCACCTCCGGGGGACCCTTCTCCTGGCTCACTTCCGGCAAGGTCGATGCCGTCCTCGACATCAAGTTCCCGCGCGACCCATCCGAGGGGCCTGCGCTCAATGCCCTTCTCGGCGAGCTCGCCGACGCGATCACGTCCGTCGCTATGGACCGCATCCCTGGGCAGCGCGAGCTCGCAAAGCCTCCGTTGAGCGCGCCTTCGGACGCAGAGGAGGAGGGGACAATCGAAGAGGACAGACCGAAGGTGGTTGTGGACATCGATCTGCGCTTCAGGGACTTGAAAGCTGCAGTGCCGATCTTCACGAGCGATATGAGCTACGTGAACAATGCGCTGATCAGGCCGATCGTCGCGTTCATGAAGTGAGTTGCAGGTTTGTATGCGCATATAGCCACGTAAATACTGAGGAGGGTTGTTTGCAGTGCCAATCGTACCTTGGTTCCCATCCGGTGTCGGGTAGTACAGGATCTGGAGGATTTCGATGGATCTTGGACGGTGCGTTTTGTTGAATGCTGCTTCTCTTTCTCGTCTAATAGTTGCCTCATCTCGCAGATGTGGGAGAGTAAGTCACTCTTGAAAAACGTTTTTGGACTGATACTAACATTCTCTCAGCTGGTCTGATCGATGCAATCTCCATGAAAGTCTACGAAGCGATGGCCTACCACGTCACCCAAGCTAACTTTCACCGCCGCGTCAAGGCCGTCGGCACATGGTCCCTCCAGATGACCGCGAGCGCGCTCATGTCCACGCTCCGCGCCGCCATGGACCCGATGACAGCGCCCCTGCGCGAGCTCTACGAAAACGGATTCCCGTCGGAGTCAGTGTTCCAGCTTCCCCATACCCTATCTGTGCTGCACGCACCGCACCTCATACACCCTGCTGCGTCCGAATGAATGTCATGTTGACCCTGCTCTCTTTCCCTCGGGCTCCTTCGCATAGGCACAGGTCGCGCCCGCATCATCGCCCATCTATTGCTGCCTTGGGGACTGCTGCCAGATAGGACTAGTGGGTTCAGAATAGCGTTGCTATCCTGGCAAACCATGACCATCGTGGCTCGCGAGGATGCGTCGTCATGCACAGTGAAAAAGTACAGTTACATACACCTACTCGCCTATTTACAGAGCTGGCTACTATCCAGTGTCCCAGTAACGACCATTATGACAACCCGCTCATTACCCTCCCAATCCTCCATACGCATAGTGAATATACAAGCGCTTACTCATACACTGACGGTGACGTTCAAGCTCAATCGCGGAACCGTCGGATCCTGTATGCGACCCAGGCACCAAAGCCAGACTCGAGGACCATGAACACGACCCACAAATATCTGCCGAGGAGATGCTTCTTTGCAGAGACCGCGAACAGGGAGCTGACGACGATTGGGCCTGCTGCTCCGGCAAGAGACTGGAAGAGCTCCGCGAGCCCGTTCGTCGTGCCCAGCGACGTCGTGCCCGGGGTGTGGTCCTTCGTGAGAATCATGATGATCCTGCCGCGTACCGAGATCCGTCAGCCCCCGGTATCGCTCCACCCACAAACGAGACGAGTGCGGCAACTTACGAGAACGCGAGGCACCCGAGCCTCGAGAGGAAGAGCACGAAGCCGACCGAGATCCACTCGCCCGTGCTCGCGTCGCGGAACTGCTGGAGGCCGTCGACCGCGGCCGCGGACGCCTGCGCGACCCACGAGGCGAGGGGCAGGGACGCGAAGGCGACGACCCAGGAGTACATGCAGAAGTCGAACATGTTGAGCGTGCCGTAACGCCGGAGGAGCGCAGGCATGCAGAGCTTGAGCAAGATCGAGACTGCGCCCATGCCGGAGAGCGCGCGGCCGATCTGCGAGGGCTGTTTTGGGAATGTGGGGGAGCGGGCGAGGAAGGAAGACGACGAGGAGGGTAGATGTGTGTTGAAGGTGCGGGGTACCACGGTGGGAGCATGAGAGTTGGAACGTTGAGATGCGAGATGGAGGAGTGAGTGAAGGGATGAGCGAAGACGATGCGGCGGAGTAAGGTCGGCGATGAGCACGAGAAGCAGGAAAGAGCGGTCAGGGAGGCGAAGACGTACCGATAGCGCGAGACCTCCTTGGTTGATTGGGGAGTAGGCCATGAGGACGAAAACACTGTTGAAGCAGGATCCGGCGAAGCCTAGCGCTGCGCTCGAAGTGAAGACAGCGAGGAGGACTGGGATGGACAGGAGCTGTCGAACCCCGAGTGGCTCGAAGTCGATTTCCTCTACCTCAATGATGATGTCTGCAGTGGGCTCGACGACAAGGGGTTCTAGCTCCTCATCAGTTCTTGAGGCTTGCACTGTTGCTGTGTTCGGAGACTTTGTCGGTAGGGTCTTGAAGACTGTAAGCCCTAAGGGGATAATAACACTCAACAAAGATCGTACCTCTTTTAGGGCGAACACGGATAGCAGAGATGCTGCGATAGAGATCGCCGCAGAGATGAGACATGGTAGAACGTATGGATATTGTGTCCAGAAGGGATTGGTGAACAAATCTGGCCATTGCTTCGCCGGCTCCGCGAAGGTGCCACCAATTAATGGGCTGTTGAATTGACATATGAGCTTCGCGATTGGCCCTGCTCACAAACTGGCTGCCCACCCTATGACATATCCCAGCGCAGAGATGACGTCGTAGAGCGGGAACGCGATCGATTGGTTCGTCTCGTCCGAGAGCTCTCCAACAACAGAATGGATAGCTCCAGTAATGCCGAAGAAGAACCCGCCTGCACGGGCGCTGTCAGTTAGTCAAACAAACGGATGTCGGTAGAGCAACGAACCGAAGAAACGGTTGAGCAGAAGGCTGGTGAGTGACCCAGAAAGACCGAAGAAGACGGTGAAGATTGCCATACCCGCGGTCCCTAGAAGTATGACGGGGACACGCCCGTAGTTATCTGTAGTGGTAACCGTACTTGAGCTGACGCAGTTCGTCTTCGAGAGAGCGCATCAGTTACCGGAAATGCGACCCCAGACGAACATGCTAGTGAGCTGTGTGACGGAGGCTACGGTATGCTGCGGGTAGCCGTTCAGATCGCTTCACGGGTGGAGACAGGTGCTTCGGGCGAGTACTAACCGCAAGTCCGCTGTAGTAGCCCGTATCTGCCCCCTGTGAGGCAGCGAGCTTCTCAATGAAGACATTGTAGTATGGCAAGGATTGGGTGTGCGTAATAGGTAGTGTCAGCTTAATGGCGTAAATTATAGCGAGCTGCAGCTTTGGCAGCGGATTCGGTTTGTTTCTCTGCTTCGCCAGGAGAGGGGCGGTCTCATCCTGCGCCGCCTGCGCCGCGGGTGGTTCGACAGACCCTCCAGCTAGTGTCATGGCGAGAGATAGGCGAGAGGGGTGGAATAGGCTCTAGAGGGGTATCTGAGTATTTATGGTTGCGCAACCATGAGCCCGAGGCGAGCGGTATATGTCGCAGTCGGGATTCAAGGAAGAATTGTCAGCATCTCTGATACGAACGACATAAGCTTATGAGACCGAAGCTGCCCTCTGGGAGCGCAGCGGCGTGAACCAGGTTTGCGTGCTCTTCTCGTCGATTGACGAAAGCGTGTTCGCAGCTCGTGGAGATAGCGCGCCCCTAGATAGGCGCCCTCCTATCTCACAGTGCAGTGCCCCTTGCACGTGCCACCTTCTCGAAGCGGCGAGACCCTGACGCCGTCGCCGCCCTATTATGCAGGGGGGACGAGGACGACTGCGGCCTTGACTCTCTTCCTCTTCTTGCTCTCTCTCTTCCTCGCTACGATCATCATGGCTTATTACAGCAACCCACCACCCCCCTACCCTGGTACCCCGGGAAAGGCTGCTCCTCCGACGTACGAGGATCCAACGACCCAGCCGCTACTGGGACAGTCGGCTGCCGGAAGATCTGGCGTGTATGACCACTCTACGGGAGAATTCCCAGATGATTTCCTCGTAAGCTCCACTCATGCTATCTAATCATCTCGGCTTTCTGACCACGGTGTCAGTACGGAGCTACTGTCGCAGAGTGCGCACTGCAGATCCGGAATGAGTTCGTGCGCAAGGTTTACACCATTCTATGTGAGTATAATCGTTCTCGGGCGCGTTCCCTTACTCATCCGCCATTCAACCCAGTCTGCCAGATTGTACGTTGCACTCAAGCTCTTTGCTGCTCCCTTACTCAATTCGAACCCAGGTTGCCACCACAATAGTCGCAGGACTCATCCGAAGATCCCCTGACACTATCTTCTGGGTTGTAACGCAGTGAGTACTGTCTTACTTCGGAATGTCTGTCTGTGTCACCCAAATGGCCAAGTCAATGGTCTTTCTATGTCCCACTTTTCGGAACCCTGGTGAACCTTGGGCTCCTCTACTGGAAGCGCCTTGACAAGCCCATAAATTACGTCCTGCTCTCGACCTTCACCTTGCTGGAAGCCTTCACTCTCGGCATCACGACGGCATTCTTCGATAATGAGATCGTACTCCAGGCTCTGTAAGTGGAGCTTCATCTTAGCCGCGCGAGCTCCGCTGACTTCGTGCGATTCCATAGGCTGATTACTACGGGCGTGTTCCTCGGCCTCACGCTCTTCACCCTGCAGTCGAAGGTATGCGCTGCCGCTTCATGGCGAAGATGTGTACTGACATCGCCACAGTATGACTTCTCGGGGCTCGGATCCTATCTCTTTGCAGGCCTATTCGCTCTCAGTGAGTCCTATTGTGCTCATTGTTCACGCAACGGTGCGGCGTGCTAACTCGCTCTGCAGTGATGACTGGGCTTGTCGGGATCATCATCCCATTCAGTCGCACTATGGACCTCATCTTTGCGATTGGTGGATGCTTGCTCTTCAGCGGATACGTCATCTACGATACCTACATGATCACCCGCAGGCTTTCGTACGATGAGTATATCGCCGCATCTATCAGCCTCTACCTCGAGTAAGTCACGCTGTTCGCTCTCGAACAACCATAGTTACTGACGGCTTCCCCTTCCATGCAGCTTCATCAACCTCTGTGAGTACAGTTTCTAGTAGGTTCCAATATACGAGCAACTAACACGCTTTCTCAGTCATCAACATCCTGCGCCTCCTGAATGATGCACAGAGAGATTGATTTGCCTTCTCCCCCCCTCCTCAAATTCGCTGATCCTGTAAGTGGCTTTGCGTTATCAGTAATCTGCTGCTGCCAACTGTACAGTAGTTTTAATGATGTCTTATGAGCGGACCATGGAATGCTATCTTTTGCTGGAAGTCTCTTCAAGATGTGGTGTATGACGCAGCTCTTCGATCCTTTTCTGGAACTTCTGGAATGTCGCCGGTTTGTCCAGCATCCGACGCGGACTTGCCACCGACAGCCGCCGGCTGCATCGCATACGGGCGTCTGTTGAGTGTATCTAAGATCCGTCGCCCAAGCGCCGAAGTCAGGCATCAAGCCTCTCGCTTTCGTTCCACACGACCATCCACCTACTCGCTCCCGTGTCGGAGCCCCAAGACCCCCCGAGTCAGCGCATATACCCTCGAAAACCGACCTAACATGCCTCGAGCGAAGAAGGCCAGGACCTCTGAACCAACCACTGCCCCAGAAAGTGGTGCTGAGGGGAGCACAAGCGGTGCCACCGCCCATGGCTCAGAGAAGGCCCAAACGACACGGTCTAACACTCGTCGTAACATCCGGGGTCGACGCGGTGGGCTCAAGGACATGCCAAACATGCCAATAGACATCCTTATCGAGGTACGTGCTCGTCACGTACACTTGCAACACAATCCTGTACAGACGATCCATCGCTAACCACCATGCCATGTCAATGTATGTGTGCATACATGCGTGATCCGCGACGTGCAGATATTCCGGCACATGCACCCGCGCGACCTGCTCAACCTTGCGCGGACGACTAAGGACTTTCGCGCGTTCCTCATGAAGCGGAGCTCCGCGCCCTTCTGGAAGGCGGCCAGGCAGCAGGTTAATGGCCTCCCGGAATGTCCGGCCCATCTAACCGAGCCCGCATATGCGAATCTAGTGTTCTTCTTCCATTGTCATGTAAGTGTAGCTCTGCAATCCCCAATTCGCGTGCATAGGAAGGGCTGATCTCTCGCGTGTTCCGATTATTCTCTAGGAATGCCTCAAGCCCAATGTGAAGAACGTGATCTGGGAGTTCTCCGTGCGGTACTGCTCACCGTGCAAGGGGAGACTGTAAGCTCGTGACCAGGATGTGTTGAGGCCAGTCGTTTACCGCTCCTTCCAGCGTCGAGCATAGCTACCGACCTCTTCCCTACGACATGATCCAAGAGGTGCGGGAGGTCACCTCTGTTGACTGGGGCTACCTGAACGAGTATCGGGCCGCAACGACGTATGTGCCGTATCAATCGTACCGTCGGGTCTCGGCCTATCTCATCATATTCTATCTTCTACAAACAGGAAAGGGTCAAGGTATAAGGATCTGCATTATCTCAATTCCGAAGCTGCAGAGTTCAGAGCCAAATGGACATCACTGTCCACGGACGAAGAGAAGAAGACGTTCATCGCGGAACGTGTGGAGGCGGTAAAGCAGAGGAAAGAGGTAAACATTCACTTTTTATGTGCGTCCTTCTCAGAGGCGATGTCAATGTTTGAATTTTGCAGTTTGCGGACCAGATGTGTAGGTGGCAGAAAGCTCAGGAGCATTTTCGATCTCAGGAATTAGACACCATCAAAGAGGCACGTTTCGAAGCGTGAGTCCGTCCACAATGCTATGGGGGCGTTGTCTATTAACGAGCTTTCTGTTCAGAATCTGCAAGCGACTCGCAGACGAAGGCTGGGCTGAAGAGTTAGAACTGATGGACAAAACTGAGCTCGCCGAACTGAGTTGGCAGAAGGCCGCACGTAAAAGTCAGAAGCTTACTGATTATGGTGCGTGTAGCTCAAGGCCCGTCGGGATTCGCATGTTTTGTCCCTCAACAACTATTCGCAGGTTGGCGGAGCATTCGCGCGGAGCTCCACCACTATATGGAGACCGTCCGCACGAAACGCCTTGATCGCGAACAACACAATATGCTGTGCGCGCGGCTGGTCCTGTTCGGCGATGCGCTTCGAGAGTACCAAGCATCCAAGCTCCCGAGAACGGCCGACACGGACTGGCATCCTTTCCTCTCCGACTATGCTATGATGCCTCAGGTCCGAGAGGTGATAGAGGCGCCTCCGGGCACAGCAGTCACGAAGGAGATGCTCCTCGCCTTGTGCGAAGCACAGATTCCAGCTCTTACTGCGAAGTGGTACGACGATCGTAAGCGGGAGTTCGCCGCGCAGATCAGGAAGAAGACCGAGGCCTATTCAGAGCTCAAAGGCCTCCCTGAGGATCCCGACTGCCTCCTCTCCCTCGCTATCGCAACATTCAGATGCACGAGCTGCCAGTTCCTTGGCATGCGCTGGCCGCAGGTCCTCTCTCATCGATGTGGGCGGGGTCGGTCAATCTACGGCCTCATGTTTGTGCGCGATGGGAAAGACCACCAGTATCGTCACGCGATCGGGCGGACGTGTATGGAGTACAGGTTTACACACCCCTGGAGCGACTCTAAGAATGTGTTCAGCTTCAATGACAACCTGAAGCAGACGTGTGCTGTCATTAGCGCATGCGGGAAAGATCCGGCGAAGGTAACGTTCGAGGAGATGGAGGCGTGCGGAGTGCGGCTGTTGTGTCGTGGTTGTCAAAATGCAGCCCATGCACTCTTCAAGGCAACTTATTGTCGGGCGTGTGAATGGAAGAACGCGGTGAGCATACTATGATGCGTAGTTCAGAATAGACTAGTCGCTAACTCTGCTAGTGATAGGTGTCTCGACATGAGGAAGGGCCTCTGCATTGGTTTGCTGCCAACCACGAGCCGGATTGGGTGCGCCTGGACGCGGAGCATACGCGTCAAGTCCTTCGACTCGAAGCGAGTCAGCGAGAGAAATTCGAAACGTCGCTTTTGGCATCACCGGTCACAACCTTTGGGTGCACGCAGTGTCGGTTTCGAGCTATTCATCAAGCGGTCCTGGAGCATTACGCCACGTAAGCGTTGAGACTGATATTGTGAGCTGGCGAAGTACTCATCATGCGCGATAGGCACCACGGAAAAAAGACTGTCGCATTCGGGACGGACTACTATATCCACATGGACAACAGGCCCTACGTGCCCGAACCGATACGTATATACCCGGAGGGGTTGCGTGACTCGCCCGAAGTCGTAGACGTTGTCAAATCTGGGAGGGGTTTCACCACCGCCGCGCCTTTGTTCTAACGGATAACAGGTGACCGGATGACGGGCTGCACTCACACTCGATCATATGAATCCAATGCGTCTACACAGGACATCCAAGCCGCCTACGTCATGTTCAGCATGTCCTCTATCACACTTGTATTACCTGCCGTTCGGCTCTTCGTGTTTCATACCATTATTCGCATCCTCACAGTGATTCACACCGCAAGCATTCCTCTGGTTGTGTCCCTCCGAAACCATGACATTGCCGAACCGGTCGAGCAGCACGTACAGGAACATATCCTGGCCATGATATAAAAAGAATAAATTATCCACTCCAGTTGTGATTCCGTCCACCCATGCGCTCAAACTTCCGAACAATGCCACTTGATGATGATGATGCTCCTCATTGGAACGTGAACAGCTCGTTGCCAGATGCGCTGTCGGGCGACGCTGCAACGGGGGCGAGCGCGCCGTTGGTGACCGTGAAGATCGTCTGGTTGTTGCCGTTCTGGGGCACGATGGGAATGTTCGTCGCCTGGCCGTTGAACGTGAAGAGCTGCGAGCCCACATCAGTTACCGCATCCGAACCGATGACATACAAGGTATGCATACCTGCGAGTTGGTGACAGCGCCTCCGCCGTCAGCGCGGCCACCGCACGAGAAGAGGATGACCTGGTCGCCGTCGGCGCGGCGGGGGTCGAAGTTCATGCACCCCTGAGTAAGCGTGCTGACGATGAGCGCGAAGCCGGGCTGATCGTTGTGCACGCCCTTGGTGATGACGTCCCACTTCTGGCCATCGCTGCCATCGCACGCCTTCGCCTGGATGGGGATCAGGTTCTCGCGGAAGTCACCAGCGGTGGCGTCAACCGACAAGCAGTTGCCGTCGTTCGTCTGTGTGCAAACGCGATCCGATGTCAGGTTCGAAATAGAGCGGGTGGAGGAGCTGACAGTGTATGCTTACCTTGATGGAAACGCTAGAAAGCGCACGCGTGGCGGTGTTGTCACGAGGGTTGGCCTCAGCAGCGGCGGAGGGGTTGAGCACGACACCAGCACGAGAGACGCTCACAGGACCGGTCGTCGTCGCAGAGGCCGTGGTCGACGTCGGAGCCGGGGTAATCGAGGGCGCGCTCGTGGCACTAACGGTAGTTGACGTAGCAGCCGCAGACGTGGTCGCCGCGGAGGGGGCGGCGCCATTGTCGCCGAACGTGAATAGCTAAAGTACATCACGAAACACGAGTGCTATCAGCCTTTGCGATGTAGTTGCACTAGGTCATGCTCACCTCGTTGCCGCTGGCTTGGGCAGCCGAGCCAGACGTCTGGTCGAGGAGACCGTTGGTGACGGTGAGGAGCGTCTGGCCGTTGCCGTTCTGAGGCACGAGCGGGAGAGGGCCCGCACCGCCGGTGAACGCGAAGAGTTGCGAGTTAGTGACAGCTCCGCCTGCGATGATAGGTGGTTTGATCTCATGTTACGAGCCCGAAAGGGAAATTGTTCTTACCACCATCCGCACGACCACCGCAAGAGAAGAGGAGGACCTGGTTGCCGGCAGCGCGACGAGGGTCGAAGTTCAGGCAGGCCTGGGTCTATACACCATGTCTTCATTGACACACCCTTCCCTAGTACCATGTCATGATGGACCTACCAGAGAGCTGACGATAAGGGCCTGTCCGGGCTGGTCGTTGTGCACGCCGGCTGTAATGACATCCCACTGTACGATGAATAGAACGAATTAATGAAGAAGAATGCCGTAAACAGCGAGCCGCCTTACCTTCTGGCCGTCAGAGCCATCGCAGGCGCCGACCTGGACGGGCGTGAGGTTGTTCCGGAAGTCGCCGGAACCGCTCACGACGAAGAGGCACTGGCCGTCCGAGGTCTTGATCTCGGTGGACGAGAACGCGCGGGTGGCGGTGTCGTCGCGCTTTTGCGCCTCAGCGGTGGCGGCGGGGTCGAGTGTGACGAGACGAGGGTTCAAGGGGAAGGCACGGGTGAGCGCACCGCACAGAAGCAGGCTAGTAGACACGGCAGAGACGATATGCATGGTATAACAATAGTGTCGAGCTGGGTATGTTCAGTAAAGAGTGTCGAGCTGCTTGAGCGATGCGTAGAGCGTAACTGTGCGTGGATAAAGAGGGACTAGCCGCAAAAAGTGAAAGAATGAACGTGCAAAGGAACCCTCGTCAAGAGGCGGGAGTCAGCGAGAGGAGCCGGAGGGGGAGAAAGAGACTGCAGTCCAGCTCGGGAAGGCCAAGCTTTTTATGCAGGGCGCGCATCATCTGGCTTACGGTTATGTTTCTCAGGAACACAGCGCTCACCGTGCGGGCAAGATGTTCGATATACCACAGCCACCGTATAGCAATGATCCTGATGCGCTACACAACCAAGGCAATCACCTGCAATCACTCGAGAGCCCCGCCAAACCGCGCTGACAATCTCTGCGATCCAGCCAACGTTGCTGCGACCCCACCCTATCGCCATCACGAGTATCGACACCCTTGGGTGCAGAACATCTTCGGGAGAGGTTCGCCGTTGCGCCTCGTGAAAGTTAGCACCATCAGCGTGATGAATTGGGTAACTAAGGGCTGATCTCACTGACAACAACCGTTGTGTAGCGACTTCAGGGAGGGTCGTCCGGTGACCGAGGCCGAGGCGTATGGAGGAGCGAAAACAGACACTCTTGTGCTCACACTCAGTGCCATCATGTAATGTCACGCTGCTTGGCCTTCTGGCCCAGCAACCACATCCGTCGATGTCCCACATAAGTATGTCGTGCACTGGCCGCAGACAACCCCCGCAAACTGATCGCCAAACACATGATTACCAAGAACCGCGCCACACACTTGCAGCAGAGTCTGTCGGATGTGCTTCGATGACAGCTTCTTTCGATCATGTTGATGAATGTTCGTCTCCTGGGTGTTAAGTATGATGAAGACGTGACCATGCCTGCAGCTCAGCGCTTAAAAAACGGTCGTCTTGTCGCCACGTTCTCCGGCGGCCAGCCTATCGCGAAAACTCCCGAACTCCGATTGCCCTGGGCATTGTACCTCGCGTTCGTGATGTCGTCGGGGGATCGGAAAAGCTCACATAAGTGAGTACATATCCGGTCCTTGGGACAGCGCTTAATCCCCTCTTATGCGGATTTGCGATGGCCTAGGATCGGATAGCCGGTCGATCCAGGATAGGGTTACTCGACATACAGTTTCCAACCGGTCCATGGCCAAGCGAGCCCATAAAAAGGGTCGTTAGTTGATATGGGAGGCTAGTGATGTACAGAGAAGTGGGTGGTCTGCACGATGGTGCGATGGTCCAAGTCTGAGAAAACTCGTGCAAGAGACGTGAGAACGTGTTCTGCGTCGGGCCTAAGTGCCCGCACGGAAGATTGTGCAAGGGTGTGCAAGGCTTCGCAAAACCTAGCAAAGCTAGTCATGGGCGTCCAAAGGCGCGTAAACGTTCGCCAAAGCGAGTGGACAAGAAGCCAAGGGGTACTTCGTTGAGAGAACAACGTTATAGGAGCTAGTGTCACGGTGGGCGGATATCGAAACGCTATATCGTCACCCCAGGCGACAAGGCCGTCCACATCGACTTCAACTCACGGAACCCGGCATCGACTGCATGCCAGTCGCAGCAGTCCCAAGGCTTGTCCGGCTTAAAGGGAAAGAAGGTGCCCTCATTATTGCCCAGCAGCAGGAAAGCGGCGGTACAGTCGACGACTGCATCGTCGTCTTTACTAAGTTGATCGGCCAATACATACTTCAAGAGGCCGCATAATATCCGCATAGGGCCGTCGCCAGCCACCAACGGAGACATGAAGTAGAAGCGGCTGATATCGAATCCTAAACCTAGTCACCGGGCGTATCATGGCATATTAGTCTCCAAAATTCCCTGTATGCGTGCAGAAGGCTGAGCTGTCCCTCTCCGACTATTTCGGAGCACCACCCCCTCAATTCATATGCTCAGTCAGCGACCTAGGCAGATACCCGATGTCCGAATTATGAGCAAGCAAGAAGCAACATAAAGCTTACTTACCCCCGGGAAATCGGTGGCATGTAAACACTAATCTGTCAACCAGACAAACTTTGAGCGAATGGCATCCCCTAAGGGATATTATGCTAGCTCCTGAAGCTACGCGACGAACTTTGGTCGGCTGGACGTCTTGCAGAGGTAATTCCGCAGCTGTGCGCGCAGATTTCGAATCAATACCCGTTCCTGTGTACCAAGGCCAGTGGAGGTGCGTGTTGCAAGGAATGATTGCCTAGTGGTGACTTGGAGAGGTTGACGATGCTAACCTGCGGAAGGCTCGACTGATCCGAGACTCAGGCTTGCGGACTCTGCATGGCTACCATCAGACCCCTTGAGTTATGGTGCGCATGAGTGGTTCTCTTCGTGGGGCATCCAAGAGGACACAGCATTCAAGATGCAGACCTGGACATGGCCACCTGTGCGATCAGCTGTGCAGATCAGGACGACGACCTAGAGCATGTCTTGCCCACCTGCGTTTGACGTCCGGCGATATGGTCATCGTCGTTTCGCGCCTTACAATCACCGGAGTCTGGTGGCACAGGCGTGCGAGATCCTGCCAAGCTGTTCAAGACTCGTGAAAGGACGCTGTCGCTAGACACTTAGGTGATATCGTCAATTGGCTGTGTCCCGTGCCATGGTGCTTCGTCATTCGCACCATCTTCGAGCTTGAACTGCCCACTGCCTGCCTCATTGATGATAGAGGTATAGTAGAACCTTGCCAGGTGACCGGTGCCTGGCAATATTGCGAGCTGGAGCAGAGTGCCTGGAATGCATAGCAGGAAAGTTCCGCGAAGGTTTCTGGGAGCTGTAGAGCTAGCGTCTGATTCACACGTGGGCGATATGATCTATGGTCGGCTGTGCCATGGCTTGGGCCTCGCCACAGCTCTGTCCTCCTCCTCGACATCCCGCCCCCGCCCTGCGCATTCAGCTCCGTTGTCCTCCTTATTGTCCAGGACGGAGCTCTTAGGTCTGCGCACAACGCGGGGCTGACATCCGCCATTCTCCTTCCTCTCCCTCTCCTACCTCCCCAGTGGTCTGCTGCGCCACGCCACACGAAGCCCGTCTTTGACGCCACTGAGCTTGTCCAGTCAACCACTCACCAACTAGTCAATCCGCAATGCCTCTCCCGGCGAACAGCACCGTCCTTCTCCAGGGCTCCAGCCAACCCGGGGATCCTCTGGGCTATAAGCCTAAGCAGGCTATGCTTATTCGCATGACGCAGGAGACGTTCGAAGCGCTTCAGGACCCCGAGACTCACTCAAGCCTCGAGTTCAATTTCGGAAATGCCCCAGTACGCATTCTTCATACTCTTGCATAGCATCACAGTGGTTTCATCCGTGTGCTAGGGTCTCTACATCGGAGGCACGTTCTTCCCTGTGCAGCCATCCAGGGAGAATGCTCATAACCACGAGCTCTATCTCCGGACGCCGTCGGCGCAGAAGCCGAGGGCGCCACTCAAGCTCTTTGGCAGCGTGATCGGCAAGTTCAGAGTCGAGAGGCAGCTCGACGAGAAGGTCGAGGAGTCCGTCCGCGACCGCACGCTGGAGGCCGCGAAGCAGCGCACAGAGCGCCATACCAAATACCTCGACACTCCGCCCGATCTGTCCTACTCGAACTCGAAGACCGGGACCAAGAAGAAGACGGGCGCTGCTAGTCGGGTGTCCGTCCAGGCTAAAAGTTATCCAGTCTCGAAGCCATCGCCGCTCCCCAGCCGGGATGTACACACGGCTGCGTCGTCCTCATCCTTGTCGGCGGCCGATCAGCAGACAAGGGAACGCATCATACACTTCCTCGCTCTCGAGCCACGGACCATGTCGAAAACGTTGGATGCGTGCTGTGGAAAGGACCGTACCGAAGAGCAGGAGAGGAAGTATGAGGCTCTCATACGACAGGTCAGTAAACTAGTATGTGTCATCCCATGCTGATTCGAGTGACATGTGTGCTATCAGGTCGCGGAACCGATGCCGGTGAAGAAGGGCGATACTGGCGGACCGCCATTGTGGCATTTACAACGCGAGTCATGGCGCGAAGTACGGCCGTATACCTTCCCCAAGCTCAGCGAAGAGGAACGGTTGGGCTTGTCCCGACAGGCTCGGCTGGTATTCAAGGCTCTGCAGATACCGGAGTCGGACCCCATCTGGAACAATGTTCGACACCGCATCGCATCCGGTGCGGCGTCTGGTTCTGCGGGCCCAAGCGCTCCGGCCCCGGAGAAGAATGGCGTGGTCATGACGAAGAACTCGACAAAGAAGGCGAAGGGAGAGGGTACGCGCAAGAGGCCCTTGGACATCGCGATCCCGTCGAAGGACGAGAGCGGGAGCGCGAAGGCGAAGAGCCGAGATGTCGACGAGGGGAGCGCGGCCGGGACGCCGATGTCTGCAAGCAGACCCACGATGGGGCGCAGGTTACCTGGTTCGGGCTTCAAAGTGAAGCCATCGCCTACTCCTCCCACGGAGCGTCGCACGCACTCGCCCCTCCCTCCTCCTCCAAAGAAAGCCGGGCCTGTGGATGCGCGCGAGAGCAAGCGCTCTGCGCCGGAGCCGTCAGGCTCTGCGAAGCCTCTTCCACCCATCGCTCCCCCTCAGACACAGGAGTCGCGGTCCGCTTCGGTTTCCGCCGCTGCTGCAAAAATACGGAAGAAGGAAGCTCAATCCTCGGCGGGTACTTCTCGCGCTGCTGAGAGCCGAAGAGAGGAGCGCGAGCGCGAACGAGAGCGCGTCCGTGAGCGTGACCACGCAGCTGAGGAGAAGCTTCGTGTCAAGGAGAAGGAGCGCGCATCCCCTCTCCCCATCCTCCCCGCATCCGCACCTCTACCTTCCTTCAAGCGCAAGAAGCCGCCACAGGACGGAAACGATTCTGAGTACTCGGAACGGGAGCCCTCGCTCAGTGCCAGTTCGTCGAAGAAACGCAAGCTGGATGCGGAGCCTCCCAGCTCGACCGAGAAAGCTCGCAGCAGGGATCTATCTCTCCCGAAGAAGCCGGTGGTCCGCGAACCCTCTCCTCTGGCCCCGCCGCGTCAGAAAATCAAGACTGAGCCTTCGCCTCTTTCGTCCTCGTTCTCTCCTCCTCGTCCCTCGTTACCCCCCAAGCCGGTCGGTGCCGAGAAGCACCAAATCTCTTCTTCCTCTTCCAGCGTGAAGAGCGCCAAAGCCACCGAAGCTGTTGCGCCTTCGCGCCCCTCTGGCAAGTCCAAGCGGAGGTCCCCCATATATACGTCTTCCTCCCAGGACGAGTCCGAGACGTCCGTGCCAGTGTCACGCCCGCGCACTGCCGTCCCCACAGCGCACCGCGACTCGCCCTCCGCAGAGCCCCCGGCGAAGCGTCGTCGGCTGTCGAAGGTGCACGTCCCGCGCTTTAAGCCGCGCCCGCTCCCGTCCGACCTCGCGTCGTTGCGGAAGTACTACCGCTCGTGCTACAGCACATACTTGGACCTGTATGGGGAGCAGACGAAGCGCCGCAACCGGATCCAGCGCATGCTCAAGCGGCTCGAGGGCGAGCAGGGGGAGGAGAGCGCACCGAGCGATGAGGACATGGAGGACCTCGTGCCGGAGGTGCTGAAGGCGTTCATGGACAACATTGATGCGGTTGTGCAGGAGATGAAGAAGGTGTCCAACGAGATCGAGAGGCTGGGTGGGAAGGTGGAGAACGGCACGCCGGTGATGGAGTGAGGAGGTGCGTAGCTGGTGCGGTTGAGTTGGGGCGTGTTTGCTTTTGTTTAATGTGGAGGTTTGGGTCATAAATACTCGGAGGTTGAGCTGCCGCTGCGAATAGACTGTACTTGTAGTTATTTGGATGCATCTTGGAGGTCTCTAGTCTGGGTCGCCGTGCAAAAATGTGTTGCGGAGTTCGCTGGGAAGCGGCGTTTGTGTCCTAGTATGCTTGTATGTCCGACCAAAAGTGGTCATGGCATCAAATATTGGCTCATCTCAAACCGGACGAGCTCTCTGCTCTCCGCAAGGTATACACAGCCTCACACGTTGTGCTGCATCGGCGGCTGAAGCATCTACTCTTGCTTTGGTCCAAAGGCTCAGTACTAGGATACGTAAGGAGACTGCCCAGTTGTGACGTTAGAAGGACAACGAACCATCAAGTTAAAAGGTCCCGTAATATTCCCTCTCAATGAGATGAGAACGCCTGATAGGCTAAGCCTGGCCTCGATGACGAATTGGGAGAAATTCATTTGGACAGGGGCGACTCATCGAACAGTATGGGCGCGGGACCCAAGTGAGAGGAGGCGTGCTTAGTGTACCATAGAGGTGAGGCAACGCGACACGTAGTTGTAGGAGCAAATCAATGTACTGATTGATGATGGAGAGAGTGCAATGATGGGGAGACATATACGCCACTTTCGATTGAACGCCGTTCCATTCTCTGCCATACGCCAGCGTCGGGAGAGAAAGCTGCGTGCTTCACGCGGCAAGTGCGCTCAACAAATGCCGTGGCACACGACCCAACACTTGCCTTTCACAGCCGCACAGATCCATCCCTCTTGGACGGTGTGACACATTCTCCTCACGGAGAGGAATGTGTTGTATATGTAGACGGGCGCAGCGTATCCTCCCAGTGACCAGACCAAGCTCACTTTGTCTACGTCCCAAATCTTGGATGTCCCGTCGTCCGACGCGAAGAACACAAGCTTCCCTTCCGGTGAGATAGCGACCGCTTGTCCTTCTGCCGTAGGTCGCTAGAATACAGAGATGGGTCTTCCTATTCAACATGCCAGAGTCTGACCGTGCAGTCGTCAGAGGCAACGTATGCTCATAGGATCGAATGTGGGCAGCACGGAGCAAATCAGGAAGCCAGCCAACGTCCGTCTGGAGGAAAGCGGACAAACTAGGTTGGTGGACGGTCCAGCTCGTCGCCCAGCACATGCAGTGTCGTGCCAGCGTTCCAGAGGCGTACCTTCCCGTTAAAGTATCCGGAAGCTATCATGGTGCCGTCGGAGCACCAGGCACAACTCTGGACCATCCTGCTGTACCCTTCGAGTGCTGCGGCTTTGCGTGCCCTTCCATTGAAAATCCAGATCGCGGCGGAAGCTAAACATCGACCGTAGGGGTAACGCCAATGAGATATCACCAGCGCGGGCTGCCCACTCCTGTGAACTTCGTCGGGTTCTTCGTGAGGATAGTAGTGTTGTCACTCGTCCATGTCGCGACCATTTCACTGTGTGGGGAATAGGCGAGGAAGCGTGCCCGGGCGTCATGTCCAACGATGTGATCTGCACAAGAGATAACCCGACTTTCCTCCACCTGTCTCAGCAATGGCGAACTGTCCTGATCCCGAAATCATTGTGAGCAAGCCACATTATCGTTCTGAGGAACGTAGGTCATGAGCTCCCTGATCTAGGGCCTGGTGCAGGAAGATCGGATGTGCCCGATGGAGGAGAAGGATATTGCAGGATGAGGTTCAGGGGAGCTTGGTCAAGTTCTGGCTACAGACGACGATCGCCTCCCCTGTCATATCTTCACCGGTTCAGCGTCCTGATATTATCTGACTGAAGACCCACTGTCGAATTTGTTGGGCTGGAAAGATGGAAGCGTCTCAGTATATCGATGATCTTCTCGATGCGCTCCGTATAGAGCTCTGTGTTCTGCATCAGGAAAGCGAGCTGAGCCCTTGAACACGTTGTCGGTCTCTGAGGGGCCAATGAGTAGTACAGCGTCGTGATACATTGTCATTAACCCATACCGTATAACATTGATGGGATCGGCTTCGAGGACAAGCTCTCTATGGCTAGGATATTCTAAGCTGGCCCAATTGGCAAAGCGAGCAGCTCGGGGTCGCATAACCACTTGTCAATCTACGGCATGAAGGGACTAGTAGGTCAGCATTTCACGGCGACCGCTATATGTGCTACACTCACGATGGTTTATCATCTGAGCTGCGACCGTTGCTACAAACGTTGTGATCGCTTGGCGATACGCATTATTAGTCCGCACAGTAAAGTGCGCATCTTCGCAGATGAGATCTGTCGGAGTATCTGAGAGAAACGTTGCAACGTGCGACAGTCAGTGCCAATCAGGTGTCCAGAGTTACGATCCGGGCTCCGAGGAGCTGCCAGCATGTCAAGCTTGAATGGTGTAATTGTATTGAAAGCAAAGGGGCGCTCCGGTTGCGGGAGATGAACTTTGGGTGAAAGAGGCCACGGGGAGGGTGCGGAGTCGGGGGAATGGCGCGAAGTCAATCGAATCGATGATCACCGCAGGTACAGAGGCTGAAGACGCGAGTCGGCGCAAAGGTAGTCTCCGAAGGCAAGCAGTCGGCGACCTCGACCACGCCAGAGTGTGGGTAGTACTTGTATTCGACGCCTGAGGCCCCAAGTTAGTCCCGGGCCTGGGCCAGAACACCCCTTAGCGTCGGACTAAGGATCCTAGGCCGCCGGTATGGTGTCTGCAGGACAACTGCAGAACATGCAGAACATGTGCTTCAGCCTGAGCCGTAGCACTATGAAGAGCTCGATGGGATAAGCGGGATTGGACGCATCGAGACTGAGATGTTGAATTTGGCGTGCAGACGTGTGGCCGATCGGGCGGCTATTCCCGGCAGAAGAAGAAGCCCGAAGGAGCCTGGCATTCGCCGCAATGTTGGATGTGTTCCCGAGAGTAGTGCCACCTCGCGCTCGTCCACCTATATTAGTTATGTAGACAGCTCAAGTCCTAGACCGGTGCGTCTCTTCTCTCTGTTCTCTGACCTCGGAACCTCTGTGCTCTCTTCGTCCTGACTGACTGTCATGCAAGCAGACGAGTCATCCACTCAGGCTGTCGCCCAGTCTCGCAACACAGGCCATACAACATGCGAAGCCAAGTCTATTCATGGTTCGGGTGCGCTGGTGTATCTTGGCTCTCGTCGCCATCTCCGTGGTCGCAGAGGTGGGTTGAAGGATATGCCCGAGATGCCACTGGATGTTCTCTTTGAAGTAAGTGATCAAGCATCCTTGTTTCCTCATTGTACTATGGAATAATAGAAACTTACACTATGCCTACTAGATATTTGGATTCCTCCACTCAAGAGACCTGCTGAGTCTAGCCCGGGCGACGAGGGAGTTCAGGGCTCTCCTAATGAGTCGGCAGTCAGCGCCGTTCTGGCGAGAAGCAAGGAGACTTATAGAGGATCTACCGGACCCTCCTTCATATTTGAGTGAGCCTGCTTACGCCAACCTCCTCTTCTCTGTACATTGTCACGTAAGTAACATCTACCGGGAACTGTTCCGCGATCTCATCATTACAAACTTTTCAGAACTGTTGCAAGCCCAACGTCCAGGCTGTATACTGGACATTCTCTGTCCGGTACTGCGATCCGTGCCAGAAAGCTATGCAAGTCTAACAGGACTTTCGCTTCGCCATCAGGCGCTCACCTACATGCTATGTTTTTAGGTTCGCCGATGAGACCGAGGTGTCGGCGTTCCTAATGGAAGCCTTCCAATACGCATCCGACCTATATGTGAATTCCAGATACGAGTACGCCGCTGTTCTCAGTATTCACATATCGATGAACCCTTAGCATAGCTGTGTACAGTACGGGCCGTTCCTTCGGGCGGCAGTATCATATTCCCGAGATCGGCGCTGTGAGACGGCAGTGGGCCGCGCTCCGCGATGATGCAGAAAGGGCCAGGTTCAAGGCAGATAGGGCGGCATTCGTCGCGGAGAGTCAGAAAGTGCGTCCCGCCCATTTGCCGCTTTGTATGTCTAACATATATTGAACGCATTTCCAGTACTGCAAGCTCCTCTCGCTTTGGCAGGTTTCTTGCAAGGGCAAGAGGTCAAAGGAAGTATGCGAGCTGAAGAGGGAGCGTTTCGAAGCGTGAGTGAGCGTGGGCTCCCTAGCTGGTGCTACGTATGACGTATGACGACCGCCACCAGCGTCAAGTGTAGATTGCATCAAGAAGGCTTTGGCGATGTGTTGAGTTGCATGAAGTACATGGAGCTCACGGGCCTCAAAAGGATGAGTTCCGTGAACAGGGCGTCCAAGCTTACGGATAAAGGTATGTGTGCGCCGTACGTATAGTCATGCTCTGGATGCTGAGTCAGTGAATCAGGATGGAAGAGCATCCGCACGTCTGTCGTGCAGTACATGACGCCAATCCACGATAGGTATCTGAAAGCACGCACCGAGTTGACTTACAGACTTCGACTCGGACGGCTCAGAGACCTCTTAGACGATTATCATCACAGCAACACTCCACGTACTCCTTCATCAGACTGCGAGCCAGGGTTCTGTGAACTTGCGACCCTACCAGCGATCCAGACACTCCTCCAGGACATGTCCAGCGACGTCGTGCAAGAGTTACAAATTCTGCCCGTCGATTTCCCCAGTCTCATGATCTCATGGACGGAGCATCATAGGAACGTCTTCGTTGAGCTCGCGCTAAGGGGTCTAGGCGAATCCTCTGCTTCCCTAGAGCTGGACACTCTTCTCGATCTCGCACTCGTCTCCTTTGTCTGCAAGCGCTGTCATCGACGGCAACTACGCTGGCCGCACCTCCTTTCTCATCGGTGCTTCCGCGATAGATCTGAAGTACACCCGAAATCCGTTTATGAGGTTCTCGCGTCGCACCAGATGCAATCTGACCACGATGCGCCTTATCGGGGAGAGGAACTTGCGGTGTTCGATGACCACGTCGCTGTCACACATTCCATAATCTCCCTGTGTGGGCTCGCTCCGGACACCGCAACATACAAGGACGTAGAAGACGCCGGCGCTACGCTCGTCTGCTGGCTTTGCATGTCGGAGAGCCCTGGGCAGTGCCAGGTATTCGACTGGCAAACTGCAGTACGTACCACCTCTCCGCCCGTATGGATGTGGCATGCCCATCGCTGATCTTCGCCCTCTTACGCTAGATCCGGCACTCCATCATCAGTCACTCTACAGAGGGCGCGGACCCCGCATCCTTCTGGGAGCGCCTCCTGCCTGTCCAAACGGTCCAAGCGCATGCGCTCGAACGCACGCTCGTGCAACAGAACAACACGCTCTCGCAGAATCCTATCAACGTGTTCGGCTGCACGCGGTGCCCCTCGCATGGGTCTGTCGTCGTCCTTATGTTTCATTTCCTTTGTGTGTGAGTCTTCAAGTATCGTATCATGTTCAAATGCTGTTTGTTCGCATGCTGACTGTTTGCTGTGCGATCACCGCGCGGTACGATTTACAGACATGGTTTAGTCAGCCCTGAGCTCGGGGAGGACATGTACCTACATGAGGACTCGAAGCCGTGCGGCGCGCCTTCCGTCTGGATTGACCTATCGGCGCGGCGGTTGTGCACGGAGGTACAGGCGGTTTGACTGACGCGTTCTTGGCTCCTTTGTTCCGTTCGACCCAGGTTTCTTCGTGCACTTACTCTTATCTCTCTGCTTGTACAGAAGTTTTACGGGCGCCTTGTAAACTAATGACAACATTTATATATCCTGAGACGAACCATGAGGAATTCCCCGACAGTGACTCCCACATTTCCGGAGTATGGTGAGGTGACACGGCAGGCCTCAACGTATTGAGCTCTATTCCGGTCTTCCCCGTTCTACCCCGCGTGTAGCGAACTTCTCTATCTCCCATGGGGTCAAGGAGGCATCCATGTCGTCGTGGTCTATCCCTCTCGTCGTGATGTTTGCAGTCCACAGACACCAGTGCGAGACAAAGAATGTCAACATGTACACATGTAACTCAACATTATACACGACACGACACGACCGACTACCGCTCAGAATCCGCTCGCGGTGACACGCAACTGCTCGAGCTTCTTGAGCACCTCACCCACCGTCCGATCAAGCTCGCCGGCGATCGAGCTCTGTTTGTTGGCGGGCAACTTCGCAAACGACTCGCATAGGTCCCCGTCGACGACGGCCTTGACGGGCACGTAGTACCCCCGCCATGCGAGATGGTCGCGTCCGACGAGACTGAGCTGCTCCGTCCGCATGTGCTGCTCGAGAGTCGTGAGTAGGTCGACGTCTTCCTTCGACACGAACGGCACGAGAATGCCGATTGTCCCGTGCAGGCAGGTGTAAAGGATGACCTCGCGGCCACCGGCGACGAGCGAAATCTTGTTGAGGGAGGTGACGATATCGCCGATGTGGAAGTGCGCGAGCATGGCAGTCTTGTGAGGCGCACCAAACAGGACACCCTTCTCATGCAAGATACCGGCACCTGTCGGGTCGTCGTCGATCTGGTCAGAGATCTTGGCGTCTAGGCGGTTGACAAAAACATTCCCGAAGCGATCGCTGGCGACCACGGTGTTGTAGTCCAGCATAGTTGTCGCAGTGACCCAGCGGGGTTGTACATCGTCGGCGAAAACGAGCAGGCGATTTTCTGGAGGCTTATACACGGCATAGAAGACTGACTCTTGCATGTCGCCGATGATGATCCTCGACCCTTGCGTATTCAGTGTGACGATGGTGGAGCCGAGTGTCTGTAAAGAAGTAAAGAAGATCAGACGATTCTACCCGTCTGAGCAGATGATTTTTAAATACTTTGTTCTCCACTTTACGGAGTAGCTTTTTCTTGCCTATATCATACAATCGCAAGGCCTTTCCTACGCCAGCGACCAACTTTCCCTGGAACGCCATGATAGCCAATGGCACATCGTTCGTCTCGGTCTGTGTGCAAATGAGGCGCTTACCCGAGAACGGAGGCGCGATGGAACGAACCTTGTGCAGCAGTTCCAAGTTCCTACCATCATCGGTGAAGCGATACGTCCTCAAAAAGCCGCTCGTACATGAGCGCGGAGCGAGGAAAGTATCCTGCGCGGTGCCCACGACAAGATGAAGCTCGTTGTTCTTCGCAGCGAACGGGACAATTGCCAGCGAGAACGCAGCTTCGTTGTTGTCTAAGTGGATGACGTTGACCGTTTGAGCCTGCATCATAGTGTCAGCACAAAAGTGCGGATATAATCTGTCCGTAGGCTTACGTCCAACGGACTAATGATCCGTATACACGAGGCCCAAGTACCCGCAGGCGCCTTCGGTCGTCCAAATTGCTCGGGAGGCAGGTTCACCATCTCCTCATCGACTGCCCGACCACTTTCCCGCTGTAATACATCTAAATCAGTTCCTATTGAGGCACTGACGCGCCTGAACGAAGCTCACCAACTGCTGCAACTGCTTCGCCGCAGCCTCCTCGCTCATCACCCGGTGATCACCCTCGATGAGATATAGGAGTCCATTGTGAGGGTGAGGGATCAATTTGCGGGGCGTGTACGACAACGGTATTGAGTCCTGCTTGAGCTTTGTACCCAGCTTCGGAATCTGGAATATCCTGAAGACGAGATGACAAGGTCAGAGATACTACGAAGGAATTTGAGGAAGATTATAAGGAGGAGTTACAACAAGCGCGCCAGCACGACGTGCGTAGCACATTCAAATAGATGCAAAGTGTCATCTTTGGTCTCCCATAACGAGAGACAGACAAATGAGCACGGTTGAACGCAACACTCACCGAAGTAAGCTCCCCGATATACCGATCAGACCCTCCTGGCACAGCTCCGCCGAGAAACTCCAAGCATAGTCCAAGTTCTCGAAGATAAGCGGCGTGAAGTGCATGAAATTTTGATGTGTGTAGTTGAGCCACGGGCGCGAAGACAACGCGAGGATCGCAGGGTTCCGTTGGATGTTCACGCGCAGGAGGCGGATTGGACGAGTGCCGAGGAAGCGCGTGCGGGTGTCAGTCAGCTGCCCGTTGACGGGGTCAAGCACCGTACGGAGCAAGACGCCGTTCTGGAGACCGATGTTGACGAAGGTCGTAGGCTGCGTCTTGTTGATGCCCGCATCCAGCATGTCGGCGATGCAGATCGCGGACGGCGGTGCAGTCAGGGCTTGTAGGCTGATCGTCTCTAGTGTGCTCTCAGGGTCGAGAGACACGATACGGACGGTTTGGTCCTCACAGCCCACAGCCTGCCAGACTATCAGCAATGGCCCAGTATCATATGTGCTTAGGACTTGCCAAGTACGGCGTCCGCTGACGGCCCTCGGGAACCTCCGCGATACTCAGAGCAAGGACAGTGCTACCCATCGCCTTCCTGTCCTGGTACTCGTTCAACTGCCCATCAAGGTCCAACTCAAAGTATACCAGCTCGGCGGAGCTGAGCGCGACCACCACCTGACGCTTGTTCGTTGTCGCACATACAATGGTCTTGCCGGAGGGTACCCTCCATTCGTTTACGCGACGGTCCGAAAGCACGTGGCGAATACCGTGGGGATGGACCTGGAGCAGCGCGTCCGCACCGATCTGTTGTACAGCGAGAGTGGGAGCGGACGAAAGGAAACCAGTGTCTTGGACCTCCTCGATTGTCTCCCCAATGCAGAGAACGAGCGTTCCGTTGACGAACGAGAGAATGATGTACGAGTCGTAGGGGTCTGCAGAAGGACGGTCAGTCGGCATCGCCAGTGACGGATAGTTTCTGCTTACCATCCTCCTTGAGCTTCGTCGTCCACACAGCATTCGGAATACCAGGAAGGTCAGAGCTAACGACTTCCTCCACCTCGAGACCATGACGGAGCGTCCGGAACGTACTCCTCGCCCCGCGACCACATGCGGCGAAAATCTGAGGGGTATCGGAGTTCGGCAGTAGGTTCATGACCTTCGAGTCTAGTATCGGGCAAAGAGATTCCAACTCGTCCACCAGCGTCAGGTTGTCAAGCGCGCGGGGGCGGAAGTATGCGCGGGGCAGCGCCGCGGTGGGATCCGCCATGCCGTACGACGGGTAGTCTCCCGAACTGAATTCTGGCTCGTTGTCATCGTCGCCGAGCTTTTGAAATTGGTAGAAGTAGCTAGGAAATACGCATAGGTTAGCCGATAGGCCTTGGGACGACTGATTACATATACTCACTGGTTGCCAAATTCTGACGCTACGAACAAAAAGCCAGACTTCAGAATGCATAGACCGGACGCAACGGGAACAGTGTCAAAGTACTTGATCTTAAGTGCCTTCACATCCTGCTCCTCGTGCTCGATGGTGACCTTGTACAGGTCACCCTCCTCGCTTTGCAAAAGGAAGAAAAACGCGCCCTACCATGACTCTGTCAATGCTAGCCGACAAGCATCTTCATACGCCTGACGCACCTTCATTTTGTGCATGACAGCGGCGGTGATGATGAGCCCGCGCTCCGGGTCCTCGAGCGGATGTCGCCTCCGCGGAATGGGTACACGATGTTGTGGCGCATCCATGTGTCGGTAAATGATGTGGTCTTCGCAGCATACAAGCACACCAGACGGGCCGTCATAGCGATCAGAAGTCGCAAGCTGCCCACCAGGTACTTGCACAAGCAGGTTGGCTCGCGGGTCGGTAGGTTCGCTCCATTTTCGCACAACGTGGTTCAGACCAAGGTCAAGCTCGTAATACGTGAGCATCTGGACAGAAGGAACCCCTTAATTGACGCGTCGTGTTTGCATAGGTATGTGGAAGGACGCACCTTCTCCGCATTGTTGAATGCCTCCCCCGACGGGTCCTGGTCCGACTCCGAGTAATCCACCTCCAGAGCAGCAAAAGTCGGGTTTTCGAAGCCGACATCCAGGCCGACTATGTGGTGGATGATCGCGTTGTTTTTGTGGGCTTCCAGGGGCGACGAGATAGTGAGGTTTGCAGCAGCGTCTCGGTTGAGAATATACACTAGTTTCGCCTTCTCCATGGCCGCGATCATTACGCTGCGACCTTTTGGGTCTGTGGCCAGATACTGGCCAGGAACGATTCGCCGCGCGCCCGACTTGCCGAACGTCTCCTGGTGGACCTTGACGAAGCTGCTCGTCTTGGGATCATAGTCGAGGATGACGATCCGTCCCGAGTCAGAGCCTACGATCACATAATCTAAGAAAAATGCAGGGAGTGAATACGGCGGAAACAAACGAACACGTACAAGGGCGCACCCTTGGTACCACCGGTCAAACGAAAGGCGGCGAGAGAACGGATGGAGCCAAACACATCAGACGCGATGACAGTGGCAACTTTGCCGCTTTGCACATCCGGTCTGAGGAGCTCGAGACGCGTACCGCGCGACACGACAATTTCCTGCGTCCTCGAGCCAGAGAAGTTACCCGCGACCGCGTGGGTGATGGCGGTCGGGGGTTGGAGTGTAAGATTGTACAAGTGCATCAGGAAAGCAGCGCAGAGCAGAAGTCAAGCAAAACAGAGAGCTCCAGCGCAGCACTCCAGGGAAGCACACGGATAGTCGAACAGGAGAGGAGAATGGCGGTGGGCACCGAGCGGCGCGTGCGGTAAACGATGTCGGCCACCAAGTTCAGATCCTTGAGTAGGCAGGCCCCCGGACACCAGATATGGGCGCCAAGAATACAGTATCAATTCGACCGGGAGGAGATTGGAGATGGAAATTGAGTAATATATAAATGATATCGTACACCATGACCGGTACGGTGATGTTGTCAATGCAATACAATGAGACACTCCTCAGAAGTCTGTGTAGTCATCCGCAACGGAAAAACTACCTGTCGATTTCTTCCTTCCCCGGCTGCTCCCAGACTTGCCCCCTCGCCCTCGTCCCCTTTTCCCTCCTCTTGAAGAGGAACTCCGTCTGGACGAGCTGGAGCTCTTGCCGCCGCCTGGACAAGCTAGTAAGAGTGTCAGTCAATACTGAGTGGCGCTTGAGGAACAAACGCACCATTGCTAAAATGCCCCTGCTTCCCGCATTTGAAGCATGCGTTTCCAGACCCAGAGCCACCGCCAGCGTCGCGACGTCCTCCGTTGGGGCAAGCTGTGATGAATGTCAGTCATGAAAAAAGATGCAGCTTGCAGAACCAACCGTTACTATAGTGCCCTTCTTGACCACATTTGAAGCAAGCACCGGATGAGCCTCCACCACCGCCACCCGTGTCGCCGGAACTCTTCTGCCGCTTCGCCCCGCTGTTTGGACACGCTAGAGCACTAATATCAGGAACATTCAACGACAAACGGAGGAGGAACACAGTACCGCTCGCCCAATGGCCCTCCTCTCCACACTGGAAGCACCCTCCGCTTCCTCCTCCCGCACCACCGCCGCCACCACCGTCGCCACCACCACCTCCATAGCTCCCTGGACCCTTGCCCGTTCCCGACCAAGTCGAGTAACTCCTACTTGGAGGCGCAACCAGGGCATCCCCGTCTTCCGCCGCCCACTCAAAGTACCGACACTGCGCCTGCCGCGACTGGTTCGGGCACGACCAGTACTTTCTCCCCTTATTCGCCCCCGTCGCCGTCTCCTTGAGCACCGCGGTCAGGTCGCATTGGCAGCGTCTATCCGCGCCAACGTCATCAGCTGCCGCGGAGACGGAGCTGAACGGCCGTTTCGACGGGACGCTGCGCGAAGTCGAAGAGGTAGAGCTGGAGTTCGATGGCCCGTCGAACCATTGAAAGAATTGACACGATTGATTGTCCCCGCATGTCCAGAACCTGCGGCCCTTATTGGCGCTCTCCTTAGTCACTGTGCGCTCTGCTGCTGGAATGCCACAGTCGCATTGCGGTTCTGCCCCGCCTGCATTGGACGGTGGCACGTTCCTGGATAAGGGTGGACGCGATGCCACAGCAGCACGGGGAGCCGGGGCAGGAGGCGGAGGGGGGTCATCGCTCCAGTCTATCAACGTCCTCAATACCACAATGTATGCGTCAACGTATATGAATCCACGTACAATCGTCGCTGTCGTCTCCGTTTAGAGCTGCAGGTGGAGCAGCTGGCGGTGGGGGAGGCGGCGGCGGAGGACGACCTGCGGCTAAACCTGCTCCGCGTCCTCGACTGCGCTTGGGACGCGCAGCAGCTGATCCTCTTGTAGAGGCTGCTCCTCTTGCCGTCCCTCTTGCTCTTGTTATGCCACGTGAGCCTCGCCCACCTCGACCACCGCGGCCCCCACCTCTGCCTCCGCCACCACCGTTATCGTCGTCGTCGCTGTCGTGAGCCTCACCCAAGTCGATTTCGGGTACGGGACCTTGACCGTTGATACGGTTCCCCACAGCCTAGATGATGTCAAAAATGAAGAAAATCTCGGACGTGGAGATGACGAGACGGACCTGCAGCAACTTCTGAAACTCGATCTTCGTTCTCATGAACATTTCCTTATAGCGCTCAATGCTTTCTTCAAGGACCTCGTTCTTGCTCTTCAGGCCCTGACATATATCCACCATCTGTCGTTCGGTCTGGGCAATTGAAGTGAGTTAAATGAGGAAGCGACATTCTCATCGGTTGCCCACCTCGCGTCTCAGCTCTGACTTGCTCAGGCTTTGCTCAAAGCCGATCGCATCGTAGCCCTCAACCAGCCCAATTCCAAGCGTCGACGGAATAAGATACTTTGTGGCACCCTGCATCTTCTCATGCACGTAACCACGATCGACGATGGTCTGTATATGCTGGGCAATTGTCGCGTCCGTACCTGCCACAGTCCTGTGAGCCGATTTCCGGTATTCCGACGTGGCACCAGCCCGCATACCTATGCCATGCTCGTCCATAAGACTGACCAAGTCGGCTTCGGTCAGCAGCTTCGGTTTCGACGTCTGCCCTTCGTCGAGCCTGCATTCTGTCGGAACAAATGCCTCTCCTTCCTGGAACTGCGGTAGCTCCTTGTCCGCCCACTTGTCGTACGGAAAGACTTCCAAATAGTTCCGCTCACGAATCGTCAACCCTTGGTGCCAGAACGGCTTCGTCCTCAAAAGCTCAATGATGGTAACATGGTCAACTCACCAGTAGCGTAGAACTCTTCTTCGCCGTACTTCACATCGACAGTGGTTTGCCAGCCCAGGGCATCTTTCGAGCAAGACGCCAGGAAACGACGGGCAATGTATTCGTAGACTCGCTTCTCGTCGCCGACGAGATTCCCGGCGTGGGCTGTCGGGTGAATGGGAGGGTGGGCATGGTCGTCATTCTTACCCCTGCGGGGTGGTGTGAAACCTCCTTCTCGTAGGCTTGAGTCCGTGATTAGTACTCGTTATACTGGGCACAGACACTTAACATACCCACTGGCGAAGCCGCCCCACGCGGGATCTGCCGTTTGCTTCTGGATCAGCGACATGAAGTCGAATTGAGGGTCGTATACGTCTGTCTCGGTACGAGGATACGACAAGAACCCTTGCTGGTACAGGTGCTCCGCGATCTACGTACGTCAGTCTCGCTGTAACAAGCGCCAGGCGTTCAACTCACGTCGAGTATCTTCTTAGGGGACAATTTGAGCAATCGCGAGCCGGCCTTCTGCAGATCGACAGTAGTAAGCGGGTAGGGCTTCCTGATGTGGAGATCAACAAGGCCCCAAGGACGTGTCACGATGGCCTCACCATTTCTTTGTCTCCTTGGACGTAACTTTAGTTACTCTTGCCACGGGATGTTCGAGCGCAGCTTCGTAAAGCCCCCATGCGGCTGGAAGACTGAATAGGTGTCCCCTCCTCCATGTGAACTCGGTATCTACGGGCTCCTCGTCCGACGACGGCCGCGTGAGGGAGAGGAAGATGTACCAGAATGGCTCAGGCTTAAAGTTCTTGACCTTGTTGTATCGCGCGACAACAAAGCCGAGCGTAGGGAACTGACAAGGACCTATCAGGACGAGCGGGCTAAGAAGCGGTTTTGAGCGTATAGGCAAGGAGTACTCACCATAAGATATTAGCTCTTTCTTGAGAGCTTCGTAGCGTCTCTGTAGGTTGAGTGTCTGCAGGCGCGTGAACGCCGAACCAATCCTGAGGTCGAGTAGTATTCGAGCTTCTACAGCACTGGCTTGAGCCATGTCAAGATTGACTGGGTGTTGAGCAGCATTATGGATTTGCCTGGGGCACAGTCGACACGTAGACTAGTATGGATGGACGGAAGAACACGTACTGTGCAATGATAGCACTGAAGCGAGCACGCCTCACCGTGAGGTTTCGGTTGGACCTCTGGCATATCCGCGCAATCTCAGCCCCGATGTTCTCCCCTTCTCGATCACAGTCCGTCCATATCATCAGCATTTGCGCACGAGCGGCTTCGGTCTTGAGATTGTCTGCAATGGTCTTCGCGTCATCCTTGACTTTGCACTCGATAGGCGCGTCGAACAACGCGAAGGGGTCGCACGAAGTCCACTTGGAGTACATCACATTGAAGTCGTAATCCATGACATGACCCGTTACAGACGTTACGGTGAAATGTGCGTTCGTCTGTGGGTAGTCAAAATCATAGTTCTTGATGTACTTATTCCGGCTATTGCGCTAAGCAGACTGTTAAGTCTCAACACGTATACGGAGATTGGTAGGGCTCACCGTGTTAAATCGCCCTCCCGACAAAATCTGTGTGATGGACTTGGCGATAGATGGCTTCTCAGCTACGCACAGGACCCGCATCATGTGAGAATAGCAGAAAGCTTGTAGCATGCACAGGGAAAGCGGAGCTATGGCACAGCAGGAGAGAGGGCAAGCGAAGGCAAGAGATAGCAAGAGACCTGACCCAGAATGCAGCGAGTGGCTGCTGAAGAAGTCAAAGAGCCAGCTACGAAGGCAAGATGGCTTGAGAGGGCGGCAGAGCGCAGCGTCGAGCCCGTGGCACGATGCACTCGCCGTCGACGGGTATGCTTGGGAGCGCAGATGAGGGAACTCAGTCAAGAGAGCCGTGTCGTAAACCCGATCAGACGCGTCTCGCGTCCACTCGATACGCGACCCACCATCACGTGATAGCTTTTCTACTCACGCGCCTGCGGTGGCCGCAGCGCTCAGAGCCCGTGTGTTCTTGATGTTGAAAATCTTGTATCTCCTGCGATAGACAAATACACTATAACATGAAGCCCATACAGCACTCATACACCTCTCTTGATGAGCTCTGCGGCCCCCTCTGTCCCGGCGATCCTCTCCAGCCTCAACCAATCGTACTTCGAGTAGAGCACCCGAGACGTGACGTCCGATACATCGACGCCGTCATCCAGAAACGGGTACGAGAGGAACTCGGTGTAGAACTGAGGATGATCCGTGGGGCCGTAGAATACAAGATTGCGGATGCCTCGGATTTTGTATCTGCAGCGCGGCGTCAGGACAGAGTGTCATGCGGCATATACGTAGTAAACGCACCGGCGGAAGAAGTGGAACCGCTCGCTAATTAGCAAGAAAGCCTTCTTTCCCGAGAAGAAGGCCTGGCGAGCACGTGAAATGTCCTGGTTAGACGAATACTCGGAGAGCACGGTGAAGGACGCGTTAATCTTGCGGAAGTAGTTCTGCACCCGGATGAAATCGAACGAAGACGGGATGAAGATGACCGTGTTCGCGCTCTGTACAGCGGACTTCATGATCGCTGGAAGTATCTGGGATCGCGTCCGTCAGCTACCCCACAGCGCAACACCATGCTAACTTATGCATACCTGGGTCGTGAAGTACTGAAAGCGCTTTTCAGGCTCGTCCTTTGGGTTGCTGCAGTCAAAATGCACGAAATTCTGGTCGATACCTTCCGGCACTTCGATAGGTGTCCACCGTCTCTCCGTACGTATCTTTCCAGCGACGTTCTGTGTAGAATGGTTGAAGAGGGCGCGTGTCTCCGGCGTCTCGTACGCCGATAGAAGTACCGTCTGGCGCAAGTACCCCGCGCTGGACAGGCCGTGAGCCCGGGACGTGGGTCCTACATCGAATTAGCCACTTACTGTCCATCTAGATACCATGGTTTGATGCGAGAGAAATCCACGTCGTGAGACTCCTTCGGCATTTGGTTCAGGTGGCTAAATACGAACTGGGCTTCGTAATGAGTGGCGGTTGCGACAAACCACAGGAACCCCGTACCTGTACGTGGTCCCAGTTCTGCATCGTGAGGGCGTCCAATTGATCTACGATTAGTACCTCGATAGATGATAAGAAATCCGCGCTCCTGTTGTACAATAATCAGATAATTCCCGAGCGGGGTATACGCGCCACTACTCACTTTTCCTTCTCTATTGACATCCTGAGCCCCAAGGGACTAGCCACGATCAAGTCGCACCCATAGAACTCCGCGAATAGTTTCACGCTCTTCTTCGTGATTTTCACTCCCAACCTAAAGCTATCGTCCACGTTCCCCTTGAACATGTCTACATGGTCGGGCGGGTACGTCCCGGGCTCCGCGTTCGCGAGCTTGTCCACTGCGCCGGGAGGCAGCCCGTACTCGGACTGGAAGCGAGCATTGTTCTCAATCTGGTACTGGGGTGAGGGGGTATGTGCGGTAAGCGCGGACACCCAGCGGAGCGCGAAGGAGCGGAAGGGGAGAAGGATGAGGACAGAAGGGCGCGTGAAGCCCTGGTCTTGGACATCTTCTGGTGGCTCATTGCCAGCTTTTGTCGCGTGCGAGATGCGCTCGTTGTTTTTGAGGACACGGCGACGTTTTCTGCACATATTGTTGTCAAGCGAATCATAGGTAAGACGGGGAGAGGACATACTTGGTGATGTGATTCAACGCGTGTAGAGTCAAAGCCTCTCGGAAACTCGACTGCGTCTCCGGGGCTGTTCGCGTGACATACAGATCGCGGTAGGAAGAAAGCGTGTTTAATAGCTCGTTCTGAAGCTCGACCACCTCTGTTGGACAGATTTTCAGCGCGCCATCCCAGCTCCCGCAGACAACAATGAGCATGCGCACCTCTTGGTAATTTTGCCTGTCGTGCCTGGAGCGGTTCCTTTAACCTGTCGAGAATCTATAGGACGGATCCATCCCTGCACATTCTTCACTAGAAAGCGGGTGCGCACGTACCTTGTGCTTCACGCTCACAGCGTTGGGGCCGTCCGCGCCTTCTGGCACAGACTCAGCCACGCCTCCCAGCTTCCCACATTTCTCTCGTCTCGTTGTCCATGACTTCTGGTCCACTGCCTCGCGTGCGCGGTCCGTGAGCACGCTCGGGGATAGCCCGAAGTGCGCTTCGTAAGGGTCCATGCCTATTGTAGGCGTGTACCGTGTGAGCCCTACTGCAAATTATGTACAGCTTCATACAACGCACTTTGCTCATCATCGTCTGTGTGCTCCTCACTGTCCACAGCCTCCTGCTGTTCCACTGCATCATTGCCCTTCTCTTCCGATGGACGTGATTCTTCAGAGCTACCGCTCTTGTCTTCCGGCGTAGTAATATGCACTACGCGTTTCTTGTTCAGCTTCTCCGCCGGCTTGCTCTCCTCGTATGCCCTCTTGCGCTTGCCGGCCTTCGTCGCAGAAACATTGAGAAGTGTAAGAAGGCGCGTCGTCGTCGAGCTGGATTCGTCGATAGCCATTCGTCCAACAAGCAAAGCAAGTAATCTGAGACTCAACCTATGGTACTGGCCTGGCGAGACTCGGAGCTGCACCTGCAATTCTTCGCCGTTGCCGATCGAGATCCTCTTCCCGATTTAGCTGGTGGTCGGGCGCTAATAGGACCTCGAGTCGGCGATGCACTGGCACACGGTTAAGTAGTGACCGTTAGTCAACCTCTCTGCTCTCCACCCCCGCTCCGTCCTGTTTTAGATGACGCGATTAATTGGTGTCGCTTATACAATATCAGAAGCCAAAAAGCTTCTAATGAACACTCTCGTTGTTGAATGGCGCGTCAGTTATCCTATTTGTAGCCTCTCAAAATCCGCATTCGTTGGGAACGATTGGTAGCCAATACCATATCTACCGGCCCCATATCCCAATCTACATGCACCAACAATCCCAGGCTTTGGCGTCATTGTTATACATTCTGAGCAGCTATATCAGAGCAACCGAAAGATCACGGGGCCTCTCAGCAGAGATATCCCGCCTGCTGGCCTACTTACCAAGGCGGCGTTGACATATGGGTTCGCTGCAATCAGGGCTCCGCCTGTTCCAGTCGCCTTGGCATGCGAAAGACACGATGAATCGCATCGGAGAAATGGGTGGGTCGCCAACGAACGACCTCGCAGAAAGTACAAACACTAGTCATCGTCCCCTGACTAATAAGCTCTCTCTTCCAGGCTCTCTTGAAGCTCTGCGGTCGACACAGCCACCGCCCCCTCTCGTTCCTCCAATCAAAGCACCCCATATTCGTGCCGGATGAATCAGAGACTCTATGAGTCCATGCTACGGTGTTGCGATTGTACCTTCAGATATCGAAGCCTAAGTGGTAATGACGACCGAAGGTAAGTCCAAGTGTTTTCATCGAGTGTTTGCATGTTTTCCTCTATTCGCAGCGGACGCCGTAACGGTATATGCTCATTGGAGCCGTTCTGTCTTCATCCCCCGTTCTTGCTCTCGAAGTCGTCTCATGTCTCACCCATATGGCTTGACATCTTTGCTTTTGAGTGCGAGAATGGGGTAGGGATGACACTGATGTTGCGATAGGAGGAGACCATCACCCTTACTCAGCCCAGCTATAGCCACGCCAGACTGAGAGAGCCTTGATTCTGCAGCCTCCGATCGGGTCACCATCAGTCAGCCGCACGCTCGCGGTAAGAGGACCGGCAGGTGGCTCATTCACGCTACATGGTCTCGCGACATGTATAAAAGGGCGTTCATGCTCGCGGCAATATCATCAGATTGCGTTCTCGAGTCGATTCTCTATAGCTTCGAATCAGTGACTGACCAAGCTTGTCTACAATGTCTTCTACTACCACCTATCTCATAACTGGGTGAGTATGTGTCTCCTGTTTTCACCCCAACCTGTTCGACTTACTCGTGTACTCGCAGAGCCTCCCGCGGCATCGGCCTTGCGCTCGCTGCCCGTCTTCTCCGGGATCCCACTAATCTCGTCGTTGCTGCAGGTCGCAATCCTGACAAGGCCACCGCACTACAGGCACTCAAGGACGATCCTGCAACAAAGGGTCAGTTACACATTGTCAAGATCGACGTCGACGACGCGGCTTCCATCCGCGCCGCGTACGAACCAGTCGCACAAACAGTCGGCGAGAAGGGTCTCGACGTGCTCATCAACAACGCCGGCATCGTACGTCCCCTTCGCTTCCCCGCTGCCCGCTCATTCCCCAAACTGACTCACAACAATATCATTCGACACAGCTACTGGCGAACGATGCGCCGTTCACGCTCGACCCGGCTGTCATGGTGCCGCAGTTCGTGACGAACGTTGTCGGGCCGACGATCGTCGCGCAGACGTTCCTCCCGCTCGTCGAGAAGAGCCGGCGCAAGCTGATCGTGAACGTCTCAAGCTCTCTGGGAAGCATCGGCATCGGATTCGACAAGCGCTACTCGTCGTACTCGATCACGAAGACGGCTCTGAACATGCTTGTGAGTCTCGTTTATTCCAAGCCTCTTGAAACGATGGGGATGCTGACAAGAGCGGAACTGGACAGACGTACAAAATGAAGGTCGAGCGGCCGGACCTAACGGTCGTCACCTTGAACCCTGGCTGGGTGAAGACCGGTAGGTACATTTGCCAGTGTCTTTCACGACGAAGCTGACGCTGCTCCACTTGTCTTAAAGATCTCGGCGGATCTGAGGCGCCCCTCGAGCTCGACGATGTCATTCCTGGTATCATAGACGTCTTGAGCAAGCTGAAAAACGAAGATAGCGGCACATTCGTCCAGTACGACGGTGCACGGGTGCCCTGGTAGACATAGATGTATGCTAGCAATGGACACTCGAACGCTCTCACTCATGGACAGTAATCCTCCCGTGTTAACGATGTTCACCAATGCAGAATGACATGAGTGTGGTTAACAGCTGGCCATATGGAGCCATACCGCGGAAGCTCCGAAGGTTGCCTTGGATTCAAACGAGAGGTGGAGGTTCCTCAGTAATCAATGCGCACACATTCGGAACAACCACGATGTATGTATGGTGATAACCGAGCTCTAACCACGTCATGCGCATCACATTTGATATAAAGATGGAGATAAGCCTTCATTATCATATTCATCCGAGCCAATAATTACACCAGGGGGGTACGTGGGTGACGTAAAGTTTGGGATCCAAGACATTTGATTAAGTCCATCCGCCGAGTATCATGTAAGATCTTACTTGTGTCGTAGCTACAACCTCAAGCTCAGTACGGCTCGACATTCCGCCGCCTGACATCCCTCTCGGGCTCGTCATTGGAGGTACCACTACGTGAACGCGACGCGCGCACAGGCTGAGCGAGCTGTGGCTGCGAGAAGTGGTCGCGAAGACGCCCTTCGACTTGGCGGTGGGTCTGTAGCAGTGTCAGCAGCCGTAGGATAGCAATGTGAGACAGTCGTACGTACCTCGCTGAAGAGAGACTTGAGAATTTGCAGAACAGGGCCGGTCATTCCGAGCTGCACAATGACATATCTATCGCAAGGACGTCAGTCAAGCTGAACCATGAGGTTAGTAACAAGACGTACGCCGAGACCAGCAAGATTAATAGCATCGTGAAGTACAGTGGGTTGAAGAGCACAACCATTGCCTCGTTCCAGCCGAGCACGACGAGCACGCCGTACATCCAGTACGGGATCTGCGCCACGCTCGAGACCATGCTCCGCTTCGCCTCGACGTAGTACGCGTCGGCGTCCTTGCGGAAACGATTGGTGAGGTCAAGGGCCTTCGTCTCGGAGAACACGACGAGCGTTGACGGGAAGTCGAACTCTTCTGTGCTCGTCAGTGAATCTGAGGTCTCGGATGGCAGCGTAAACTCCAGCGAGAGATCGAGGGGCTTGATCTTCCAGTAGAGCGGGACAAGCTCAAGAGTCTAGGGGTGCGTTCATATGTAAACAGTACAACCCAACGACATCGTTGTAGGAAGACTCACCTGCTCCTTCGCTTTCCTGAACGCCGTGTCAATATCATCGTCGGGCTTCCAGACGCGGGGCGTGCCACTCTCGTCGTAACGGAAACGTTCCTCGAAGTAATTCCGGAGCTTGCCCAGGAAGATGGTGTCAGCAGTCTGCTCGTCGATCTTCGCACGGAGTGCCAGCCAAGCACGCTTGCGCAAGGTGGTCAGTGCCGTCGCGTTCTCCTCATCCGTGCAATCGAAACCTGGGTTATAAGCCATGAACAACATGGGCAAGCGGACTGTGACTGCGTCGCTCACTCTTCGCCTTGGTCAGATACGACGACTCGGCTTTGTCAAGTGTCTCCCGAAACACTTTCAGAACCTTGTCCCACATGTCAGGTGACGGCTGGTTGAGGTACACATCGACGGGCTCCGAGATCTGCTTCTTGAAGTTACGCTGGGAGAAGCAGCGTTAGTCATAACGACAACCCACGTAGCAGAGCGCACGAACCTCGATAACATTGACCATCTTCTTGGTCTCGTCCTTCCTGCACTGATCGGCGACAATACGGGCCTCTTCGCGAAGCAGACCAAGCTCTTCTTCATAAGACCAATCCGTGCCTTCGACAAGCGCTTCTTGTGCGCCTTGGAGGAAGCGCTTCTCGAGACGTGCGCGGGCAGACGCAACGACATCCGCGAAGTTATAGCCTTCGCCACGCATGCCATCGAGCATCTCCTTCTTGTATGATGCGAGACTGCTCTTGTGGAGGTTCTTGAGCTGACCGAGGAATAGAGCGGAGAGCGTCGAGTCGATGACGCCAATGAGGTCGACGCGCTTGCGCTTATAAACGCCTTGGTGGTAGCGGGATGCGTCCCTGTCGTAGCGCTCTTACACAGACGTTAGCCAGCAGTCCATAACTAATGAACGTGATACACACCCAAGGCTTGACTGCGCCAAGCACGCATCATTTTGCCCAGACCCTCCACGACCTTGCCGGATTCGATCGGCCTCTTCTGAGACTTAGACTGTTCGTTGAACTCAGCCAACGCTGCACTTGAGATCTCGTCACAGCGGAATTGTGCAAGAAGTTCCTGCTGGGTAGGCAAATCCAGATCTTTGTTGGTTTGGACTTGTTCCTGCGAGCGCGTTAGAAACCTGTAGCCAGGTCAAGACTTCAGCGAGAGCACCAACCCATATGCCCTCCATGTAGAACGCTACGCCGTCAGCTGGGATGCGTTTATGGTAAGCCGGAGAGAACACGTAGTCCTCTCTCGGTTTTTCCGTGAAGCGCTTCTTGAGCTCTTGGACTTCAGCCTCGAACTTGTCAGGGACGAGGACCTTGTGAGGAAGGGCGAAGAACGACAGGTCAAAGTAGTCGGACAACTGCCTGTCCTTGAGCTCTGGCGGCTTCGACAACGAGTCCCAAATCTTCTGCATGTCTTGCGTCAATGTAGCTTGGAGGTTGGCCAGAGGCGTGGTCCCGATGTGGTCCCGAATGACGAACAGCAGGAGCGTCCGTTGGTTACGACTTCAGCGGGGTGAGATTGGTTGCACTCTTGAATATGAGAAGGAGTCCTACCCGTCAGGTGTCTTCTTTCCGAAAAGACCGAGGTTGACTTCGAAAACGGTCTTCAACAAACCCATATTCGCACCCTGATACAGACCGACTTGATGTTCCCACAAGTTGACTATGAGTACCTCAGAGGAGGCCAAGGAGAAGAGAGCAGATTTGCGCTCGAAGTCCTATAATTCTGTCAGAAAAGCTTAAAAGACTATACGAATATACACCAACCTGGTCCTCTCCACGCTCTCGTCCATCCGTCCCTTCTACATCCATCACCAAGACGTTCGCCCCCTTAGCTTTGCACATCCAAATACCTAAGTCGGCATGATCAGCACTCATACATCGTCATTTTAGACCTTGGTGCGCATAGACACATGGATGTTGGGGCAAGCAACTGTATCGCAGCACCAATAGATCTGCAATTCAATACATGCAATACGCAGAGGAGAAAATCTACATATAGCCATGTCCAGCAGAAGCCAGTCGAAAAGCAGACCTGCGGGCAATTGCCACGTTCGGACACGCGGATGTGGCTCGGAGCACGCTAGCTTTGAGTCACACCGCACAGAGCCGGGTCTATGCGTCAAGGGGATGGGACGCGGGGGATGTGTTCAGGCCTTCCAAGCTGTACTCACCCTTAGTCGTCTGCTGTCGTCGCGTTTCGTCCATGACATCGAAGTTTGTTCCGAATAGTCGATTGAGCAATGTACCTGGCCACACGAGTTCGACGAGTCGCCAGATCAAGATAAAGTTAGATACGCACTTTTCCCGGTAGACTGTGAACCGAAGACTGCTACTAGGTTGTAGTCAAAGCCCGCACTGAGCAGGCCCCACTTCTCTATCTGCTTCGTCAACTCCGGGCTAGCACAATTGCCATTTTAGCTTTCGGAGATGTAGCACATTTGCGCAGCATCAACGCACTTGAACTGCTTCTCATCGTTGATAATTTGTATGCGCTCCGAGCTGGCATCCGAGGTGGTTGCGGAACCATTCCGGTAGTGACCATTCGTGGCTGGTGCGTTCCGTCCTGCGGAGATGAAGCCGTCGGCCTTGGTGGGCGAGAGCGTCGTAGGCGGTATGCCGGCTGTAGCCATACTGGTGTCGTCTGGTAGAGTATACAAACGAGCGGAAGGGAGGGGGGGTATGAGGGGTCGTTGAACAGGTGTGCAACTGGCACACTCCTGCACTCCGCGGTATGGATCTCTTCACGTGATGCACCGCTGGCAATTATCCCTGTCCCCAAAAAGGAAAGATGGCCCTCGGCGAGGACTACTCCGACCAGGCTGTTGGGCACGCGAAACCTCTGCTTTGCAGAGCGTTCAGGTCGAGCGCTGTAGAAGAGGGTTTTTATCTCCTGTGCAGCTCACAACAAGGACACTTCTGCATACTAGTTGAAAACACAAGTGCACCTCAAGAATCTCGATCGGACTTGTCTGGTGAGCCGCGGGTACCGCCCATCACTCCGTCATAGTGCTGAAAGACTCCATAGGTTCGCTGCAATTGCGAAAGGAATTAGAACACAACGCAGCGCCGCACAAGCATCGTCGTGATCCCATGCTTAACAAATGACTCAAAACGCCTTAGTATAGCAGTCGATGTGCACTAGACATGGTTGACTTGTGTCCGGCCCCCTTCCGTCTCATACTCTCGACCAACATGCGACTACGGCTCATCCGTAGGGTCACGGCATCGCGGATAGGAGGTTCCGTGATCTCCGGTGTCCACACCTATACCACGAAGCTCCCTGTACAGGTTGATTTGCTCGAACGCTACCGGGGTCTTGTCGCCCTAGGTCGAATCAAAGAAGACGAGGAACAGATTCGAGTCATCATGCAGGTGATGGCTTGTTGCTACTTCAGAGCGTTCAGTGGCTGACCTAATCATGTAGCTAAGGAGACTGCACAGAGAACTAGATGGTTATGCTCCTCCCGCACTACAGTCCAGGTACCTGAATCAAACGCACTCTGTCATTCCTGGATCAGCGCAGCCATCGTCAGGCGAGCCTTTGACTCCTTGGTGGGCAGCTAGCGATCCTCTCTCGGACAAATCCGCGTCAGCACGAGGTCTCGTCCGCATCCGAACACACGCAGAAGAGATCGAAGCACTGACTACTCCCAAGGTACAGTCATATCACACTATCGTCATCCTCCACTTGTGTGATACGCAACTGATGCTTGAAAGGGCCTCACGATCACCGGCCCGCCCGGTTCTGGCAAGAGTTTTCTCATCGACCTCTGGTTCTCTACTCTTCCTACTCCGTACAAGACACGCAAGCATTACAACGAGCTCGTGCTCGAGATATACCGGGCCGTCTGGGAGGAGACTCGTCGGCGGATGGCGGCTATCCACCCGAATCCTGAGAGCCCTGCAGCAGCCGAGGAGCCGTCTCGCCCATGGAACAAGCTCATGCGCGAGCGTTGGCGGCAGCTCCTCAAATCCGGCTCGCTGCCCGTTCGCTGGACCCGGAAATCGAACATGAGCTTCTCGCTCTCCCGCACGCCGCTCGAGCCGAGCATCGCTTACGTGGTAGCTCAGCGGCTCATCCTGCGGCACTGGCTTCTAGTCTTTGACGAGATCCAGCTTCTCGATGTCTCCAGCGCCACGCTGCTCGCGGACGTGCTCTCCTGGTTCTGGCGCATGGGCGGCATCATCGTCGGCAGTTCCAACAAGGTTCCTGACGATTTGTACAAGAACGGTGTCCAGCGCGAACGACTCGAGCCGTTCGTGGAAGCGCTGAAAGCGCGATGCCCTGTGGTGTCAATGCGCTCAGACCGCGACTGGCGGGCCGTGAGAGGCAATGAGGGCAAGAACACCTGGTACACCTTCGACCAGCAGCGCGAATTCGAAGCAGAGATCGCAGAAGTCACCGGAAACGATAGCCAGACTGGACTCGAAGGTATGTACTGCGCAGGATCCGGGCGTTCGGATTGAAGAGATAAGTTTGAGTTCAAGCATCTCGCACAGAAGCATCCTCTGCCGAGATTGTCGTATTCGGACGCGGTATCCGCGTGCCGTGGTCGGCGAACGGCGTGTGTCAGTTCAAGTTCTCTCAGCTCTGCGACGAGGTAAGTCCCCGTAAAACCTGAATCCTGTCTATGTAGCAATACTGATTGCATCAAACGGGGCTTGCAGTCTCTTGGACCTGCCGATTACATTACGCTTGCGGCCAAATTCCACACATTTGTCATCACGTCGATCCCAGTCCTAAAGCTTTCGGCGAAGAACCAAGCCCGGCGATTTATATCTCTCATCGACGCCTTCTATGAGGCCCGCTGTCGGATAATCTGCCTTGCGGAAGCATCTCCCGCACAGCTCTTCTTCCCGGATGCTCCATCTAGTGAGGGGGGAAAGGACCTCCGCTCTTATGAGGACGTAGACGTGATGATGGCAGAGGCTGTCGGTGAGACACAAGACGTCTATCGGCCAAACGTCTCTTCCTACGACGCGCCGAACATGGCTCGCGAAAGCACCCCAGCGAAGACGCTTGCACTAGACACGCTTTCCATCTTCTCCGGTCCGTACACCTTCCTCGAAGACACACTTTCTTCTAGCTTAACCTTACATCCCCGCACACACAACAGGAAAGGACGAGCAGTTCGCTTTCAAACGCGCCCTCTCGCGCCTCCTGGAGATGACGAGCGAAAGCTACGCCAAGGATGAACAATGGACCCCACTTCCGCCCGACTCTCGCAAATGGGAGACCTCCGATTCCGTGCGCCCCTCGCAACCGTCAATAACAACCTCACCCTCTTCACAGCCAGCCCGCGCCCAATTCAACGCCCCCTCTTCTCCGGACCTTGCAGACTTCGCTGAGGAAGCCGCCCTTTCCTCGCCCACTCCCGCCTCGCCCTTCCCTGCGGAGCGGCCTCCAGCACCCCGTCTGAGCGCAGACCACATATGGGGCGTCCGCGAAGACTGGGGCAAACGGGCGGGTGATTGGGGCCGTGGTGCGGCCCTGCATGGCCCCCCACCGGCTCCTTCGCCACCAGGGCCGGCGCATAGAGATGCCTTCGCTGAGGAGCCTGAAAGGAGTCAAGGCGGCGGCGATAAGACGAGTCGGAGGGGACAGCGCTAACGATGGAGTCGGGCGTCACGAGGTCTGAAGGCGCGCTGCGGTGTCGGCGCAAAGAACACGTCTCAGCCCCTCGCGGCTTTCAAGCGGCGCACACGACGTGCGTTCTACCACTTATCATCACTTTGCAGTCAACGCCTTCGCGAAGCTTCGCGCGCCTGTGTACAAGAGCGTCTGGGGCAGTGCAAACAATGCCATTATGGGCCATTGTCGATGGAACCGCGGGCGGCCCGACGAAGCGGCGATTCGTCCTCAATACAAACTCGGGCCCAAGTTCCCCCTGCTATACGCATTCGTCATACGCATCACCTCTATCCCACGAGAGAACCCAAAAGAGGTCACCAGACGATCCCCTGGGCTGTGCACACTGCGCTGAGAGCCACGGGCGGCGGAGGCTGCTTTCGTGCTCCGTGAAGGTGTGACCAGACGTACCTCAAGGGGGGAGGGAAGCGAGGGGATCCGGGCTGCGTGGCCTCGTGTTCTCTCACCCAATCACGACACGTAACCCACACCTCACTGTGCGTCGTAATAGTTAGCATCAGTGCTCAACCTGTCGGGCAAGCTTGCCTTATACCGCATAATCGTGTGACTCCGCGTGCGTGAATGCTAGGCCTTGCCGCTTGCGGGGACTGTGGATTCATTATGCAGCAACTCAAAGGCTGAGAAATGAAGTAGCAGGAGACATCACAAGGTATGCGCCGTACAGGCCAAGTAGACCTGTGGCATCGATGAGACAGATAATGGGACATGATAGTACTAGACCCCACATGTCCGGTACCATTGGTGACGTGAAGCAAGAAAGCGGGCCTGCGACACGACATCGGAATGGTGAGTGCATTATATAGGAGAATGTGCATTATAACAAGATACAGATATACATGCGCGCACAGACGCCGGCAACGTCTCTGGCCGGACGGTCTCTAATAGAAGAAACAGAAGGCAACAAGTGGTCAGGAGGGCAAGGGGCGGAAGCAAGGTCGTGAGAGCGCATGTGTATCGACGGCTCGACAATCTAAGCAGGACTATCAGTCTGCGGTGCAGTGAGGCAGGTATGATGTACAATGATGGGCGGATTGGATACGTAGAGCTCGGAAGAGGATGGGAGACGAGGGAAATGCGGAGAAGAGAGGATGAGGAGCACTTGTGCAATCAAGGGACTGTCGCGAGGTACGAGCACATGAATAAATATGGATAGAGGGCGGAAGGAGCGGCAGATGGAAGAGAAACGAGAGGAAGGGGCGGAATGTCGCTATCGCCATATACGCAAGTTCGCCGAAACGATCCTCCGCAAGCGCCGTCCAACTCAGCTCGCGCGCAAAGAAGGCCTTTGTCCTCCATGGGAATTAGACCGTTCAGGTGCACCGCGAACGCCCGTGTCGCCAGCTTGTGGGTACGTAGAACGCAGCATCAGCCGCGTGACAGCCCGCGGATAGCCATGCTGCAAAGCTCTATCCTCGGCGGCTATAGCGCACGCAATGGCTGGACCTTTGTGCAAGGGTCCACAGGAGTGGCTGCTACATGACGCCAGACTTCCGCATCCGAGTCGTCTCAGCATAGAGGACCCGCTAGCAAAGACATACGGGGATATCGCCGTTCGTATGCTCGTACATTCCTCGTCGCAGGTGGTCGGCGCTCCGCGCGTAATTTGTAGGAACCGGACGGGAGCCAGCTGCCGACGCGAAGGTTGACGTACGGGTAGATCCGGAGTACAGCGTGCAGCCGGAGGACACGAGGTGATACGGATAACAGCAATACAGAGCAAATGCAAGCAATACGTACAGTGCAACAACGATGTCCAAGGGAAGGTAGGGCAGGGAATGATAGGGACATGGGTGGCCGCGCCGGAGGTGGCCATGCGAAGAATTCGCGAGCCGCTGCCGAAGATGCGGGAGCAAAGACGAGCGGGCAACGTTTAGGTTGCGCGCCCGTGCTTCGTGCGATTGTGATGTAGGATGCGCAAGATGTGGACGTGTAGCGGAAGCGAGCGAGGATATGTGCGGATAGGGAACGCTAGGAACGGCAGGTGGTGGTAGACGACGATAGATGGATCTGGGATGTATGCGATATTGGATGAGAGCGATGACATTTAGTGCAGTACGGGGGATCATTAGGCCGCGCCGCGCGGCTGCATATACTCGTGACGATGTTAGGGAATACTTGTCTTGACGTGATAATTACTGGGGGTACGTGAACCGCACCCTTCGTGGCCGTGTCCTGGGAAGTCTGACAGTCGCTGATCTCCTGGGAGCATGTCGGCAGCCACGGTAAGAGACACCCCGCACCGACGTCCGTAGCCACGTTTGCCTGGGTGCGCACGTTGCGAACCGGACCTTATTGTGCTGGGATGCCATCCGGGAGGGTTGAAGTGTGGCCCTTGCACGTGGGAGAGGAAGGCGAAATGTGTCGTCAGACTCAGCGGAAGGGCAGAAGGCAGCAAGGACCGGAGTCGGATGACCCCATCACTCTCTTGCAGGGAGGGACGTCGTGGGGAAGGTCCTTCTGGGGACGATCACTTGCAAGTGTTCGCCGTCGAACTCGGCACGTACTTGCGCGAGGAGCGCATCATAACCGAATGATATCCGCTGCTCGAAATGACCTACAAGCCAGTTAGACAACATCGGCCAACGCGTTGAGGGTACGTCGAGAAAATCATCCGGCCGAGAGAGATAACATTGATCGGAGATACAATCAGTGTCCGCCCATAAGCGCGCTCATGCCACAGCGCGTGAAGAGAGGAGAGACTCACCGCCATCTGGCTCCCACGAGTCTGCCACGACATGTAAGATGCGCCGCTTGCGGGTTGAGACAGTGCTGATTGGCGCAGGGGAAAGCGGAACATCAGTCCCGTCGGTTCGTTACGGATGACACGTGACGGGGTCATGCACTTACATGGCGTCCCGTCTGAAACCTGGTAAACGAACGATCAGCCGGTATTCGTGCGGCTTCGTGTCTACTGCGATATAGCTGTCCTGGGGTGCCGGAGCGTGGGCTAGAAAAGGCTTGTACGGTGCCGATGAGCCCCAGTCCTGATCGGGAGGCGGGGGCGGGGTGAGGACCTGCGGCGGTTCGGGCGGGGGAAGCGGGCGGTCAGAGGATATGGAGGAGGCGCCGTCGCTAGATAGACAAGTGGTAGAGGTGTAAGTCCGATCCAGCAAGCGGTTGGCAACGAGGGACATGAACTCCTCGTGCTCAAGGTCGGACATGAGAGATGACGACCGCTGTGTTCGCCAGGACGACGATGACGGTATCGATGACGTCGACGCTTCATGTGTCCCGGCCGTCGGGCGACTCGAGCTCGGGCGCGTGGGCGCCGCGGAGCGCATCTCCTGGTCTTCCTGGATCGCCCCGCCAGCGAAGGCAGGAAGTGCGTGGTAGGGGGTGTCTGCAGGGAGCGGGAGGCTTGCCGTCGACCCACGATCCGGTACGCCCGGCGGCCGCGTCGGTCTAGGAGAATGTATCGGTCTTGATGCGCCCGGCGAGGAGAGCGGCCGTGAAAACAATGGTACGGTGCCCGACGACGAAGACGGCATTCTCGGTGACTGGGGACGAGGATATTGCACGGAATACGAAGATGTGAAATGCGCACTGGTGGCTGAGGACTCAATGAGGTCCATGGAGTCGGGAACGGAGCCCCGACGAGTTTTGGTTTCCCCGCCAATCGACATCGACGTTGAGAGCGAGGAAGATGATGACGGAGTGCTGTCTGAAGACGAGCTCGTCGCGGTGTCGTCGAAGACAGGCATGGACGTGTCAGACAGGATATCGGAAGCAACGCAGCTCAGACGAGACAACCGGGAAGCGGGCTCAGAGTCATCGCGCGCCGAGGTAGATGCACTGTAGGAAGATTGGCTATGGGGCATGTAAGGCAGGGGTACCTCTCGAGGCGTATCAAAGGAGGCGTGTCGTTTGGAATACGAAGAGTTCCGGTGGGGAAGGGACGGCCTAACAGTAGGCGACGTGGGGAGAAAAGGGCGAGCGGACGGGGAGGGGGGAAAGGAGAGAGGGAGAGAAGAACCTGCGAAACGCGAGGAGGGAATAATATCAGTGACGGAGATCAGATGAGGTGCAACATGGACGACTCGTCGGCAAATATGATGGGAGGCGTCGCCTCTGCATGGTCGCCCCTGCCGGTCACCCGACGCACGAGATTCCGGCAATTGGCCTGATTAGAACTCAAACTCGAAGCCAAAAGGCAATCGGCCGCGTTCGCCCTCTCTCGCAACCCATGTGCTTCAACCCCCTTCGTGCTCGTCCTCTCCCGCGACGTCGATGACGTTGTATCCACAACTTCCTTGATAGCATCTCGCTACATTACCTGAATGCTCTGTGGCACCCTCGCTATCGGCACGGATCTGGCGGCGATGCGAGTCGGCGCGCGCCGTGTAAACGGAATACCGCTAATCTCTGGCGTGATCCCCTACCCTACGCGCCCACTCGGCGAAATTTCCAATGAAGACACCGACGGACTACAGGATAATGCTACCACCGCAGTGCGAGAAAAAGGCGCAGAAGAAGGCTCACCTTCTTGGCCCACATTCGTATCGACGTCGCTATGTATGCTTCGCTGATCGCGGCGAGACTCCTGCTCCACTTTGTTTTCCCGCATTGTGCTCCCGAAGCCGTCGGCGACCATTTCGCGGTCGTGTAGCTGAATGGCCGGATCGACTTGAGGCTTACGCGTCTGGGGCGGTGAGTCGATTTCCTCTCCAAGCGACAACTGCCCGAGTGGGGAGGCGAGCGCCTCTGACTCTGAGCTAGACGATCCCTCGCTGGTGAGAGAGGGTATCGAAGAGGAGGATGAAGGGGTATGGTCGAGGGGGAGGGGTGGGTATGATGTCCGGGAGGACTTGGGCGATGGTGGTGGTTGGCGAGTAAAGGGCATATGGTACACAATGGGCTGCACGGACAAAGATGGGGATGGGTGGGGCTGTCTAGCGCATATAACTACAGCGGTGGCCTTTGGCATTTGTCGATGTGAGCAGCCAACGCCACCCTGTCCTGCCATAAGCTTCCTTCACCCGGGCGCTCGACATCCACTCCCGGCCATGATGTCATGCGGTGCTTTCTCGCCCGGGCGCCCTTCGTTCCTCCAGTACGCTCCTCCTTGCAAACGTCTTCTTTCCGCCGCTGATACCCAGCTACATGGCCTCGAATCAGGCTCTTCGATGTTCTATACGTATTAGCATCAGTCTCGGAAACCTCCTAATGGCACCGCGTAGCAGCACGCGTCGGAGGGCAGACCTATCTGGAAAGCAGCAACTTTGCAACGCATGTCCGATTCGGCGGAAGTGGCGCCGCCAGCGCCGTTGTCACGCCGTCCGACTGTATGCTCCGGCTTGCACGCAGAGTCATCAGTCGATAGGAAAGTACAATGCGAAGCACCCGCCGTAACCTCTCAGGACGTCTTCGTGCAGACTCGCGTTTTCCTCAAGGTCGTCTACGAGCCTCCACGAGCAAGCATCCTGAGCCTCCGGGTGCAACAAGTCGTCCGTATCTTTAGGTAAATATCTAGTCGCCCCACAACCCGCGGTGCTCAAGTCAGGTTCATTCCTCTGAACGCGGATGTGCAGTAACGTAGCCCCGGACTGCTGCATGTCGTGTGCTCCATGCAACGAAACATTGCCGCGAGGATAATGGGAGGTGGCGGTAGCGAATGGAGAACGCTGACCTCGGATCATAGTAGGCAGGTTTTCCGTTTCATAGTCCCGTTCGTGCGGTGTTCTACTGAGCCCTGCCCCATCCCTTGGTGTCGGACCAGAATTGAACCATCTGGGCAGAGATGACCGGGACCAGCGCTACCGACACCGCCTTGCTAGGTGTCTGCGAAACTCTTCACGACTCCATTAGATTCGTTTGTCATCCTCCTCTTCGGCCTCTATAGACTATGACTCCTCTCGAATAACTTCATATTGAGCGCAATGCGCAGGCTTAAGAGGCTTGAGGAGATATCTTGTCTGAGGTCTGCCGATATACGCTTTCTTCTGCAACCCTCACATCTTTTCCAGTGCATGACGCTTCTCCAAGACGAGCCATCAAACATGTACGACATGTCCGTACCAAAGTGGCCGACTCAGTGAAGCCAGTAGCAAATTGCGTTTACTATAACCCCATATTTCTCCCACCAAGCGGCTTCCCCTCCACCGAGAACCCCGTGCATAACGACACCAGAACGGAACGCCGACCCGACCTGCCGAGGCCGAGAGACGTCCGACATGCATTCCCTTTGCTGCGGGAGCGAGCAACGCCGTCGCAACCAAGCCGCGGAACGTTCCCGCGGAAGACGCCACCACGTCATCTCTGTTTCTGGGCTAGGGACGCTGCAGGAGAGCTGTGCGTCCGGCCGTCCCTGTCCGGTAATCAACCCCCTCTGCTGATCGAGCCCGTCGTCCATGCCGGAATGGAAGCGCGAACTCGGCTTCGTTAGTACCTGTGATAACGTACGTTCTGGTGCTTGACTTGACGGTCACTAGGTCGATTTTCGAGGGTGCTGCTGACTCCAGCTATTCCCAAGACACGATCACGGAGGCTTGTCAGTGGCGGAGAGCTTGAGGCCTTTCGTGGCACGAGTCCACATGTCGTACCAGACGGCGTGTAAGTGACTTTCGTTTGGTAACCACTCCCAATATTGTGGGTGCGGAGAGGGTGTGCATACACCAAAATGACGATCGACGGTCCAGGTAGTGCACTTTCCCATACGCTTCATGCCCGGATCCGACAGCGTGGTCCATCTCCATTAGACTTACCTCATCTTACCGTCGGCTCCCCGCCAATGCAGGTTGTTGTTCCTCGCACGTTCGCTCTCATTTAGGCGGTCCACGCACCAAACACGCACGGGTGCTGACCCCGCAGACGTATGGCGACCGCCTCCAGTAGAACGTCGCGGGAGCGAGTAACCTCCCGGCATATACCGACCGAATAGCGTCAGGTGGCAGGTCTCGAAGGGAAGCCGACATGAAGTATAGAGAAAGGATCATGGTACAGACATTGTGACCCCGTTAGATGTCGGGCCCGCATCGTGGCCATGCTGGTCGCGGGCTGATAGATACTGCTGACAGTGTTCACGCCGCGGTGCGCGGTGCTCACAACGAATGTACGTGTCAAGAGCCTTTGACGCTATTGAAATCTCCACAACTCGCTCGACGGAACGGGCAATTGAGAGTTATGTACTTCACAACGGCATTGTGCCCCGAATCTTTCTTCACTTATCCTAGATCAGATATGCAGCAAGACCAGACGCACGATGTTGCACGGAACAGATGTACACACGATTCGTCGCACAAGCGGAGCCACAAGCACTTCATCGTCCGAGGGGGTGCTGAGCTGCCTGGGAGTAACCTGCCGTACTTCAGGCAAACCCGACGCGCCGGGGATGACCTAAGAACCTCCATCTTGAGCTTTAGGCCACTGGGGTGCAAGTTTCCGTCCGGAGGCATCCGAAATTCTCTAAGAAGCGGCTGAGAGGATCAATGGCCATTGGTAAATTTGCGCCACTTGGGTAACGTCAAGGATAGTTCAAGCAAGCCGACCAAGCCAGGCGATCTAGCTACGAGGGAGGCCGGCAGGATCGCTTGGAAGGTGCGATTGAGGTGGCTGGTTTGTACGCCTAACACATGTACTGTAGAACTTTATGCCAGGTAGGGCGGAAAAAGAGCTCGGGCCGAAAAATGTACCAAAGAAAGAGGTGTTCGTCAGGCAACGTGGTTCGGGGCCAAACAGCGAGTAGGCCATCGCCGTCTGTGGGCGATTAAAGCAAGCCAGAACGACCTCGGTGCCAGGAGGTGACTCGTCCAGACGATAGCCCAGCGTACCTAGGAATGCTCTGAGCTTATCACGGGCTTGCATGTACTAGACATGCATGTACCACGGTTCCGGCTAGAAGTCCGGCATGTGTACAGGGCGGTCCGATAGGCAGCAGGAGTAAGGCGGTGAGCCAGCTGGACGCGCGCTGTATTATCTACACGTCAAAGCGCACGAGTCGGTGTCGACCGATTACCGCGCTACTTGTCGACTCAGCGGTGGCTGAGAACCGCACGAAATGCATGCCGTTGAATGGGAGGCGTACGCAGCCCGCACGCGTCACGCCCGAAGAGCGCAAGCAGCACGAGCACTTATCTAGCCTTCCTTCTCCGGCTTCAGCTACTTAGTCATGGCGCACAAATGCAGCGCAAGAGTACGCTTGTTATGGTAGAATTGAAGGGACTCGCTCCGGACTCGGTGGGATTACGAAGAGACTAACCATCGGCTTGAATTCCTGCATTGTTCATGCACAGGAGTCAAAAAGTGGGACTCCGTCCTCAGCGGATCGAGTCCAAGACGCTCCGTTAGCGATGCGAAAGTCGAATACATGGCACCATGGTGGCTGCGAGTCGTTGCTGCTTGTTTGACCGCCAGATCAGATATACATGGTGCGCAAGTACACACCTTCCAGCTACTGTTGCGTTTCGATTATTGGCTTCAGGAACGATCGCCAAGGCACATTCAGGAAGGCTTCGCTCATTTGAACAGAGGCAATGCAAGACGTATGGCTGCCAGCGTGTATATGAAGTCGATGTTATTTAGCTGATATATGCGCGGACGAGTGACAGTGGCGGCGGGGTGATGGGCGCTGGCGCGGCAGTAGCCGCCCTGGGAACTTTGTCTTGGCGTCCCGGCAGACGCAACTCTGCGCTTCATGCTTCTTGCCTCGGACCACGCTCCATAGTATGCGGACTGCTCTCGCCGCATTCCCTCGAATCCTAATCAATCATCGGAGCAAATGCTGTCAAGCGGCGTCCGGCTCCCCTCATAGGCTGGCGGCATCGAAGACTTGATGAGTCTGTAGGGACAGGAGCACCTCCATATCGCGGGCTCTTCCAGGCCGCATTCCGAGCTCGCTAGTCGCGCACAGCGTCGCCGACGTCACAGGGGGTAGACGCACCGACATACTCGGAGAGAACGCACCCCGCGCGCCGCGCTGCAGGCACTGCGGGCGGGCGAGCACAGAAATTGACGCACCGTGGCTGGTCGGACCAACCTTGTGTGACCGGCATGGCTGACATTTCGAACAAATCAACCTCGAACCGAATGGCATATATTAGGCTGACGTCGGGGCGATTGGGCCTGTGACGCGGAGGGTGCCCGATCATATTGTACGCCTCAACAGAGCCGTTTCGAGCAGCCGGCGGCCCATTTAGCCCTTTATATATCTCCTCTCCACTCCTTCGCTCACCACCCCACCCCCTCCTTAAGCTTGCTACCGTCTGCTCCGGACTTCTTGCTGTTCTCTCTTTACTCGCGCGGTCGACTCATGGACCGTGCGCACAGGATGAACGTCCGCGCGGCCGCGGCAGCAATCTCGCTCTTCGCGTCTGCTTATGCCCAGACCATTAGCCCGCCTGGTCAGCCGAGCACCAGCGACGCCCCTCTCGGTCAGTTCAAGATCGTCGGGAACAGTATTGCCAGCGCGCAACAGGTATGTGAGCGTTCCGTTACGCGGTGTGCGGTTTGCCTGTGGCTGACGCCGGCGGGCCGAAGCTGTTTCTCGGGACGCTAGACAAGGTGTACATCGTGGACAAGGTGGAAAACAACCCCGCCAAGATTAACGGTCACCCAGCATGGGCTTCCGGTGCGTACAGGGTCTTCCGTGGCGCGCATATGATCGACTGAGCGATGTGTCTAGAATATTCAATCAGCAAAAACAGTGGTCGCCCGATGGACATCGTGACCAACACGTTCTGCGCAGGAGGCACTGTGCTCGGCAATGGAACGTGGCTGAACGTGGGCGGGAATCAAGCGGTCACTACTGGTGGTGTTGCGGCTTCTAGTCAAAATGGCGGAGGCGTTTACGATGATCCGGATGGGGGCAAGTCGTACGTTCATACCGTCCTTTTATGAATCAAGAGGCATTTTCTAACTTGCGTTTTTGGGCAGCGTTCGGTACGCAGATGTCTTCTGGTTCGTGTGCTATAGGACTGACATTGACGCATCGGACGTTTCAGCTTGATCAACCCTTGCGACGACTTCAGCTGTGAATGGACATTGACAGCCGATATGTCTACGCGGCGTTGGTATCCCACTCTGTGAGTTCACAACGGAGCACGATCGTGTGTGGCAGTGTGGTCTGACATGAATCTCACCAGCGAGACGCTCGACGACGGCTCTGCGATTGTTGTAGGTCTTGTGTCCCCGTACTCAAGCACCACCTGACTCATTCTGCGCTAGCTGGGCGGTTGCCTATGGGGAGGCTATGTCAACGATGCGAGTCAGGACAACCCTACATGGGAGATCTTCCCTCCGACGGGCGACGGGCCCATCCACTCCGACATCCTCGCAAACACACTTCCTGCGAACCTGTACCCGCTCACATGGATACTGCCTTCTGGAAAGCTCCTCGTACAGTCGAATTGGAAGACCGTGTTATTGGACTACAAGAAGAAGCAGGAGACGCCCCTGGACGACATGCTCGATGCCGTCCGCGTGTATCCCGCGAGCGGTGGAACGGCGATGCTCCCGTTGACCCCGGACAACAACTACACGGCCACGATCTTGTTCTGCGGCGGCTCCAACCTGCAGCCTGATCAGTAAGCACGTCTTTCCCAGTGCCCGTCTGAGCAGATGAACTGATCGGGCGCGCGCGATGGCCGCAGGTGGAAGACGAATTGGGACATCGCGCAGTTCAACGCGTCGACCTCGTGCGTGCGCCTCACGCCGGACCAGTCGTCCTCGTACGTGGAAGACGATGCGCTTCCCGAGGGCCGCTCGATGGGCAACCTGATCCTCCTGCCGAATGGCAAGATCCTCATGCTCAACGGCGCCCAGACAGGTACGGCGGGGTATGGTACCGAGAACTGGGCGATCAACGAGTCATACGCGGACAACCCGGTCCTCATGCCCATCATGTATGACCCGAGCGCTCCCCAGGGTAAGAGATGGTCGCGCGACGGCCTCTCCCCCAGCACGATCCCGCGGATGTACCACTCCTCGGCGACTCTCCTTCCTGATGGTTCGTAGTCGCGCATATACTCACCTTCTTAGGTACTGATTCACTGCATATAGGGTCCGTCTTCGTGTCGGGTTCGAATCCCCATGCCGACTACGCCGTGGACAACGTGAAGTTCCCTACCGAGTATCGGGTAGAATATTTCTACCCATCGTACTACAACCAGAGGCGGCCGGAGCCCAAGGGCATTCTCAGTTCGCTGTCGTATGGTGGAAGCTACTTCAACGTCACGTTGACGAAAGACGATCTGTTCGGTGACGTGAATAACATCAAGAACACCCAAGTCATCGTTCTTCGCACGGGCTTCTCCACGCATACCATGGTAAGCATCCGTGATACTGCAATGCGGGCCGTCATCTTACATAGCTGTGCAGAACATGGGCCAGAGGATGCTCCAGCTTGGGTCGACGTACACGGGCGACTCTGAAGGTAGCACAACTTTGCACGTCAACCAGATGCCGCCGAACCCTGCGACGTTCCCACCCGGCCCTGCTCGTAAGTCACGCCTCGCGTGTTATCTGACTATGACAGTATAGCGGGACTGATGGTCATGATCACCAGTGGTCTTTGTTGTCGTCAATGGCGTTCCCTCAGTCGGTGTTCAGGTTATGGTCGGCAACGGCAAGATCGGAAAGCAACCCACTGCGGACGTAGCCACTCTGCCCACGTCCGCGATCACATCCACCGGCAGCTCGAACTCGAGCTCCGACGGCTCTGGTGACAATGTTGCCCAGAGCCACCACAAGAGCGACGCCGATGGCCTACACGGCTCCATGTCGTCCTTCGCGGCTGTTGTTGTCACCGGACTTGTCTCTTGGACTATGCTCGCATCACTCCTCTGAATGAGAGTATGGACAGACTATCTTGTTGTGATCTGTGGTCTTCCTTCACGAACCAGTTCACGATTTTAAGGACATCACACTTGTTGTAACTCATCCCCCTTAGGCACTCCGCATCTTGTTTGTCTTTCTAGCCACTGCGGACATCTATCATTCCCGGACTTGACATTCATACCATCACCATCGTACCGTACCCGTATATAAACAGACTTTCTGGGCTTCCAGGGTCCATAGACTCTCGCGTCCACAAGACTTTGATTTAGTAGCATGCGTAGATACAATCTTACTACGTCCGCATACGTACACTTCACGCATCTCTAGTGACTAGTCTATTATTCCTTGGTGTCGCGCGCACACCGTCCGCATATTGGTGGTTGGTCCTCCATCTACGATCGATGACCGTTATACAGGGACGAAGCGTGACCGCCAGCCACCTATCATGACGAGATACGTGCTATGAGAGGTGTTCGATCACCCCGTCCACGGGTTCTTGTCGCTCACTTGCATATACCACTTACAGGAGTAGTTTATATGCAGTGGAGGGCAAGGTATGGCTACTTGAGGCACTTGAACCTCCTTACTGTGTATTCGCACATACGACCCGACGCAGCACGAGAAAGGGGTGTATTAGCACTGTGTGACTTCCGTTCGAAGCTACAAGACTGTGAGCATCACGTAGAGACTGACAGAGCGGGTTGCGTACTCCAGACCGTGCTTTGTGGGCTCTCCGCTCGCGAGACGATGTTATGAGCCGCCGCACCAATGCAGTGGGTTCTCATGGAAGCGTCTCTTCAAGACATGCTGTAAGATCTCAAATAACGCTTCATGGAGCACTACCTTTGGGTCTCGGAAGGTTGGTCTGTCTTCTGTACTCTCCGTGCGCGGTGGCCCATGATTCAATGGTGATGGGGCCGACGTTGCCGAGAGATAATCCGCAACGACTGAGTTCCTCGCTCAAAGTCACGGCATCATCGGATGCGTACCTCCGTTCCCAACGACCTCAATATGAGGTCTCTTAGACTGTCCAGACAAGGTACAAGCTTGCTATATTTGCAGGCCGATCCTGGGGATAGACCCTCGTTGCAGAGCTTCCGATAGGACACATCCTTACTTCCGCTTGTATCTCCCATGGAATACGGCGAAGGCCCACCTCATTGTCTCTGGGGTCCCCGAGACATAGAAAATTTCCTCGATCCCGAACTTCGGGTTGGCTACATAGATCATTGGACGAAGTTCTTCCGCAGGTGAACACTCGAAGCCGTGTTGAGCGCTTGCAGACATGGAAGGTACGACTAGAGCTCTGTCGAGTCTGAACCCAATACCACCAGAAGATCTGCGACTACCCGTCCGCAGCTCCCTAAACCGGGATTTTCACCTTCTTGATACTGCCGTCGCATGGCACAGGCTGAGCGATGAAGCTTGAAGCGTCCATGGGCTTGTGGTCAACCACACCCCAGGTTGTGGCTCGTCTGTAAACTTCATGATGTTGACCAGCGGAATCCGCCCTCCGTACCGATGTCTCATTCGTATCCGGGCATCCAGACATGAGAGCCATATTGATGACGGAATACTTGCTGAGCGCAGATTTTCCTCGCAAGAGGACGAGCATCGGAGGGCTGAAGAGTATCCGCCATAAGCGGAAGGCATAAGCAGAAGAAGAGATCAAGAAAAAAGGAGAGCGTACCGAGGACGGGAAGCAAGTGATGATTTAACGATAACAGTCGTAACTACGCGGAAGTATCGGTGTCCGGCGATAGTCGCGACGCGCTGACTACACACCGCTCCAGGCTCAATCACACGCGGTGGCGGGGTATATCCAGATTCGGCAGAGGAGCAAGGGAAACGAACATACCCTTCATACCCTTCAGAATTCTCTGAAATGATTTGTTACCTTGTCACGGTGATGCTTGCATGACAGTCCCGTGAAACAGTTGGCGATAAGTGCAGCTAGACAAACATGAGTGGGTTCTCAAGCCCACCGTGAGGTGACGATGCAAGTTAAACAGAGGGAAGATGGGCCCCAGGCAAGCCGTCAATAATGTTAATGAAGAAAGGCTACCCAGAACACTAAGAAACTAGTCCCTCGTAATGCGGTAGGCGATTACGTTGTTCGAGGACGATACTGTACATGTACGACTTAGTCACAGCTGTCCGGCTTGGTTGAGCCGCTGACTAAGCATTGTAGGCGCCCACATAACCACCTTCCCGTTCTAATGGATATCGAGCCCACCAGCAGGACCTTGAATGAACAGTACCATTATCCAGATGGGACATCGCCAGGGTTAGAAGTCTGAAGAGAATATGGGGATATCCGGCATCACTCACTTGTAGCTGTGTCTGTGAGGCTCCAAGGCCTTTCTGGGATGGACATCCTATGGCGCGTCTATCTGATATGACTTCGGAAAGACGATAGAATGCAACTGAGCAATCCCCGAGGCAAAAAAATATGACCACCGCAGGGGTCGAACCTGCAATCTCCTGATGCCCTAAGCTTTCGCCTCCAAGGCGTGCTCGTAGTCAGACGCGTTGCCATTACGCCAGGCGGCCGTGTGGTAGTAACAGAAGGGTCGTATGTTCCCCAGCGACGACATACTGTGTGAGAATGGCTCGGGCTGTGCTTATGCTTCAAGTCAGAGCACTCGTCCATAAAGAGGCATTGGCCTGCTCTGAATGAATATCCTATTTAATGTAGAGCGTGAGTACCGAAAAGTGATCCATGTTGCTCCAGGAGATTGAACTTCAGTAGCAGTGAACATCCGGTGCATGAAAAAATAAGAAACTCAACAGCTCAAGGCTACAATGACACTCGACGAGATGTACACCCTTGGAATACCAGCGCAGATGACCACGCTACGCAGATAGTATCGTCATACATTATTGACCTCTATGGATGTGAACAGCTTATGAGGGCAGACTTAGCCAGGCTGTGACATTGTATTGCCATACACGTACGCACGTCGAGCTAGGAGTCATACGGCGGAAGACCCCAGTGCTCCGGGACAAACTCCTCCAGCGACTTGAGCGTTGAGTCCGGCTCCTCGTCCACAGCGGTTGTCTCGCCTCCCAGAGCGACCAAGTTCGCATCCGGGACCCACACAACTGGTTTTGACTCGATCAGCATCGCCGTCCCACATAGCTCCCCAACCGTTCACTCACCGTGCATGCCGGCACGCTTTCCCGCCTGCACCCCAGGAATCCCATCCTCGAACACGAGCCCCTTGGCCCTGACCGCGCGCTGCTCCTCAGTCACGCTCGCCTCTGCCGCCTCGCCCTTTCCCACGTCCAGCCCCAGAAACCTCTCCGCAGCGACGAGGAAGATGTCCGGGTGCGGTTTCCCGCGGCCCTTCTCGACCAGCCCGTCGTCCGCGCACACGACGCGGCCCTCGAAGCAGTCGAACAGGTCGCCGAGGTGCGCCGACTTGAGCTCGAAGTTGCGGCGCTGCGAGCCGGTCGCGACGGCCATCGGGACGCGGTGCTTGTGGAGGTGTTTGACGAGCTTGACCGCCCCGGGCAAGGGCTGGACCGTCGGCCAGCGGAGGTCTTGGAGCTCGCGCCGGGCGGTGAGGTAGTAGTCGATCGAGAAGGACGGCGGGAGGTCGGGGAAGAAGGAGAGGAGGTGCACGGCAGCTTCACGCTCGGCTGGTCACAGAAGCAATGGGATATGAGTGCGGATGCTGGACAGACGGTGCCGAGACGTTGTGGGGGATGTCTCGCTGTCCCGGCTGCCACTGGGCGGAGAACACCATGATGTGTGTTCCGCATCCAAGACCTGGTACCAACTGCAAGGGACACCCTGTTGAACTAGCCAGATCTATGGTGATGGTCGTGGTGTACCCCACCTTAGACGTCAGGCTCACGCCCATCAGATGATGAGCAGACATAGGCCCTTTACTCCGAAGCAGACCAGGCCTAAACGCTCCGTGGACATACCACTATAGACATCGCGCGGTGCCCCAAGTCACCATGGATCATATTTTGTGAGGGGACGCACGTTTTCCCATGAGTCCGGCCTTGATGTCCCAAGTCATCTCCTTGCCGTAAGGAGCAAGGAGTTCATCTACGGACATGTAGATTAGTTGTGCAGGCGCGGCGCACTCACAGCGAGAGGCTCCTACTGGTGACATCGGTGTACACACGCTCGGAGTCGATGAGCAGCCCTGTATCCATACGTCGCGGAAGTTCGCGCATGCATGAGCGATCTGTACGCCTCCGCGGCGACAAGGCTTGACTTCACCATCCATGTCGAAGATCACATGCTCGATTGTCGGCCTCTGAACAGCGTCGGACATCTTCCCTGCGCGATACGGCTCAGATCTGGAGTCTAGACGAAACGTATGTGTGCGTCGCGTAGGAAGGCAGATGATAAGTGCCAACGAAGCTGCCCAAGCAGTCCGATTCGTCTGTCGTCCAGCATCCGTACACCGTCCCATAGACGCCCGACCCGACCTGCATTCGAAGCCCTATCGTCCGCCCCGTACGCCCCGCCGAGCCTCAGGCCTCAGGACCCGGAAATGATGCTTCGCGGACGGTCCGATAACAGCGACATGGCGAGGAACAGAACCTTGACAGGACCACAAGAACGCCCTTGTTCGCTGGAGCTTTTATGATCAAAGCAATACCAGGGCAAGGGGGCAGCGAGAACAACGCCCTCGACGTCCGTCGTCCGAGTCGTCGTACCCCATGGGTCCCCCAGGCCTTTCACTCGCACTCGCCATCATCGCACGCGCAAGCATATGAATCACACTAGCGGGGGGCCCTACACACGTTCGGCGAGCACCAGCAGCAGCGGCGCGGGTGCACATAAAGTCCTAGGTCATGACATGACGTCGTCAGCTTCTAGCCTCCGCTCGTCCACCGTCTCGAACACACCGCTGGAGCCAACTTGAAGGTGCGCGACTGCAAGGCTCCAAGACTGCAGCTGGCAGCTGGGCTGGCAGCTGGCAGGCTGATCAGAACTCAGAAACGTCCGAGCCGGGTGCGCACGCGCACGAAGCACGCCCCGCTCTCCTTCTCGCACGCGCCGTCCCGTCTAAGGACAGATGCGCACCAGCACCCCACGCACCTCCTCGCACGCGCGGGCCACGCGTTCGCGGTCGGGCACGTTCACGGTGCGATCGCACAGAACCAGCGATAGGACTATTATTATTATTGGCAGCGTCCCGCGGACCACGCGTACGGGGGGCCCCGCGCGAGATTGGGCTGGCGGAGATGGCGAGGGGCCACGGAAGGCGCGTTCCAGTGCTGCACACAACGATCAACTATGTATTGACTAACGGAGATGAGTGCTCCGGGGTGCGCAAGCGGTGCTCGTGATGTGGTCACGACCCACTGTCAGAGAGATCGGCGTGCGCCCCCTATGCGCGCCATGCATTATGTAGTCCTATTAGGTTCGATCTTGACGTTTGTCTGAATGAATGGCGTCCTAGCGTCGATCTATGTACTTGGCATTCACGATCTTGTCTTCACCGACGTAGCTGATCGACGCCAGCGCACACACGATCACCTCGGGCGGCGCAGGCGGACACAAAAGATAGACAACCATGTTTCGTGCGGTAGGACGTGAGCACATAATACCTGGGGGGTATACACAGGTCTAAGGTAGATAGGAGGCGAGTTGGTTAGCAGCGATGTAAGCGTAAAGACAGGTAGCCGGAAGAAGGACAAGGAACGAGTGCCGCGGCGACGTGGAACCCGAGCCCCAGCCTCACGGTCCCCGGAGAGAGAGAAGCACCGGGAGACCGGGAAGAAGAACGAGGATAGAGATGTGGATGGATGAGGGAGCAACAGAAAAGGTGGTGCAGAAGGAGCAGACCGGCCATTGTGAGAGCGTGTCCATGCTTGCGACGGTTATCTATGTATGTGTATGAGATGCGCGACAGGCGAGATGCGTGCGGAGAGGTTTAAGTTATGCCCATCGCATTCTGGGTGCGAAGGCGCAAAGAGTATGTTATCGGACAGCGAAGACACCCGGGGAAGCGAAGATGGTAGTACACTAGCCACACGTCTATACCACAAGTCGTCGAAAGTCCATTTTGCACGTCGCCGCGCCCTGCGCCCGGCACGGTCTCGGTGAGCACTTCACTTCGAGCGGCGTGCGAGGGCGCGGGGAGCCGACTGCTGTCCACGCGTAGATGTACACTCCGCCTACAGTAGGAGAGGGAGAGGGAGGAAAGCACGCCCGCGCTGGCGGGGACAGGCGAGAAAGCGGGGAGCGGCTACAGCTTCTTGGCCTTCTTCTTGCGGGCGCCGTCGACGACTGCGCCGGCGTCGGTGATGGCCTTCTGGAGGTCGCCCGTGGAGGCGAGGTACTTGATCTCCTTGGGGGCCCCGACGGTGCGGCCTGCGACGAGGAGGATCGGAAGCTCGCTGGTGGACGTCAGGCGGTACAGAAGGCGCGTGAGCACGTCCTCGTCCGCTGCCGAACAGAACGCAGGCCCGAGGAGACACGTGTCAGCGAAGTCGGGAAATGCGGGGAAAACGTCAGATAGGACTCACGTCGCTCGTCGACGTCGACGATCGTGGGCGCGGGCCGGAGGTACATGTTGGCGAGCACCTGCTTCACCTCCCGGGACACCGGCGAGTGCACCTGGGCGACGTCGGACGTCCATGTCAGCGTCGCGCTCGTCTACGTCTGCCTCGGACGGCGGCATGCAGTCGCCGTGCATGAGCGCGAGCGTGGACGCACCTTGGAGTAGAGCATGACCGGATTCCGCGTCCACACGTCCTGGATCACCGCCTGCAGCTCCTCCTCCGCGTGCGGGCCGCGGGTGTCGAAGTCGAGGATGAGCTGCGGGTCGATGGGCCGCAGCGGGTCGACGGTCGAGGGGATCATGTTCTGGGGCAGGCTCGCGATGAAGCTCGACACGGCGGCGAGCTCCTGCGTCTCGTTGAGCGCGATCTGCGGGCGGGAGTGGACGTCCGGGGTGGCGGCCGTGGGCTTGCGGTACTTGAGGGCGGCGCGGAAGGCGTCTGGGGACCAGCGTGCGCCCTGGGGCGTGGCGTCCGCCTGGGGGCGCGACGTGTCGAGGAAGGAGATGGGGCGGAGGGCGGGCTGAGAGAGGAGGAGGACGTAGACGGAGACGGCGAGGAGGACGAAGAGGGCGAGGAAGGTGGTCCGCATCCAGTACGCGCGGGGCTTGCGGGACATGGGGAAGCCGGCGATGTTGGGGAAGGGGGTGAGGGGCGGGGAGTCGAGGGAGACATGGCGCATGTCGGGGAAACGCGCCGAGAAAGTGCGGCGGTGGGCCATTGCGGGTTGGTGTGTGTTATACTTGTACGGAGGTGTGTGTGGTGCGCAGGGATGAATGGAACGGTGGACCGGACGCTTCGAGGGAGGTGAGACTAGTCTGACGGATTTGACGGGGGAACAAAGGAGTGGAAGGGGCGTGGCCGTGCTCGACGAAGCGATCCTCCAGACGGTCTGCAGACAAAACAACCGAGGCGCCCGCCAGCCGTCAGTGGCTTGTGCGCGCCATCCCACTCGCAGCTCGAGCGCCCCAATCGACACCTCTGTCTGCCATTACTTGCAACGATACTGCAGCGCACACTGCATGCGACCGAACCAGCGCGGCCGCTGCTCGCCTCCTGGAATCAAAGGAAACAAGCTCCACTGTTCGTGCCTGCGATAATGAACTTCTTTCCCGCCCCATCTGCACCCCGGTCCGTCTGCTCTGGATCTTTCGGCTTCTGCTCAGCCTCGTGGCACACCGTGCTCCATCCACCCCACTCCTTCTCGGTTCGCGCGCTGTTCTCTGGACACAAAGTCAAAGTGGAAAGGTGTCGCAGCTCGAGGACAGTAGTGTCGCACGCATCTTCGGCATCTTCCACAAACGCGGTATGCGCACGCCGGTGTGTCCTCTTCCATCCCCATGCTGCTAGAAGTGATTGATTAACGTCATGCGCGCGAGTGGCTCAAAATTCGATCACTGAAAATACTTCGGATATACACACTGCAGGGCTTGTCCCCAAACTGTCAGTGCCGGTCTTGTGGGCGCCCGCTCATGCCTGTGTCTCATCTACAGGAGCACTAGATGCAAAGCACACAAGCACCACCGGGAGACAATGCCAACAATACTTCCGTGAGTACTGCACTACATTCTGTGCTCGTGACGCTAAGGTCCGGCGGCGCGCTCGTAGATAACGCATTTGACATTGACAGCTTCGAACAGTCCTAGGCAGCCTTCGATGTCAGAACGACATAGAAGGCGCGATAGGAATGCCGTACTATCGCGACCCCAGTGTTCGGACAGACCCCAGTGTTCGGACAAACAGACGTATCTCCCTCAATTTCCAACCGATAAAGTTGCAAGTTGGAAGGTAAGTGCCCAGATGCGTTCCAAATGAGCAGCAACAGGAACGGGATCTATATCATAAGCCATTGGGGCGATCTTGCAGGAGGAAGTGGGCCGACTCATCCCCATCAAAGCTTCCTGAGTCTCGCTTTGTACTACTCTACGGGCGCTTCCCTCAAAATTCCTCATACATGTTCCCATGTACGCATTTTGTCCAGCAATAAATTCTCCGAGGGCTGCTGAGGGGAACGCAGAGGAGAAGCAAGAAATAGCCCTCCAGGGCGTGACAATGTAGCCACATCTTGACGCTCCGACCTACTTGGGCTCCTCGGCTAAGGCTCATCAAGCTAGAGAACGGGCATTACCCGAAGGCCGGCAGGCATTGGCAAGCGTGACAGATCGTGACCTCCGGCGCGGAGAATCGTCCGAACACTGGGGTCAGCCCTGTATAATCCCGTCTCCATTGCTCATTTCTCCTCCAATATCTCTCATGTTTGGCACATAGTCTATTTACATACGTCTCTTTCTGCGTGCCAAAAATTAACATTATCGGAGAGCATGAAAGGACATAAAACGAAGGGATTCTGCAGGGGGCGCTTTGTTGTCCGAACACTAGGGTCGCAATAGTAGAACGCGCCAAGGCTTCAGAGTAACACCACAGGAACGAGCGCCGCCACGTCTAACGGGGGTCCGTTCGAACAAATGGACACGATCTTCGCTTTCGCTTGGCGGAACCAGGAATCGCACTTTGTTGGATCGCGGCATGGTGGTGTCTAGTCCGTGATTTGATGTTATATATAAGTAAGCTGGGTACTGCAACAAGCCAGGACTCTCTACATAAGTTATAGGTGGGTCTGTGTGTACGCAAGCTACTTAGCTCCCATAGGATAGCTCACCCTCTATGTCACATCACTTTGCAGACCGAGGTAGCGCGTGCCACCTTCTCTTGCAGCCCCCCGCTACAACGTCGACGTCAGTGTATGCATTGGACGAAACGCCACAAAGGCCTTCGCTGTCGACCTCTTAACAGCTGGGTGTCAGAATGCAGCCCCACCGGTAGTCTGTTGGACAGACTCCCGAACATCTCTGTCGCGTTCCTTTGACGCCTCTCGTCCACGCGTGGTTCGCGGGACCGAGCAGCGCTTTCTTGCCCGACTCTCGGCGCCAGATGCCACATGGCGACAACCATATTGGAGCCGGCGTGTATACCCTGACTCCGCAAAAGAGGTTTGTCGTCAAATAAACCGTACGTTCTCACTCGGTTGCTTACTGTCTGTCTGACACTGCTTGTACCAATCTCCCCGTTGGGGTAGGCGCTCAGGTCTTCAGGAGTTGTCGGCATCCTCAGGCTGCAAAAACACATTTCATGTCACGCCGCTGCTTCACATGCCCAATCTATCTACGCGACACGACACATAGCATATGGCCTCTTGGCGGGACTTCTGTCAGCTCCTCGACAACGCGCAATGCAAGTCTTAGAACTCAGGCCTCGATTTCTCGTGCGTGTCTGCGTCGTCGAGACGGAGCGCCAGCGTTCGCCTTCTGCTGGTGTGTACGACTTCGATCCCAGAGCGCCCAGCTTGTAGCGACTAGACATAATTTGTGGTCAGCAGATCCACACATTGCATACCAGTTCGTAGCGGCACGCTCGTGTACTTGCGGAGATGTCTTCCACGGCACACGTTCACCTATCGATTGCTGATCGCGACTTCATGTAGCGTCTTCTCTACCGCAGCTACAGCCTCCACCCCCAGTGCATATCAAGACGACAGCCTGGCTGTTATATATCACTCAAATTGCGTATTAGTGGACTATCTCCCTACTTGCCTGGATGACACCTGCTCAGCCACCACCACCAGCGACATACCCTGTCCGCCCGCTTTTCGACGATGCAGACGCAGACTTCATCTTCCGTTCCTCTGACGACGTTGACTTCCGCGTCTACAAGGTCATCCTTCCCAAGGCCTCCTCCGTTTTCCGGACTATGCTCGACCTTCCTCAACTCCCGTCGTCCAATCCCAATTCCACGGACGAGTCTCATGTCGTCAAGCTGACCGAGGACGCCAAGACGCTCCAGCACGTCTTCCGCCTCTGCTATCCTACAGAGCATCCCAACATAACCCCCTTCGACGACATCCACGCCGTCCTGGAAGCAGCGCGGAAGTACGAGATCAAGTGTATCACCACCAACCTACGATGGTCCCTCGCGCGTATCATCCCCAAGGGGCCGCTCCGCATGTACGCAGTCGCCTATATGCTACAATTGGAGGACGTTGCGAGGGATGCGGCCAAGGAGCTGTTGCTCGTCCCTCAGTTTCATATGCCCCCCTCTCCTCCTTCTGAATTCAGCACTCTGCCGTGCCTGGCGATATATTCGATGCACGTCTATCGTCAGAGGTGCTTGGAGGTAGCACTGCACGACCTGGAAGATTGGAAGTGGATTGCGTACGGGCCGCACGATCGCGCAAGTACCGGGGACGCATCTCAAGTCGCTGAATGGATATGGTTCGAGTGCATCTCGGGGCACGGGCCACCGCGAGTTCTAGCAGGCAATGTCAGCCATCACACTCAGGGGTGGTTTGAGACGTATGTTATGTCTCTCAAAACCGCACTGAGCGTACGGCGGTCAGGAGGCACGGTGTTGTCGCATCTTACTTCCAGCAAGGCTACCGAGATATTCACCCGTGTCGGTAACGAGTGCACGAGCTGTAGGTCGCGGGCGCATGCGGATCTGGTGCATTTCAGCAATTTGTTAGCAGTGCGGATTGACACCGCGATAGCGCCCTTGAACGATTCTGACTGATCGACGTTCGCCTTCAAGGTCCGAATAGACTTGCCGTTTGCGAGTAACGTTGGGATGAACCTATAGCTTAGCTTAGCTGCATGATGTATGTGATTAGCGTTGTCGCTGCTTTGCGTGCAATTGTGGTTGTGCGCAGCTCTTCAACTATCAAGACCGTGCTGCATGACGCAGAAGCCATGCGAGCTTTGGTATAGTAGGCCCGTCTGTTCATCAGAACATTTCAATCCAATGCGAGTGGCATATGAATAGTGCCAACCCGCTGCCATCGCCTAGCATTAGGCCGATACTGGTGGCAGTTCTCCATCAGGTTGCAACAATCCCTCCGACGCATAGCAGCACAAGCAAGTCACTCTGATTGACCATGGACTCTACGGCAAAGAAAACCATCCCTTGAGGTCATTCGCGCGAACGACTACATATACAGGATACTCATAAACAGCACACTCCAAAGTTCGTCTAGATGAGTACTTCGATGGTCCAAGTCCGGCTCGCGTGATAACGTTACGCGAAGCAGCCCAATCAGTCGCGTCATGTAACTTACAACTTGGCGGAGGACGGAATCCATGACGTTTGGGCACGCGCATCGTTCGATTGACGATATGACAATACGTATATCAGATGTTGACAGAAGACGCCAATCCAGGTCCCCGCCCGTACTTACTTCTCTGCCTTCGGTTGAGCATCTAGTCATCCACAGACGCACTGTCCTGCACCACCATGTCCGCCCATCGAAATCCCATCGAATTCAGAACCCTGATCCTCGATCTCGGCGACGTCCTCTTCACATGGTCTGCGGTGACGACAACGTCTATCCCGCCCCGCTTGCTCAAGGACATCCTAAACTCACCCACCTGGTTCGAGTACGAACGCGGACGCATCTCTCAGGCGGATTGTTACGCGCGGGTCGGGGGAGAATTCGGCGTTCCACCATCCGACGTTGACGAAGCCTTCAGGCAGGCGCGAGAGTCACTGCGGCCGAATGAGGACCTCCTCGCTCTCGTGCGAGAGCTCAAGGCCCGATATGCGGGGCAGCTGCGCGTATTTGCGCTTTCGAACATCTCCCTCCCCGATTACGAATACGTGATCAAGCTGCCCACCGACTGGTCCATCTTCGATAAAGTCTTCCCGTCCGCGCTCCTCGGGGAACGGAAGCCGGACCTTCAGGCGTACGAGAAGGTGGTGCAGGAGACGGGCATCGATCCGTCCACGACCGTGTTTGTGGATGACAAGGTCGAGAATGTGGATGCGGCGAGGAAGCTGGGTATTCATGGGATCGTCTTCGATAAACAGGAGGGAGTGTTTCAGGCCCTGAGAAAGGTCTTTGGAGACCGTGTGCAGGCTGTTCAGGAGAAGCCAAGGGAAGGAAACTAAGGGTATAGAGGGTATGTGTCGTCAAGAGGTGGTATGATCAGATCGGGATCTGGAACATATAGACTTTGTACAGTGCTCGAGGGCGAGATCAGGATCTGTCGACGACTTGTGTATGTGAATTACGTCGTCGTTGTGAGCCGTATTCTTTGTGCATCTTGACCGCCTCCCTCGCACGCTTCTCTATGGACCACTGGGTCCTAGGGCGAGGTTTCTGAGCAAATGTAACCTCGAGTCAGCCTGCGATGGGCCAGGGCAACACAGCCGGTCCGAGCTCACCGAGAACAGGATGACGAACGCCGGCGCTTGTAGACGTCCCCTTCCGTGCGCGTGAACATCACTCACCAAGTGCTTTCCCTCCGCCTCCCATTGTTCACAGTCGCCCTCGCTCCCGCTTTTCTGTCTGTCTTGCTAGTATCAATAATGAGTAGCTGCATACTAGAGCCCGACGTAGTCACGGTTGAATACGAGATTGCTGGCGCGTCCGAGCACAGCGGCTCATACGTAGCCGAGAACATCCTTCATGATAGGCCCCGCGACCAGACCAGCAGATGGAGTGGCGCAATCTCTGCATCCAATACGAAGCAGTGGATAAGGCTGCGTCTGAAGAACCCGTGTGTTCTCAGTTGAGTGGTTCGCCGCACCCACTTGCAATAGCAGTCCATTAACCGCTCATAAATGCAGGGAGCATCACTTTTGGAAAGGTACGTTCGGCCGTATCATCCAGAATAGGCTGGAGAAGCCAGCTCTGAACATATGACACAAATTCTGTGTACCCCAGTTCTATAAGAGTGGGTCGGAGATGAGCCTGGAAACGTGTTCGGGACAGTCGAGGCTAACGCGTGCCCTCTAGCACACCCATGTAACATGAAAGAATTCAAGGTTCTGATTGGTCTCACCGAAGGCAATATGACTGAGGTAGAGCTCGCCGTCCAGCTCTGTCCGTTTGACTCTCTGACCACTGACAAACTCGAATTTTCGAACAGGTTCTCCAAGCTGGCCTGAAGAACGACTCCACACCTGAGACCTTCTCTATCAAGTCTACCAACCGTGTCGGAATGCCCTTCCCAACGAAATTCATCGAGGTTGTACCTCTGTCGTACGTCCCCAGACATAGTGTATGTCATGCCATGCTGACGGCGCCGCATCTTCGCAGTGCGCACGGTCAGAGCTTCAACACCTCAATATGGCACATCTCATTATCAGGCATCACTGATGAGGCATATGTCGAGCGCATCCGCCTGAAGCATCAAGAGGTACCCAGACAGCTCTAGACCCTCAGTCGGGGCACTGACAATCCGGTAGTACCGCGAAACCGTCACCCTGCGCCAGATCCTCAAGCACCTCCGCCAACGCCGCTTCCTAACCCCCGTTAATCAGATTCTTGCCCGCTCCGGTTTGCAGCTAGAACACCCACTGATCACCTCCCTCCACTCCGCTTTTGTCCTCAACGGTGCTTGGGCAGAGGCCGAGAAGCTCATACGCGACTGTGCCGACGCTGGGCTACTTCGTGGCTACCGCCACGCGTGCCAGACGCGCATGCGCTGGACGCAGATACGCGGGCTCGACCCAGACGGCGACGTGCCTTGCCGCCGTGGAGGACATGCAATGTGCATTGACGAGGACGCTGGGCTCATATACCTCTTTGGCGGATGGGACGGGCAGCGGTCCCTCGACGACTTATGGGTGTACGACATCGCGAAGGACGTGTGGAAGTGCTTGAGCGTGGCAACGTCGCGAGAGAAGAACGGACCGGGTCCGAGAGCGTGCCATAAGATGGTATTTGATAGCAAGACTGGTTCGATCTACCTCTTGGGAAGGCTGAGCGAGGGCGACGGTGACGGGATGGAGAATCACCGGAGGCATTCCATGCCGGAGATGAGGACGGAGGGACACAGGGATGCTCGGCCGCCGTGGCTGCATGCCGCGGAAGTCGGAGCTGATCCTCCTGGTCTGGAGCCGGGGGCGGCGACGATCTTCGGTTCGGCATACCCATCCCAGTGCTCCGAGTTCTACAGGTACCACACGCGAGGCTTGGACGCCGGAAATTGGGATTTGCTGACGTTCGATACGGCTGTGAGTCGACGCCATGTGCGTATCTCTCGCTGAAGTTTCTCGCTGATCAATGTCTGCTCTCAGTCGTCAGGCGGACCGCCGCTGGTTTTCGACCACCAGATGGCCATTGACAGCGATGCTCAGATGATATATGTCTCTGGTGGACGGGTTCACGAGGGCGAGGGGGAGATGTTGAAGTTCTCCGGTCTTTACAGTTACGACATCCGGACAAGCAAATGGAAGATGTACAAGTAAGTGCATTTCGCCTCTGTCCAATCAACTGCATGATAATAGTCGGTACAGTAACACTGACGTCTATGCGTCGCATCCATACATTCCTCCGCGATGGGGTAAGGAAGACTATGAATTCGCTCGACAATGACGAGCTAAGTCCGATTGCAGGACACTCCATGGTCCTAGATCCCAAATCCCAAACGCTCTTCATATTCGGCGGCCAACGAGATGATCGATACCTTTCCGACATGTATGCGTTCCATATACCCACCAGTACGGTTACGGAGGTCTTCTCAAACTTCACCTCTGCGGGAGGCCCCGATCCTTGCTTCACGCAACGGGCGGTCATAGACATTGAGAAGCAGGAGGTCTATGTGTGAGTGGTGCCCCACCGTCTCTTGCGTAACCATAGGCTAAGCGTATTCGCTATGTTTGATTTCAGCCTCTGTGGACTGACCCGTCTCCGACCAACAATACCACCCGTCCTGGAAACCGAGTCGCCGTACTGGATATACCGCTATGACCGCCCTGAGCTTCCTGGGAAGTGGTCCAAGATCCTTCCGGAGAAGGACGCCGTGGACGAAACTTGCCCACACCCCCGATACGCGCATCAGGCGGTGTACGACAGCAAGTCAGGGATCGTGTATATGCATGGCGGGAACGCTGGATCCATCGATGAGGAGGAGTCTGAACTTGCTGAACCACGCCCATTGTCGTCGGATGCCAGTGTCGACGCGGAAGCCGTAGCAGTTGCCCCTGGTGGGCTGGGGGATGGGGATGTGGAGAGGAGATTAGACGACTTTTGGAGCATGGAGATCCTTCGGTATGTTCTCTTGGCCCTGCATACGAATCAATACGTGTTTACACAGTGCGATAGGCCGAGTAACGAAGAGATCGTGAGACGGGCGGTGTACGAGATCAGGCAGCAGCAGTGCGTCCGCAATACGAATCTTTTCCTCCTGTCCCTGTTGACTCTTCTCGCAGGTTCCGGGAGATGTGCGAGGACGGCCCTCCCATCAAGGCCCTTACGTTCCTCCAGACCCGCGTCTCGTCGGTCGTGAACCACGAGGATCCCGACGAGGCCAAGGTCTTCCGGGCGCTGCTCTCGGCGCATCTCCTAGCAGCGCCTCCGCGCCCAGCAACAGCTTCCGGCTCGGGTACAAGCACTCCCTCCAGCATTGATGTATCCGCAGCGGCAACGGCGACCGCCGCGCGCGCAGACAGCCCTCCGCCACGCAAGCGGTCGCGCCCGAGCACGCCTAATCCCGCTGCATTAGAAGCGCCTTCCGTCGGTGGCCCGTCGGTGCTCCGGCTGGACGAGGACCCTGCGGAAGAAGGTGGGAGCCCGCCGTCGCCTGAGCGGTACCGCCAGCGGACGGCGATGTTCGAACAGCTGCTGAGCTTTGTGAACGAGGACGCGAAGCAGCCGGATCTGAACCTGATCGATATGTTGTCCACGGACGGTTTCATAATTTAGCCGCTGGGCTGGAGGATCGATTCTCGTCGCGTTGTGTGTTGCATGTGATGTTCCCCCTACACACCTGTAGTCTATCCTCTTTCTCGTTCTGTTGTTTGGCGTTCGTGTAGGCTTTGCGTAGCATGCGATAGGGACATTGGTGCAATGGAAGAATACAAGTGTACAGTAATGGGCTCCCTTCGCCGAGGTTGTGCCTGAAATCCTCCCGCTTCTCTCAAGATGAAAGAACCCGCCTGAAAGGAGGCTCGATTTACTCATCGAGGTTGATCGCGCTGCCGAATTTGGCGTAGAGGGTCACTTTGAGCTCCTTCATCGTCTTCTCGCACTCTTCTGCATTGGACGTGTACTTCGTGAGCTCGTCGTTGACGCCGGATAAGTCTTTCTCCAGTCGTTTGACGGCTCGTGAATGGGGCATGTGGATGAAGGCTTCGCCAACTTTGTACCTGAGGAGTCGCGTTATGGGATGGCAAAGTGGGGATGTATGAAAAAAGACAGTGTAGACAGCGCAGACGTACAAAACTGGTTGGTCCTCGTCTGCGAGCTCAAGCTCCATCGAGATGTCGTCGAGAGCTTCCTTCTCCACCTATACAAAGCAAGCATAGTTCAGCAAGGTACCCTCGTATAGGCTCCGCGGAACGCACCTTCAGCGCCTCAATCCTCTCTTCAATTGCCCGCAGTCGTGTGTTGAGCTTCGAAAACGTATTGATCCTCTGCTGGTCCTCTAGCGGTAGCGCGACATGAACGGTTTTGCGTCCGGGTACAGGTCAGAGAGACAAAGCGTACCCCATGTCACCTCGGTGCTGTCGTCACGTTCCTCCTCTTGTGATAGCTGATGGTCGCGTTAGACTGCGACATAGACGGCGACTAGGAGAACATCGTACGTGCCATGCGCATCGTGGCGGTTGTCGTCGTCGATCGCCCTTGGCTCGACACTGGGCTCCCAAATGTGTCAATTACTTGATGCGATTCATCTGCGGCCTCAGCGGGCCGAATTTGATGACCGGAGGGCCGACTCGGAGGATCGGGCGATCGGTGTTGACGCAATGGCGCCGACGCGACCAAAGACGCACGGCTCGGACGCTGCACCAGGCCCTTGCTTGCCTTCCATCACTGCCTCAGACAGTCTCAGCCTGCTGCGCAGCTGCCCTACACGCGTCCCGGAAGCAATTGGTTTCTTGCCCGGGAGATCTACGTGCACCTTGGCCGAATCTTGGACGTATAACAACACCCGTGGCATATCGGGCGACTTGAAGCAACACTTACAAGATGAGCAACTCGAACGCTCTCAGTCTCGTGGCAGCCGCCAAATCGGCGGTCGCGGTTCTTTGGCCCGCAGGGCACACCCCATGGCAGAACCTGACGAACGCCATCGTCGTCTACTACGTCGTTTCGCGCACGCTCAAAGCCCATCGCCATCTACGCGCCAGGGGTATCGTGCAGACGGCACATGACTTCTACCAATGGGTTCTCCAGGTACGTATGCCAGACCATGCCTTATTAAAATCATGTACTAAGTCCAAGTTGTAGGAAACGATATTGCTCGCTCTCCGCCTGCCTTCGGCGCGCAAGAAGGTTGAGACAGAGCTCGGGAAGACGCGCTTGGACATTGAGAAGAGGATGGTTCCTCAAGGCCCCGGCGTGACGCGCCACCTGTCCCTTCCGGCACAAGGGCACGACCAAAATTGGATCCTAGAGGAGATGGCAAAGATGGACGAGGAGAGTGGCAACCATGTCAACTGGAGGGATGGCAAGGTTTCCGGAGCCATCTATCGTGAGCACCCATACAAGTCCGCCCGCTTTTGCTCCATGTTGAATGTCTGTCTATGTTACTTCAAGATGGTGGGGAGGATATGCAAAGAGTCATCGTCGCTGCTTTCGAGAGATATTGCGTATCAAACCCCTTGCATCCGGACGTCTTTCCGGCCGTCCGCAAGATGGAGGCGGAGATCGTCGCAATGTGTCTCAAGATGTACAACAATCCTACTGGCGCCGGCGTAACAACATCCGGCGGTACCGAGTCTATCATCATGGCTGTGAAGACATACCGCGATTGGGCCAGGGCGACGAAGGGCATCACGGATCCCGAGATGTTTGTCGTTCGACTGCCAGGCATCGTCCCGGAACACTGACTTTTGTACTGTATGCAGAGTCATTCCTATATCAGCGCACGCTGCATTCGACAAAGGGGCTGCCTACCTTGGCGTCAAGGTACACACTATTCCAGTCCACCCAGAGACTCGCCAGGTCGACATAAGGGGTGTCCGGCGGGCAATCAACCCGAATACTATCCTAGTCAGTGCAGTCACATCATGCGTCAGGAGAATATACAAGCTCACGCGGACTTCAGCTTGTCGGTTCCGCAATCAACTTCCCTGACGGTAACCAGGATGACATCGTTGCCTTGGGCAAGCTCGCATCCAAACACAAGATCGGCCTGCACGTTGATTGCTGTCTGGGTAGCTTTATCATGCCCTTCCTTGAAGAGGCCGGGTTCCCTGTCCAGCCCTTTGACTTTAGGGTTCAAGGAGTCACCAGCATAAGTTGCGACACTCACAAGGTTAGAATGCTCTCAGAATCACATGTCTTAGAGTCATGCTCTGACAGTGTCCTGGTCAGTACGGCTTCGCGCCCAAGGGCAACTCAGTTGTCATGTACAAGGACGCGCAACTGCGCCGCTTCCAGTACTACATCAATCCGCACTGGGTCGGCGGTGTCTACGCTAGCCCCAGCATTGCCGGTTCCCGGTGCGTCCCTTCCTAGATTGCCCCGTTAGCAAACCTCCTTACCTTGGAATACCCCCTCTTCTCGCTAGCCCGGGCGCTCTTATCGCGGGCACCTGGGCCGCGATGCAGTACATGGGCCACAACGGCTACCTCGAGTCCTGCAAGTCGATCGTGACCGCGGCGAAGACGATCGCGCACCGCATCCGCACCGAGATCCCGGAGCTGCGCGTGCTCGGCAACCCGCCCGCGTCCGTCGTCGCGTTCGCGGCCGCGCATAAAGAGCCGGGTCTGAACGTGCTCGAGGTCGGGGACAAGATGAGCAAGCGCGGCTGGCACCTTAACGGGATCTCGAACCCCGCCGCGGTGCATATTGCCGTTACGGTGCGTCTGCCTTCGCTCTTCACATTTTGCTTGGGATAGGCACAGATCGGACGAGGTGCTGACGAAGGGCATCGAATTACGTGTAGCGATTGACGGTGCCGGTGGTGGACCAGCTCATCGCCGACCTGAAGGACGCGGTGGGCGAGGCCAAGCTCTCGCCGTCTGGCCAGGGGACCATGGTCATGCTTTACGGTGCGTGTTGCCTTCTCTGCAACGCGTGCTGGTCTGGTTGAACTAATACGTCTATTGCCTCCGCGTCTGGTACAGGACTCGGCAAGTCGAGCCCCGTCGGGTCGGCGCTGGTCGGACGCGTTGCGGAGGCCTTCTTGGATACGCTGTACAAGGCGTAGGGCCTTCCTGCCTGGTACGCTCTGATATGCTAGACGTCCGCTGTGTATGTATCATAGTGTCGTTATCTTGCTATGCGATATAACCCAGCCTGCCTCACTCCTCTCACTCTCAGGCCTGCGTTGGGGGATGCCTTTACCTCCATCTGCGTGACGCCTGCATGGAAGCCTTCATGGTGCAGCTTCGTGCCTAGAAGTTGTCATCTGCTAATTGTACTTGGGACAATCCATATACCCATACCCGAGTCTGTACAATTGCGCTAATCAAGTTCATGCTAATAGCGTGATCAAAATGCTATAGTAAGTTGTCCCATTGGTCTCACACCAAAACCGTTCGTATGACAGTGCCGAACCTACGTATGCTCAGTTCCCGTCTTGTCGAAGCAACCCTCGTTCGAGCAGATCCGACTGAGCGCGTCCTAGATCGTTGACCCAGGGTCTAGACTCTGTCGCGCCACAGTCTTTTGTCGACGCTCCATGCTTTCCATCGGTCTAGTCGCGAACTGCCCTGCTATTTATTTTGGACCCACCCTTCTACAGGTGCATGCATAGCTTGCCGTCACTTGTGTTCTCGTCCTTCAATTATGCGCAGCGGTCTTGAGAAGCCGCAGCTCCGACTACGTAGCTTCCATTCCCTCAGAATCCACCTGCCATGTAGGGTAGTCCTGGTCTGCACTGAGATATAAGCCTATTGGTTTTGGCTGCCTGAAGGATCGTCTCGACCGTATGTAACTTTACGTACGTACATGCATGTGTCCATCTGTATCCACGATCGCCGCTTCCGCGGCTAGCACTCCAGAAGCCCTAAAGCGATGCCTTCGAAAAGGCCTGGTGTCTAGGCCTTGCGCCGCGCAAGGACGGGGATTCTGTTGATACGAGGTGGGACGAAGCGAGCACCCTCAGATCGGACGCTGTTGGATAGGAACTACTGCAGCCTCACTCGGCTCGTATAGTGTGACAGCGCTTCCTTATCGTGGGCAACTGACTCCAGCGGACGCCCAACGACCAGAACGCAAATGATACAGATACAGGGCGGTCGGCTAGCTCTCTTTCTGTGAGAAACCGATACAGCCGGGGAGAAGCTGAAAGTGCGTACAGAGACGATCCAGGAAGTCCCGAGAACGGAAACTCCGTGCTAGATAGGGTGTTTGTGCAGCTTCCATAGACTGTACAGGTTCCAGCTCTCGTCGGCCGCTGGTCATGTCAGCGTCCACCATCCATGGCTCCGACATGCTCTGTGACAGTCGAACAGTTCAGTAAGTAGTATCTTCGGGGGCGGAACGACGGCCCGCTTGTTGCGGCACAAATCAACAATCAATCCAACTGCCACCACCTTCCAACTTCCATGCAGCGTCCACACACGGCCACATCGCGACATGAGAAACCGCCCACGCTCTTCACGCGAACGTGCGCGATGGGCGTATCCGATACGCGCTAAGTACCTCGCGGCGTCCTCGCCTCGTCGGCAGGCGTACTGTGTTCATCGCCCCTGGGAACAGACCAAGCCTCGGAACTGTCAAGAACAACAAGCGCGGCTGTGGCCCAGATAGGCATCCGACGAGGAAACTCACAAGCATTCCGACAAAACGAGGCTGGCCGCGCGTCAGGGGCGCGAGGTCCTATCGCTCAGGAAGATGGATGTCGCTGCCGTACGATTTTCCCTGGCCACGTCCACCGAGTCGTCCTGCAGGTTTCCAAGATGCGGAAATGAGGCAATTGCATCTTTGCCGAGCCTGCGTGCGGTCGCCGGCGTGAGAAGATTGCAGGCACGCCGCACGCGTGCGGTTTGCTCGGGGTGTCAACAATGGCGCGATGCTCGGGGGGCGAAGGGATAATCGTTCAGACGGCCGTTGTCTGGACTCGCCAAACGATGCAGTGCAGATCGCGCATCGCGGTACGACACGACATGCTCGAAATAAAACTCCGGTAACGGTGAGCGGCCGAAGTGCAATCTGGAGCAATTGTGTTCAGGTGGTCCGTGCGGCCAGAATGGAAGCTCGACTGGCTTTCACGACGATTTGGTCGACTGGTCGTAACGTTCTGTCGCGTACGTGCCGCCACGCGTCCGAAGGACTTCAAAACATACCTGAGTATTCTCACAATGTCTTTTTGACATATCGATCGGCAACACAGAAAAAGCTCAGTGAGCATCGGAATTACAGTACACACGGCCACGCGCGGTTCAACGGACCCAAATAGAGTCCTTTCGCAGGCAATTTGAAACCGGTGGGGTAGTTCAATTTGTCAGCGCTCCCAGTTTATATCCAGCTTGAGATGGGTCCCTCGCACATCGCCTCGACCGCCAATAATCATCGTGCAATAGCGCGCTTGACAGTGTGTCCACTGCGCCGACAGTTCAGAGAACTGGCTGCGAAAGGGTTCTACATAATGAACTTCTCATCGCGACCCTAGCACATATCTCGTATCTGTGCATCTGGACGAACAGATTGCGGAAGATCACAGTCACAGATAGCGCCATCGAGATGGGGAACCCGTCCGAGTCTTTACACACGTACCGCGAAGAGACAGTAGCCTCTCGGCTCCGGTCTACGGCCGCGGTGCACGTACTACAGGAAATTATTCGGCCCTTCCAAGTCGGACGTCCGCGGCAGGTCCTACCGGTGACAAAAATACCACAGTATCACAGACCAACCAACAACGAACGTGCCTCCGCCGCAACCTCCGCTCCGACGTGGAGGGACCTCGGTAAAACTCGAAGTCTGCGTTCAGAACAGAACAAAGAAACATACGGCACATCGTGACGAGCGCTTGCTTACCAAGACACAGTTCACGGTCGTACCTGTCCATTCTAGATAGAAGTGGTGTGCTGGGCTGCGGCGCGGTGCGATCAAGATCGACGCTGTCATGGTAAGCGTCACCGGCGGAGGGCGCGCGGAGCAAACGTTCCACTGTGCAGTCATTTGTTGTGCAGGCACTAGCAGACTGCTCGCGCCTCGAGAATTCGCCTTGACCGACGAGTTAGATAGTGCGGGCGGAAGGGGGGAAATGGAAGCTGTTATGCGCCTGGGAACGTACCTGCAGATCCTTTCGGGGGCCAAAGGAGGCCCGTGGAACCCAATAAACTTAATGGTGTTCTGGGAATTGGCCGGAGGGTGCAGAGGGTGCGAAACCTGGAAAATCTGAGGCTCATGATGCTCAAGTAGTACTCGGCAACTTCCTGAAACGAAGCGTCCAATGCCGTTGCTGTTGCCAAGTTCAGCTTGGTCTGAGAATTCAGTCGGGACATGAGGTAGTTCTCTGGCATAACCTAGCCCACAGAGCATAGACTATGCATCTCCCCCGAGCGAGGCTAGAGTAAACATGCTCTCCCAGGCGTATACGGCAGTCGAAGACATCTCCGCGGGGCTGCCAGGACAACCCGCAAGCTCACGCGACAAAACAATCTTCTCCGCCATGCGAAGTGTCGCATGATATTTCAATGTGTTGGAGCAGGATGGGAATGTGCGCGGAGGTCGCGTGAAGGACGGTCGGAGGACGACGTCGCTTCCGCGGGAGACCGCGTTCCGAAGCCGCAGCATGGGAGGTTCATGATGGTCCTAGAAGTTGCAGGAAACATCAGTCGAGAGACATCGCATCGAGCCGACAGACTCAAGGTTGGATGTGCCGCGGGTACCGGGGGTACACAACAGGCAGATCGCTGGTGCGAGCATCACTCCGAAGCACAGGCGTGAAGGAGAAAGCACAGACTGGCACAGGCGTAGGGCACAGGAACGCCAACGGAGTAGGGCAATTGCAAGCTGGCGGAGGCTGAGCTGAGTTTGATACAGTAAGCTTGATTGTGGATGGGCCGCAGATGGGCCGAGATACGCCCGGGTTGGGAAGAAGGGAACCGTGCAGAGGGCGGGCAGCAGAAAGGCAGACGGGAGTAGTAGTGGGAGCCGAGCGTATGCAGGATGTGCAGACGACTGAAAGGAGAATAATCGGGGTTCGCAGAGGCCTTGTGGCGCGATGGGTTCAAACACCGGTTCGAAATTCGCGTGGATACGGGGCAGGTATGCGACCGTACCAATCGGTCGTTGTCGAAGACGAGAAGGGCGACATGAATCAGTATATATGGATGCATAGGCGTACGCAGCAGAGTGAATGGAAAACGACTATCGATGGTAGCTGCGAATGCTGAGACGTGTCAGAAAAAGCAGGGAAACGATAGGGCGGTGTGAGAGACGGATCGAATCGCCATCATGAAGCAGGAGGCGAGGCTGGGACGAATCCAGTTGCAGCAGGACTGATCCTGCGTGATTCCGACGGCGACGGCGAGCGCCGGGACTGAGCGGGGGCGGCCGGACCGGGGCGGTTTCATGACGTCGGATTAATACGGTTATCAACGAGGAATTTATGTGGGATCGGAGATCTGGGACGGGGGCTCTGGGCTCGTGCCGGGTTCCCCGAGTACCTGCGAGAGGCGACCGCCGCGAGCTAAGTACTTTTCCCGGAAAACACAAACGGATCTGGATCGCGTATTCTCAGTGCTCCTGGTTGTTGTTGTTGTATCGTTACCCGCTCCGCTGCACCCCTCGAGGCGTCCTCCCCCTCCCAGGCCGAGCCTTGGCCCCTCTGCTTCCATCTCTTCCGTCTTCTGCCAACTGCTATTCATCACCTGTCGCCTCTGTCCTCACCCTCTTCCTTTCTTCGGCCCTTCTTCTGCTTCTTGTTTGTTCGGTTCCTTTCGCGCCATGTCTTATGTACTGCACCGTCCTCCGTCTCCTCCTCCGCCCCAGGAGGAAGACGCTCTCCACGCCGCCCTTCATGCTGCTTTGCGGCCCTTCGATCCAAACCAACAAGTCTTGCCCCCTCCCCCAGAGCTCGCTCCTCCAACACAACAAACACGCGACCGCCACGACATGCCACACAAGGAGAAGTCGGACAGGCACCCCCACCTCGAGATCCATGTCAACTCCGATGTCTTGTGCCTCCGAGGCACCGGCGTCGACGTCCACCCCGCTCTACTCAGCGGTAACGTAGTCCTGCACCTCACAGAGCCCACCTCCATCAAGGAAATCACCCTCCAGTTCAGAGGCAAGGCCCGCCTGCCCATGGCTGCCACAGAATCGTGAGTATCCGCCATTACGTCTAGTCTTTCCTCAGATGAGGTCCAATGACCCCGCCCCGCTTCTTCCCCGCACACCTGTGGAGCGTTGTTCGCACAAACGGCGTCAACCCATTCACTTGGCCCTGCGCTCTTTCTCGTGAACTCGATGTCGTGGACGCGCCGAGTTAATTCTACTCGGGCGCCGCAGCCTTCGTGGCTGCGTGCTTGCAGCGAACCGCAATATGCGCTCGCCATCTCTGCTTCCTGGATGGCGATCCACGGCTTCTGTTCACTTATTGACCTTTAAGCGCTCTCGGACACCATACTAACCGAGTTGTTCCTACAGCCTCTCTCTCAGCTCTTCTCAGCTGACCTACGTCGTTTGCAATCACGAGTGGTCCTTCCTCGAAGGCGACCGACATCACGCGCACACCCTCAAGGCCGGCCGCCACCTGTTTCCCTTCCAGCTCCAAATCGGCGGCTCCCTCCCGTCGTCCATCTACACCTCTGCGCTCGGCGGTGCGTCCGTGCAGTACAAGCTCCGCGCCCAGGCCGTGCGCGGCGGCTTCGGCTTCGCGCACCGCGACCTGACCGTCGTGCACCCCATCGTGATCATGCGCGGGTTCGGGTCCGAGGCGCTCGAGTACCAGCAAACGCTCGAGATCGAGAACACCTGGCCGGAGAAGCTCATGTACTCGATCATGATCCCGCACAAGGCGTGGGCGGCGGGCGAGCGGCTGTCCGCGGTCGTGAAGTTCCAGCCGCTCGTCAAGGGCGCGCGCGTGCTGCACGTCACGACGACCGTGAACGAGACCGTCAAGCTCTGGGCGCGCACGGGCTGCCAGGAGAACACGCGCGTGATCGCGACGACGAAGCACGACATCGTCGACGGCAAGGCGGTTTGCGTCGACGAGCAGGTGCACCGCTTCCGCGTCCCCCTCCTCACAGGGCACGGGCACGGGCACAGCGGCCAGCACAGCGGCCGCCACTCGACGCCGAACACGCCCGGGCACGCGCAGCAGCCGCTCTCGCACCATTCCAACAGCGGCAACGGCTACTTCCCGCCCGTGCCGTCGACCAGCTCGAGACCGCAGTCGCCCTCGCACACCCCCGCGGAGCTCGCGCCGCTCACGACGACCACGACGCGCTCATCGGCGTCGAGCGGTGGCCCCGCGCCGTTCTCGGTCCAGATCAGTCCTGAACAGTCGGCCCACCCCTTTGCCAACGCGAGCTCGGTCGAACTTCCGCCGCAAGCTGGGCCGTCGTCCGAGCCTGCCGACGATGATACAGAAATATCCACGGACGTGGTCACGACGCTGAACGTCACGGTCCCGATCCACGCGACGCCGAGCCACTCGCTTGAGGTGAGTTCTTCCGAGGCTGAGCTTATTTCTTTCCAGCAAAGGCTCACTTCGACGCATACAGCCCATCCAGGTATCGCATCGCGTACGGTGGTCGATCCTGATCGCCAATCTCGACGGCCACACTTCGGAGCTGCGCTGTTCGCTGCCGATACACGTCCTCGACAGCCGCCTCGCGGAGGAAGCGCGCGCCGCAACGCTCGCGACGCGCAGACTGCTGCTCGGCTCCTCCGAGGTCGAGGGCGGCGAGGCGGTGATCGGGGACGAGGAGCCGGAGGCCGACGTCCTCCCGTCGTACAGCTCGCACGTCCGGGACCGCGTCGCGAACGCGTACCTCCCCGACGCCGCCACGATGCGCGTCGCGAACGCGTGGGTCGTGAATGGCATCAGCCCGACCATGCCGCACGTGCACTCCAGCGGGCTCGCCTCGGAAGCGTCGAGCGGCCTCGCGAGCCCCGCGGCGTACGAGACGTGGCAGGTCGGCCCTGGACAGGCCAGGCCGCCGCGGAGCGAGCACCTGCCGCACGAGCCGTCCGAAGGCGCCACGCCGCTCGAGTGGGTCAACACGGAGCTCCTGCTCAGCCTCGGCCGCGAGGCCCCCGAGGCGCCCCCGTCGATCCTGCAGCGGACGACGCCCCCGAGCAGGACGCCGCCCGAGCACAGCGCGCGCACGAGCAGGCACGGGAGCCGCTTCCCGAGCCGACACGGGAGCCGCGCGAACTCTCGCGCGAACAGCCGCGCGGCGTCCCCAGAACGCTCGTCGACCGACCTCGCGTCGCTTTCCTCGGGCACGGACGGCAGCAGCACGGGCGCGAGCGCGCGCAGCAGCAGCAACAACAACAACAGCATCAGCAGCAGCAACGAGACGTTCGTCCACAGCCACAGCACGGCGAGCCGGAACACGCACGGGCTGTTCAACATCGCGATGAAGCCGTTCACGTCGCTCACGTCGACGTTCTCGCTAGGCGCGCGCTCAGCGTCGCACGCGAACCTCGCCGCGCTGAGCGCGTCCGCGAGCCCCGCGGGCGGGTCGGGCGCGCAGACGCCCGCGCCCGCGCCGGAGCAGATGACGACGCGCGAGATGCTGCACCACGCGTTCACGCAGGTGCCCGACTACGATATGGCGAGCCGCGGCTTTCTGGGCGGGGGCATCATCCCGCTGTCGAGCCTGCGGGATCTGCCGACGTACGAGAGCGTCGCGGGGGAGGCGGAGGAGGGACCGAGGGCGGGCAGCGGTGGGGCGAGGGCGGGCGGCGGGGCGATCGCGAGCGGGGAGAGGAGCTTCAGCGAGGGAGACCTGGCGAGCATGTTCGCGGCGCATGGGATCGGGACGGCGGCTTCGCGGGGGCAGAGGGCGCATCGCCATGGCCATGGGGCGCACGCGCACGCGCACGGCCGGTCGGGGTTGGGCAGGTCTGCGACGGCGGTCGCTACGCCTTGATGCCGTGTGCCCTCTCCGTCAAAGGTTCCTCGTGCCGTGTCTATCATTATTAGGTCCCGTCGTCTGGCCCTCGCTTCGCGCTCCTCGTATGGTCTCTCATCGCCGCTCCATATTGCATCGCCGATCGTTGTCTCTCCCGCCTCCCCGTACATAATGCCACCCACACACAGAATATTCACGCAAACAAAAGCAACATAGACCGCCCCACTCACGTACTTGAACGCCTCCCAAAAATTACGAAGACTCACGACCTATAGACTCCATCTCCATAGACTTTCATACTCCCTCGGTCCCTATTACTTGTTGTCTCCCGCACATGTATTCACACCGCATTTACAGCTACAGTCCCATAGGAAGTCTTCTTCCTAGTGTCCCGTTCAGCATCGGACTCCTACTACTACTCGTACAGATACGTACGCATTTGTTGTTTTCCTGAGATCTGGGTTGTCATCAAGTCGTTCGCCGTTTTCTATGATCACTGGCATTGACACATTGGCATATAGTATAGTGTTCGCGAAGGGTGGTATGTATGTACTCAGGGCTTGTGAGTTCTCATCCATCGGTGACATAGAGTGACATACGTTGTTATAGGGTACCAGGAATTTTTTCTGCACTCCTCATGACATACTGCCTTTCCGCATCGTCTTCAACTCGAACCTCCACGAGTTCGAGCTCAAGTGACAACGTGCGCACAAGGCGCTTATCGTAGCGTCTCCATTTACTCGGGTGCACACGCGTAGGGATCAACACGTGATTGCGGTATCGGGAAATATCGGATGAATAACTGCTCGTGTTCCTCCTGATCAAGTCGTATTCTCGGACAGTCTCTACATCCATTATGCAATTCCGTCGCCGCAATACTCCATGATCGGACTGCGTATGGAGCCCGAGTTTGGGGGCTCGCTTGAAGGCTTGACCTTGCTCCGACGGCTCACCGGCGCAGTACTGCAGTCCCGCTGAAAATTTGATATGATCCGTTTTGCTAACCAAGTTTCATGACAGAGCAAAAGCCGAGGAGCAATCACGGGGATCTGTCGTTGCAAGGATACGCCGTCGAGGAGATGCCAAAGCGTCCGACGGAACAACATGTCGGAGGCTGCAGAGGCTTGACCTGGGCAGGACGCGTACATCTGGTATTGGTTGTGCTCAGTCGGTCCACGGGCCGCGAGAGAAGTGAGGTTATAACTGTCATTTACTGTTTGAGGTGAGCCGACTTCCGCGCAGGCGAGGGTAACTGTTGCCGTAAGTGCAATAGAGTTATGTAACCGGCGCGGGAGTTGCCCTGAGGTTTGATCACCTGTGCAGTCTTTGCACCTTTCGTCGTGCAAACGGCAGGAAAGGGCGCAGAATGGTCCTGGTGTACATACGCATGGCGGCAACCTCGCGTCCACATGCCAACCTGTGTCTCCTACATCATGGATCCCTTCTGTGTCCAGGGACCCCTTGCGCAGTGTTAGTCCCAGAATAACCCTCCTCTGCGGACCGGTCTCGAGGACGCACCTTGTATTCCACCGCTACACCAAGCAGCAGAGTCTGACGGAGGCCGCCTTCGAGCACACGGCCACATTTCCGCCTGCTTCGAATTCTCCCGTCAGCACTTCCCTTCCGCACAAGCATGTAGTGCGGGGAAACTGACTACTACCGTGCCTAGCTCTGCGTGTGGCTATGAACTCTTACGGTCCGCAGGTCCTATATCGGTGTTTTCACGTCTCCTGAGGTACGCCGATACCAAGTGCTTCGCTTGCTACACGTCTTGGTACCCGATCACCATCCTTCTGTCAGCCAGGTCCGTTACCGCCGTATAGTGGGGGTCAGTGGTGCTTCCACCCCGCAGATCGACTGCAGTCGGCAGCTGGTTTCGATGTCGCCGCGATCTCCTCGACGATGGACCCGGCAGCGATGAACCCTCGGCTTTCCGGTCCTGCGTCTGAGGGTATATGCGCATATATAACTCGTCACCTCCGTACCGGCGCTGATCCCTTCACTTTGCCCTCCATAGTTGGATCGGATGCGGTTGTGTATCACTCGCGTGGATCGTACTGAACGTATAATCGGTTCCGAGCATTCAGGAATATCAACGTGAGCCTTACTGGTACTCGATATCGTGGTACGCACGAGAGCCTGGCCAATGTATAAGCGGAGTCAAGACGACTCAACAGCTGATCCTTCAGGACTCGTAGCCCTCTCTAGTCTAGACTTGCCCAGCGCCACTAACAAAGTCTCCTCGGTGTGTTCCCAGAGTCCTCTCCGCACGTCTGTAGATCCGACGTTGAGGCCTTTGTCGCATATGTCGTCTCCTCCCCCATTGAGCCGCGAGTAGCCTTTTCCGGTCTTTAGTAGGGCGTTCAGGAGAAGTTCGCCGGACTCTTCCTCAGAGACAGAAAATGGATAAAGGGCTACTGTGACGAGAGGGTTCAGAGCGCGCCAGATCCAATGGGTCCTCGCCAGAACTGGCGTCCGAACGAGACCTGGATGGACGTGCACGAACGAGATGTCTGGGTGTCGTTCCGCGAACGACTGGTCGTGCACATCAGCATATACCGTATCTACCATGGCAGAAGCGACGCACTATGATCATCGCATCATTATATGTGGGCAGCTGTGCGAACGCCTTCATCGCGCTGTAGCTCTTCTTCAGCCCGAAGTCTGTCTCGTCCAAGGGCTGGCCACTGCCCGCCGCATTCACCGTCACCACTTTCCCGTCCTCTCCCGCGTCGCGCGCCCTCTGCAGCAGCGGCGCGAGGTCGCGCGTGAACTTCCACCGCGCATAGTACTCGAGAGACAGGCGCCTGTCGATCCCCTCTTCCGTCTCATCCCGTCCTTTCAGGTTAAAGATCCCGGGCGACATGACGAGATAGTTGACCTTGGGCAGGCGCGTGCGGAGCAGCGAAGTCGCCGCGTCGACATTCTTCATCAGCGTCACGTCGCATGCGACGAACTCGTGGTTCGCAGATGGCTCTGCTGTCGAGGAACTCGCGGGGCTGCATGCAGGTTTCGGGAAGGACGCGATGATCGCGTCCGCCGCCGCCTTGCTGCGCCCGACGAGGACGATGCGCGCGTTTCCGCGTGTGTGGCGCGCGAACGCCTGCGCGATGGCCTTTCCGATGCCAGACGTACCGCCGACGAAGACTGCGACGGGGAGGTATGAAGGCGAGAACCTCGCATTGGCCGCGCGGGCTGCTGAGAGGGATGGCATGGAGTCGGGCTGTGGCTGATCGGGCGCTCGGGAGCCAGGTACTTGTAGTCAACGCGGGACGCGTGTACGCGTGTCGATGCGGCAGTCTGCGCAAGTCTTGCCGAGCAGGGGTCATTTCGACGTACATCCTCCGCTCTGATACCTTGGAGCTCACGACATCGTCCGGGATATTGCTCAGAGCTACTTCAAGAGCTGCGTGGTGATCAAGTCCATTGCTCTCGACCTTGAGTCGGAGGACTAAAGAACTTGAAGACTAAATGCAGTCCACAAGTACATCACGACCGTCTTCGCTTCAATGATTGACATACCTTTCAAGACGACCTGACGTGGCCTTCAGAGTGCGTTTGTTGGATGTTCAGCGTCAAGCGAGCGAGCGGGACCAGCGCCACACGTCCCGCGCCCCGGTTCGATGCTATTGCCGCCCCGCCTCCCGACGGATACCTGCGCCTTCATCTAGCCACATCTTGACCCTTTGACTTCGAGTTTAAAGCTCGCTATAGCGACCTATGTATGGCATGCGTTTGCACTCGGACCAAACGCCGTTCCATCCGTTCTCCTTCACCCTAGTTCTTTATTGGTGAGTTGCGAATGAATGGATGATTGAGTGCCTTGTGGTGGGTCACGAACAAATGGCTTGTCATAGCTCTCAACTCATTGAACTTCCATATATTCAGTCATTGGCATTCTGTTCCTTTCGTCGACCCCCTGAACAAAGCCCTTCCGTCCGAGTCTGCCTGGTCGCTATATAGAATCGATGGCTTATTACCTGCCCCAAGACTTACCCCGCTCTCAATTTCCCCCTATACTGCTACTGCCAGTGGTGTCCAGCACCCTACTGAGTACCTTTTTGACCCCCTTCGTCCGAGATGATGTGCCTCACTTTTGTTGGTGGTCTCAAGCGCCCTCGAATTCAAAGCTCAAAGCATCATGGACTCTAAGATTAAGTATTATGGCCCTGTGACACTCAGCACCAAAGATCACTATAAAAGAGCTAAGCTCATGTCTCGTCCTCTTGTGAACATTGAGAATACCTCTGACGAGATGCGCGTTCCTGCAGGTTCTCCACCCGGCCCAATCGAAAACTTTTCTCGAACAATTTCGCAAACCGCCGATCTTGGTGACCCTCCGGGGAGTCCTCTTCCTGCGCATGACGCGTCTCCATCCGCTTCCGGCGATGCTCGTGAGGTCGAACCCCTTGCTCAAACTGCGTCGCCGGAAGGCTCGGTGGACGTTGTCACTGGCAAAAACCGACATGTGTGCAAGAGATGCACGCGAATTATGTATGATCGATCCCACCTGGAGAGACACGAAAAACTCCATATCAAGGACGAGAAGGCCAAAGTTTGCGGCTCGGGCGCTCCCACCAAAGTAGCGCTGAAGTACAAGTGCAAATTTTGCCCAATGCGCTGGACAGTACAGAACCCGCGAAACAGACACCAGGCATTCTCAAGTCTCTCATTTCTCACAAGCTGTTAGCTGAAGCTCTATTCAGGCAACCCATGGCATCGATTGAAATCCCACTAGTCAGCGGTATGTGGGCATGAATAGGTGAGTTGAGCACATCATGACGAGTCGGACGCCATGGTAGCGAGACTAATGTCCGATGTCCTCAATCGTCCGCAAATAGGGGAACATCATGCAAGCAAAGATGTAAGAGTCACCAATGGACAGAAGATCTCGATACACCATGTAGTACGATATGATTGAAAGTAAATGTAACGCTCATCCTCGAGTCGTCAGAGCTGGTCTGTGCGTCTTCCCAGCTTAGTACTGAAGAAGTGTCACAAAGCGGTAGTGGCACTGCTCACACTTCCCGCTCGTCTCGGCTACGTTATTCATCGCCAAAAAGCGTATGTTTTTCTTCCGTAATACATCTTCGCTTATTCCCCAATATAAAGCAGGTTGAAGCACTCTGTGATATTCTGTTCTCTTCCACCTCCGTCTTCCCCGTTGTTGCTAATGTATACATGGCTTCAGATCTAGAGCAAGACGCCAATCCCTATCTTTGCCCAGAAGGTGGTCCTATCCTGATAGGTACAGTCCATCTTCCACGCCAACAGTCTCCCGCCGGGGTCCCAACCCCCCTGAGCACCGACGTCGTCCAACCCCATACCATCGTATCCCGCACCAATCATTCACTGCTGGTCTGCGAACAATGTTCCCGGAAATTTGATCTTCGAGGAGACCTGGAGAGGCATGTGCAGGCCCACATGAAGGGTCAAGTACAGTATTGGTGTGCCCCGCCGTGCAGGAAAGGGTACACGACCACCGCGGGACTACAGAAGCACCAGGTTCGCTCGTAACCCAATTCACAATGTCTCTCTACAATCCTCGATACTGAAGTGGATCGCAGGTCTCGTGCAAGTTTCTCGCTGCCCAGCCGACCGCGATCAACGCGGACAACCACACCAGCGTAACCACCGACACTGTTTCGACAGAGGAATTCGACATGTTGTCTTTCATGCAGCAATTCTTCGAATTACAGGCAACCGACGGTCCATCATGTGGAGATGAAACTGTGAAGCGATATCATCCCAAATGCGAATTCTGCCCGCGCGAGTTCAAGACCCGGCCTAAGCTCCAGGAACACCTAGCTGAGCATGAGCGTGGGACGCTAGTGTTCTGCACTCCAGGGTGCGGTAGGGGCTATGGATCAACTCGTGAACTGAGAACGCACCAGGTGCGGACATCTTCAACCTATCAACGTTTGGCATACTTGCTAACCACCAACGTAGACCGTCACCGGCTGTTGGCTCGAGGCAATCAGTGCAAGCACCATGCCTGGCCTTGTCACTGGTATGGTCAGCCCCGACTGCGACCAGATTCCTCACCACGACACGCAGCAGCTCTTTGACGTTGACAGAATCGAGGACCCTGGAGCAAGTCTATTCGTGATACCGGCGGTCTATAAGACTGAAAGCACTGTGCGACTGACCGACATTGATGTGAGGTATCTGGAGAGTTCTTATCAACATGATCCCTATCCAAGTGAAGGTGAAGTCAGACGGCTCAGGAAGGAGCTTGCTTTGAGCGTTGACCAGCTTCGCCGATGGTTTGTTGTCTATTCGACGAAACGCTCCAGTCTTACTTCTGACCTAACCACCGATTGTAGGTTCTCTATACGAAGGATGCAAGACCGGTGAAGGGAGCGACTATGTCATACCTGTTCAAGCACTTACGCCGTCATTGTGTGATTATTTCTATGTACAACTATCAGTATCAATGCTGTCCCATTAGCTGTTAGTCTCACTCAGCTTGATCTCGAGACTCCCACAATCCCACGGAGGAGGCGCTCCATGGTTCTTCACTTGCAGAGACCCTCATCGGGGTTCAGAAGTGCGTTCACGCTGTTGTCCCGTGACAACAGCTAAGCCCGAAGGGCCCGAGCGCGCGGAAACTTGGTACCGAAGTAAGCTGGGCAGTCTCCTCAGATACCGCATACTGACGTCGCTTATTGCCGTTCTTGCATACAGGCTGACGTCTAGCCGAAAACTTCCTGTACGAGATCATAACGGATATCATGCCAATCAGAATGGGGAAGACCGGAAGGGAGCGCAAACGATGGGGCTCACCTCATCTTCCCCCGGACATGTAGGATCCAATGTTGGGGAATCTCACGAGATCCATCTCATAGCATATAGGTACTACTTTTTGCTTCGAGGTTGCAGCGCAAGCTCGATCGATACTGTACAGGGAGATATACGAGACGAACAACACATGAACCCCATTCGAAGGGTCAAGGGGTCCATGGTGTCGATACATCAGTCTGTGTCTCCTAGCACGACGGCCGCGTGGACAAATCCAATCCCGTCCAAACCGAAGGCGCGCCACAAGGCATCGAGTCCTCATGCAGGTACATCTCCCCAAACTCACTGGCAGGAATCAATATTCTATGCCTGTATACCGCGCCACGCCACCAGCATAGTGCAAACAGTCAGCATGCGGGTATGCAATGCACGGGGACAACGCGGGGGGGGAACTCACACAGATAACAGATGAATATCGAGGTCGGCGATAGAACCATGCCAGCGGCACCACTCGCACCCAAACACGTTCGACGGGCTTTGAAAAAGCGTGGTGATGGCGCTGTTGTGCTGTGTCAGTGCGGATTCAAGTGCCTTCGCTTCGATCGCGTTGTCAGGCGAGAGACGCTCCCAGTAGGAAGGGATGTCCAAGACCTCTGTTGGGTGGTCGATGATGGTATGTAGAATCTAACAAGTAAAGGTCGGCGATGAACATTTGAACACTTGCGGCTGGTAGCGCGAAAATTAATGTACAGAATCTCACGTACCGCATTCTACCAGTCGAAAAATTGGTGCTTTCCAATGCTTTGCGTCGTGCAAAGCCAGCAGACAAACCTAATGCCCGCTTCTTCTACGTCCTTGTGTGTCGCAGTGTCCGGCGTTAATCCGCCAAGGGAGATGATTGCATGTGTAACGGCGACATGGTCGTCGAACATCCCAAGTTCCTCTCCCCGATAAGGTGCGTCTAGAACAGATTGAATTTGGCGCGAGGCTAAAAGCTCATAGATGGATTTCGCGCGTTCTCTTGACTTGTCACAGAAGCATCGATGGGCAAGGAGATTTGGCCAGCGTAGTTGCCGTCGATGACAGCGCTTGCAGGCAAAGGAGACGAGTGCGAGATCGAGGAGAGCGTTCAGCTCTAGGGAAGCAGAGGATTCATCTAGACCCAGAAGTGCGAGCTCAGTGAAGACGTTCGTGTGGTGATCCGTCCATGAGATTATGAGACTGGAGAGATCGACAGGCGAGGTTTGAAACTCTTGTACGACGTCGCTCGACGTGTCCTGAAGGAGGGCTGCCTGCATCACTGGTAGTGTCGCCAGTTCGAAGAACCCTGGCTGGCAGTCCGATGAAGAAGTACGTGGAGAGTTCGCGCGATGATAGACATCTAAAGAGCTCTCGAGGTGTTCTAGTCGTGTCTTGGGCATGATCTCAAAAGGATCTACAACAGGGGTTGCTTCCCTCGTTGGGGTCTCTATTATCTCAGCTTGCTCTCTGAGATATTTGTTGCGAAATGGCGTCATGTACTGGACGATAGACGTGCGGATGAGGTTCCATCCTGACTCACTGAGTCAGTTCATATGTTCATACGCGTTGATCGTGCATACATGCCTTTCTCAGTAAGTTTGGACGGTCTGTTCACGGAGCTCATCCTCTTGAGGCCCGCGAGATTCGAGTATTGCATATCATTCAACACCTCGCCAAAGCCTTCCTGGCGCAGTCTGACTTCGATACTAGTGATGACCGTCAGAACGTCGTATGTCGCAGAGGTCGCACCGAATCACGCTTCCAAACGCTCCTTCTTCAGCTTATATACCTCCTCAGACCTCTTAACCTTGCAAGACACCTGCCACGCTGAGAGGAGCTCACAGTACTGGGACGCGTTCTATCAACATTAGGCGTGCAAGACAGCAGATGGGTGTAACGCACTTTCCGACTCTCCGTGACGAACGCTGCCTTATCGTCCTTGAACCTGGCTCTCTTCTCGTCATCCCGGAGGTTTGCCCAATTCTGTTTCAAAGCATCGATCTCGGGCTTGTGATACCTCCGCCCGGAGAAGCGGCCAGGGCTGTATAAAGTTATGTCAAGGTTCCATCGAGACGTAGATGCAAAAGGAAACGGCGTTCTCGTATCTGGAATTCACAAAAAGCTCGGACGCGCTTTGGAAAGCTTCCATCAGCAATGCCCCCACCTCGTTTCCGCCAATGAACCTAAGAGCATAGCATGCGGATTAGCGCCCAACGGATGAGCCACCGCGTATCAGACTCGCATAGCTTTCTGGCATGGATCGCAATATCGAACGGAGAATAGCCAATATACGGCCTGGGTTTTGGACTTGCCACAGTTCTGCAACGTAGGCGATGGGTGAGACGGCTGCGGAATCACAATCATATGATGCTTACGTGGCAGTGTGCGGAAAAGAGAAGGTTTGCATACGCAGGCTCGCTGAGATACGAAGGAGGGTCCGGGAGGTCCTCGAATTGCTTCCTTGCCTCTCTCCAGAAGGGTGCTGACTGCCGGCTCATGAGGAGTGCCCTGAACGCCCTTGTCGCCCGGGAGAGGTTCAACAGATCTCCGGGACGGAGCGATACGAATATCTAACAGGCAAAGAGCGGGGTACAACCGATTCATGATTGCGATGTAACCAATCGACTCCAGAGCTCACCTCGAAGAGAATATTATCGAGTGGCATTTCGGGCATGTCCTTCAGGCCCCCTCTCCGACCACGGAGATGGCGACGAGGGCCGGATAACACCACCGCGCCCGTTTCATGGATAGACTTGGTTATAACACATGCCGCCTGGCCTGTGTAAGGAACCGGTCGGGCAATGGAATGCTTGTGTGCCTGCATAAAGGTCAGAACGAAGGGGTTTCGGGGGCTCTGAGATCAGAGGAAGAAGGAAGGCGCACCCAACTATTACAGGTATCTGCATTACTTATAGAGGTGGACGAGCGCGAGGTGGCAAGCTCGGAAGCACGTACTGGCACCGTGAACGAATGGCTATGTACAAGGACAGGTGGATGCCGTCTGGACTTCCTTAGGGCGTCTCACTGGCATGATTATCCATAGAGGCTAGCAGACGCCCAACGGTGATGTTGAGTCTTCGCACTCTGCTCTCAAGCTCTAGAGGTGATACATAAGGTCCTCAGCCATCATTCTTGCGGCGAGGAAACTCCAAGCGTTCTGCGTCTTGTCAACTCGGCCTTCCTTCTGTCGGAGCTTTTGGTCTCTGGAGTCGGCGATCTTGTCTAAGCCACAGAGAAGCAGTACTTGTTCCCAGACGCCGCTATCCGCTAACGTCGCTCTTTGCCATGCTCATGTGCCGATACACTTCTAGCCAACAACTTGGCTTTGGCTTAGACTAGGCGTTTGTGCAAACATGGCGCCAAGGTAGCTGGGATGCAACGTTTCGGCTCCGGATTGCCTTGAATTAGAACGAGTTGATATAACGACCATTGTACATACATGGGAGGATTGAGTACAACAGGCCGATACAAAGACAATGAGATCGACGCAAGGAGACAAGGTTCGCAATCTTGTAAACACATCATACCGAAACGGGTCCAAACGGCTTCCTTGGAACGTACTCCTTGGAGGCCCTCCTAAGTGACTCGCGCAGGTTGTCTTCGAAGTCGCCCTTCCCACGGCATCGCACATCGTGCATCCCTAACCTCATCTTCTCGGTGAGTGAGAGATACTTCCGTGCGTGCGTCGAGGTCTGCTTCTTGGCCAGCACGACGATGCAGCCCACATCCTCCGTCCCACGAAGCTCAATGATAGCAAACGGGAACCCATGGTCGTCGACGGCGTCCGTGAACGACAGCGCGTGCCCTTCCTCCGTCGTCATGTCCATTCCTTCCGTACGGTAGCCGAGGGTTGGGGCACGTCTCTTCCAGTCAAATCGCCAGAAGCACGACCCGTTCGGCCAGTGGTTATCGCGCGACGTGGCCTTAAGTGCATACTCGACGAGCGTGTCGCTATCGCCAGACCATCCCGAGCTCGTGTCCGACAGCGGCAGCGACCGGCGGCGGACGGAGAACGCGGCCGGCTTGACCGTCGTGGACGTCCTGCCGTGGCTGAGCCCGAGGTAGGGATCTCGCACGGTGATGACCGCGTTCTCCTTGGGCGGCGTGTAGAGCAAAGGCCGCGCGGACGGCACGGGGGGCTCCTGCTCCTTCACCCAAGCGCTGGGCTTCGCGTAGTTGATGGAGATGGTGCCGTCGCCGAGGTGAGGCGCCGGGAAGTTGTCTTCGCGACAGTCGGAGCCGCACGCGGAGTCCCAGACGATGAGGTAGTCGCCGAGGTGTGGCTCGAGCGACGCGATGTACCTGCGGTTCTGTAGCAAAGCATCAGCTCTTGGGTGGGTAGGGTGGATATCAAGGGGAAAGCGTACCATGCTTGTGGTTAGCTCTCGCTGCTGGAGTCGACCGCGACGGAACTTTGGGAGCCACCGGTGGTGGACTGGTGTACCTGAGGACTGTCGCACCGTCCTATGCGCTTTTATGTGGGTTTTGGGGCACAATATGTCTCATCCCTGGTGAATTGGCCGCATTGAATGAAGCCAAAGCTGAGAACAGGTTGGGTCAAGCGGGACTAAGCGAGGACGCTTTGTAGCGACACATGGTGGCAGAGAGACAAAGCATAACTTCCGCTACACTTGCTGGTCTGTGCCATTGAGTATTGGATAGTCAATGAGGTTTCTGACAAGGGCTGTAAGTTCACTCCTGCGAAGAAGGATGGAGACGCAGCGTCGCGAGCGTCTCGGACCACAATCATAGGACTAATCCGGGTCAGTCCAGATGAGGCAACGCTAGCACCATAAGAGGCAGGAGAAGGCGCGCCGTGCGCGATGCAGCGCAGGTCGACTGGCGATGACGATGACAGTCGCGCATACGTCAGGCACGAACACCGCTGAATAACGTTGAGAAAGGAGGAGGGCGTGGTGTTCAGAACCTTCCCCGCTTGCCACCGACCACAGTAACGTACTCTCCCGACATGTCCATCTCTTTCACTCGCTCCGCTGTGCAACAGGCCGCTCGCGCAGTATTGCGGGGCCCGGCTCGTGCGACGACAACGCAGTCTCGCTCCTTGATGGTTCTCATTGACCACAAGGTACGCATAGTCAATGCCTATGAACATGTCGTGCATTGGCCGACTCGAGCAGTACACCGCCCACGCCACCGCTCGCGGACAAGGGCGCAACGGCGAAGTCAAGTCGGACGACGATAACGGGGTACAGCTCCGCCTCGCCATGCCTCGGTCTCTTGGCGGAAAGGGGGATGGCCAAAACCCGGAGCAGCTATTGGCCATGGGATATGCCGGTGCGTATATGCGCCGTCTGTCCACCCTGGTGCCAAATGGTGCAGGCCCACGAATGACGTAACCGCCTCCGAAGCCTGCTTTCTCAGCGCGATGCAGATGGTCGCCGGGCAGACCGGCAAGGTCGATATGGCGCGGAATGCCGTCGTCCATACCCAGGTGCATATCGGCCAACCAGAGGACATGGACGGTTTTGGGTTGGAGGTGGACATACAGGTCGAGGGCGTGCAGGACGACGAGCTCATCCAGGCGGCCCACAAAGTGAGTCGTGCTACTTCAAGGCGGCCTGCGGCGCCGGTCACAAGTAATGTCCGGTGGGACATGGGGTGGAGGCTTACTGCGACCATCCCAGACTTGCCCCTACAGCCGCGCCCTAGCCCACGGCGCAGTCGTGAAAGTCACTAAAGCATAGTAGAGCCGGCCCAGCGGTGTATAACGATAGAACGGGCTCGGCATATCTCGAGGGGTCGGCAACTCCCGTATGGCCAAGAAATAGAGGATGTTCGTTCAGCAGAAAGATAGTAAGTCGAGGATGTGCGGAGCATCAGGTCATGAGCGACGTAATGGTATGACCTCACCATGAAATGGTATGAAGTATGTTTCCTGGACAGACGCTGTGGCACCGACATCAATTTGCGCGCTGGGCGTTGGAGTACCTGCTGGGGATGGCGAGGTCGTTCGAAGTACATATAGGTTTCGAGAAGCATTGGAGTCCAACACAAACAGCACTGTCCCATTTCGTCTCAAACTCTTCACATACGACTCTCGCTCACGATCCGCTTTGCTCTTCGACTTACGTTTACACGCGCTATTAGCCTAACCTGCACTACACGCCTGTACACCAATCACACCTTCAGGCACTCTAATCGGAACCGTACCTTCATCATGCGCCCCACTCAGGCTATTCTCCGCCCCCTCACTGAGCGCATCCTCACCGGTTCCGGTGTGCGCTACGCTCGTAATATCAATGCGGGCGGTATTCAGAAGCGCAGTATTTTGAGCTTGAAGGATCATGTGGTGAGTCACCTCTGCACCACCCCACAGATGACGATCCTGACCGCCCTTGGCACTATAGTACTTCTCCAAGGCTACGGCGGAAGGACCCGGTCGCCACGGCTTCGTGAAGTCGTTCGGCGACGCGCCCCTCGACCTCAAGATGGACATGCCAAAGACCGCGGGGGGCAAAGGCGACGGGCAGAACCCCGAGCAACTGTTCGCGATGGGCTACGCGTCGTGCTTCCTCGGCGCGTTGCAGCTCGCCGCTGCGCGCGCGAACAAGAAGGACCTCGCCGAGAGCGCGAAAGTCACCGCCAATGTGTTCCTGGGCCACCCTTTGGAGCCCGATATCGACGGGTTTGGGCTCCGTGCGGAGATCACGGTCGAAGGATGCCCGGACGACGCTATCATCGCTGAGGCGCATGAGGTGGGTTTACGGTGCTCTTCGTCCTCACGTTGGACGAGAAGCTGATGCATGCATTAGTTCTGCCCATATAGCCGCGCTCTGGAGCACGGCGCGGAGGTCACGGTCACCAAGGCCTGAGTGCCAACGTGCCACATACCTTACACACCACTTCATAACCCCACCTGCTCTCCACATACGACATATCACGATGCTAACGACACCTGTACAACATGCACGCTCCCTTGCGTTTCCTCTGAGTTCCCATTCTTATGTAGTTCGATCGAGTCTCTGCTTAGGTCCAGACCGGACAGCCTATGACGACGTTTCTCTCCACCAACCTTACCTTCCCCTACCACTAACTCCGAGCACACACGGAATCGCACCATTGCATCGCGCCAATAACCATTAACCTGTAGCATAGTTGAAATATCGTGAGAGGATACGGTGGTGACATAGGGCACTTGAATGCCCTTCACGTACATATACGTCGCAGTTCTCGTGTACTGAAGCAGTAGCACAAATGTATCCATATCAACCCGTCTTTGCCACTTCGCTGGAGAGCAGGAGGATATCTCGGTATTGCGCCTAGTACATGATCTCTTGAAGCATCATTGAGTTTTGGACGATGAGGAGAGAAGTTTGAGCAATCAGTGGACGCAAGACAATATTGTGTGCAGTACAGAGGTTGTCAAGCGCCGTTTCTGCCGGAAGCGGGATGGTTCCCACGCTCCCTTGGCCTCGAAGCCACTCGCTTCAAGCCAGCACCAGTGCCCCTTCTCTTGAACACCACACCCATACTTCTTCCTTGCTCCTCACCTTCTCCTCGACACCTCAAAATCCATACAAAATGGCGATGGTACATCCCTCACGCCTGGGCCTCGTACCCCAGGACCCGCCCGATCTAGGCAAACGCGGCCGGTCGCCTTCGCCTCCCCCACGGTCGTCTAGGCGTCGCTCACGCAGTGTAGAGTCGAGGCGGGATAGGGACGAGTCTGGGAAGGACAGGACCGATAGGAAGCGGGATGTAGTTAGAGATAGGGACAGAGACGAGCGGAGGATCGCCTACGGAGACAGAGACAGAGATCGGGGCAGGCGGCACGACCGCGACCGCGCCCGTGCAGACGACTACTTCAACGAGGGGGACAGGGCCGGTGGCGGGAGGAGAGACGACTGGGACGATGGTCGAGGGCCGAGGCGCAGTAAGGAGAGGAGCGTGGATAGGGAGCGGGACAAGGAGAGGGAGGAGCGGAGGGAGAGGGAGCGGGACTCGGGGAGGACGAGGAGGGCTAGTCCGGAATATGGGGACTACCGGAGGTCGTCGCCTGTGCGCGCGCGGGAGGATGGACGGGATGCCCCCAAGGAGGGGGAGAATGGGGCCGAGAGGGCGCCGTGGAGGCAGCAGGAGAACATGTATCCGAATCGTGGGGGGAGGAAGCCACAGTACGGGGGCTTTGGAGGCGGAGCGGACTTCTTGGAGAGGTGTGTTCTGTCCTTTTGGCTTTCCACTTTGTCGTACCATTCTGAGATAACCTGTGTCCAGTCGAAGACAGCAGAGAGAGGCCAGCATAGTCACTGTGTGGCCTCCGTCGCCAAAGGCACCCACACGCGTTGAGTATGTCATTCTTTGCTATCCCGAGGTCGATCATTCTGCTGACTTGGCGATGGCATAGATCTCCAACCCGCGACTCGAAACATCACAAAAAGTCCCACAAGCGTCGGCGCGATTACTCGGACTCCGACACAGACTCGGACTCTTCAGAAGAGGAGCGCCGCCGTCGCGAGCGCAAGGAGCGCAAGAAGGCACGGAAGGAGAAGAAGGACCGCGAGAAGGACCGTGACCGTGAGCACCACAGGCACAGGTCTCGGTCCCACCGGCACAGCGACGACGAAGACAGCGACCGTGAGCACAGGCGTCACCGGGAGAAGACGCGCAGCAGGAGTGCTCGACGGAGCGCGAGCCATCGCAGCGCGACCCGTACAAAGAGTCCCGAGCAGCGCCCGCCGTCTACCCCGGACGAGGACGAGTGGGTCGAAAAGCCGGTCACAGGCGTGGTGTCGTCTCAACCGCCGCCGAGCGGCTCTATGGCCCCGCCCGCTGTTCCCGCGTCTGCGTCTGCGAAGGGCAAGCAGCCCGCACAAGGCGACGAGGACTCGGACGAAGAAGTGGGCCCGCAGCCTCTGAATGCGGCGAAGACCTCGTCGCGCAACAAGGTCGACGAGCGCCAGTACGGAGGCGCGCTCCTGCGCGGAGAGGGTAGCGCGATGGCGGCGTTCCTCAAGGACGGCACGGACGTGCGCATCCCGCGGCGTGGCGAGATTGGGCTGTCGTCGGACGAGATCGCGATGTTCGAGAGCGTGGGGTACGTCATGAGTGGCAGCCGGCACAGGCGCATGAACGCCGTCCGTATGCGCAAGGAGAACCAGGTCATCAGCGCGGAGGAAAAGAGAGGAATCTTGAAGCTGCAGCAGGAGGAGCGGGAGCGGAGGGAGGCGATATTGCGGGAGGAGTTCCAGCAGCTTGTGCAGGAGAAACTCAAGTCGGGCGCGGCCAAGTGAATTACTGGTTCGCGGGCGTATGATGCTATTCTGTAACTATATATACAATCCTCTAAACTCGCGTCGAGCACATCCATAAGCCTTCCTCCGCCCTCATTGATCGCATTCGGAATGTTCAGCGATGGCCTCCAACATTCCGGCGAGCCTAGTGCGGCGTTGCCGCAACGCGCGCTTTGCGTCACGTGCCAGAAATTTGCCCGGGAAACACTTCGATTGGTGGGTCGGACTCGCGGGACTATTGCTGCAGCTCGCACTCCTCGTCTTGTCCTCTACTTCCTCCCTCCTGGCCTACACACGTCAATATGGTCTCGTTTCAGTGAGTATTGTGAATTAAGTCTCCGTATCCAACTATACTGACCCTCCCGCTCAGGTGCGATGGTGAGCCGACCGTTCTTCGCCCGTTTCCCGCGATGCAATGATCGCTCTCAGGACGCGATCTGACTTGCCAACCTCTTACGCTTCTTCCATTTCATCGCTTACAGCTTGTGGCGATACTGTGAAGAAACCAAAGCTGGATAAGCACTACCAGATGTGCCATGCTGCAGTGACCTGCATCGACTGCTTCGCGACCTTCAATAGCCCCGCAGAATTCAAGGGCCATACATCCTGCATCAGTGAGGCGGAAAAGTACCAAAAGAGCCTGTACAAGGGCCACAAAGTACGTGCTATCCTTGCTCCCATGCCCTGTCCCACTCGTCCTCACGCCTGCCCCCCTCTCGACCCTCTAGACCGGGCAGCAGCAGAACGGCAGCGGTCCGCGTGGCCAGGGCCAGAACAACGGCGGCCGTCCCAACAACAACCACAACGATTACAACAACGCGGGCGGTGGTAAGTATCAGCAGCAGTCCTGGGGAAGACAGGGCGGCGGAGGCTGGGGCGGCGCCCGCTACGGCTACGAGGCATCTGGCGCTAACGGCACTCCTCTGGGCACCCCGGTGCGGATGTCGCCCGTGACAGCTGTCGCTGCTGGGGACGAGTCGCCGGTACCCGCGGCGAAGGCGAAGGCGAACGGGAAGGAGGCGAGCGGGAATGACCTAAAGCTGGCGGAGAAGGACAAGGAGGAGAACGGGAAGGAGAAGAAGGAGAAGAAGCGGAAGTCAGTGGGTGGGGACGAGGTCGCTGCAGAGGTACGGCGTGTCTGTCAGATGGGCGGCAGTGGCGGTGAGATGAACTGAACTCCTTGCAGATGCAAAACGGCGAGGGACCGAAAAAGAAGAAGGCAAAAGCCGTTGACGAGCCAGCTCCTTCATCACCTGCGAAGGTTGATACCGACGAGTCGTCGGAAAAGCCAGACAAGAAAGACAAGAAAGAGAAGAAGGACAAGAAGGCGAAGAAGGACAGCGCATCCGCTGAGCTAGTAGCGTCGTCGTCAACATCGGCGGATGGAGAGGAGAAAAAGTCGAAGAAGAGCAAGAAGGAGAAGAAGTCGAAGGACGCAGCGGCCGTAGAGGAGAGTGCGGAGAAAGTGGAGGTGAATGGTGTGGGGAGCGCGGAGGTTGATAAGTCGAAGAAACGGAAGCGGGAGGAGGTGGATGCTGACCCTGCGGTTGCGGCGGATGAGAAGAGCAAGAAGGATAAGAAGAAGAAGAAAAAGTCGAAGAAGGGCGAGGAGGAGGACGCTGCAGAGAATATTGATGTCGATCCACCAGCACTGACGGCTTCGTCGGAGAACAGTGGAGAAGGGAAGGAGAAGAAGAGCAAGGAGAAAAAGGAGAAAAAGGGCAAGTCGAAGAAGGACAAGTCTAAAGTGGCTGCCTGACCTCGACGACGTCCTCGTGTCTTGTCTTGCTTGTTCTTTTCAAGGCGGTTGTATGTACCTCGTTCCTTGCTGTACTTCATGCTGTGATATGACCCTGCTATAGTTGTATGCTTCGGCGCTTCACGCGGTGCGCTCTGTCATCCCGCACTTCGACGTGCATCCAGTTCAACCGGCGTTCGTAACGGATCAAATCTCAGTAGAAGGTTTGTGTTGGTTCGAAGGAGGGTCTTGTGATACTCACCTCATGACGGCAGCACTATTCATAGTGTTAGCGCTGCAGTACTGCCTCAGTATCGCAAGCGCCATACCCTTTCTCACTACACCACGTTCCCCAAATACTCCCTACGTCATGTACACCGGGTTCTGAAATATGTGCCTCGGTAGGACTTAAAGTATCGCGCTTCTACGCATGGGCACATTAGGTTTGAGAAGAGGCCACGGCTCCCTCATCGACAACGTGCAGTGACGCCAATGAGCGGTACACGGACTCCCAACAGCCCTGATCTCTGAAATTTTCCTCGTTCCAGTACTCTCGACGTTCAGGCCACTTGACTTTCGATCCTGTACTCCAGGAGCCCCTAGCGGCGATGCCATTCATATTGGTCCGGCAATGTGTTGACTGCAGCGACAATAGTCACGGTCCAGCCCCCGTCCTCCAGATCGCACTTGGGGTAATCGCAGGATTCGTCGCGTTGTCTGTCCTCGTTGCCATCTGTCGATGTACAAGGCAGCGTGTTCGCCGCCCTTCTTCAGGCGTACGGTTGGTAAGTGTACATTCTGGACCGAAGGCTCCCGTGGCATCGACGTACTGATGAATTCCATCGCATTAGGCTCACACTGGGCCACTGACTACAGTAGCAGACACGAATATACTTATGACGCCAATGCCAGCGCCCATTTATAGTCATTAGCATCTTCATCTTCATAGCAGTCTCCCTGCCCTCAGCAATCCGCTTTCCCCGACTCCCTTTGATCCGCCCCCCGCCTACGAACCGCGTCACCAAGTTTGATGCTCCATATGTGCAAAGGCGGCCTCAAATTCGTCGTAGCCTTGTGGAATCAGCTGCACGCCAACCGTGAGGTCAGTGAGATATTCGAAGGTGCAGGGTGATTTTACGTTAACATTCGGGTTTGTTTTCTCCCAGAGTTAGGCCCGCACAATGAAAGGAATTTCCGACAAAACTTCGATTGTGTGAAGGAAGACTTCTCAGCGCGCAACGAGTGCGGCTGTCAGTGCGTCCGATCCATCTTTACTTCCCATTCATCTTAATTGTCACGAATACTACCTTGTAAACAATATCTTGTCCAGATCCCCGCATTCCTCCGGGCTATGCACCAGAACATACCCCGATATGACTCTCCTTCGCTCGTATGGACTTTGCATTGCGGCACCGCGCACGCTACGTTGTATACACCTTACAATATTCACGGCTTCCGCAATGATGCTTATACCCAGATTCCCTCCATAACGCCCACCAAGGAATAGCTCGCCTACCCATACCACCAGTCCTCGAACACTCGCAACAGAAACTCGCCCGGAAAGATGCCCGGTACTTCGAGTACGGTCATCAGACTTGGATAACCTCAAGGCTGCCACATAGGTAGTTCTCACAATTGCCTTTGTACTCCTGATAGCGTTCGCGTACGCTCATTTCAGGAGGCGGACGATATCCGATCGCGAAATGTCCGCTCATTATGTGAGGATGCGTAAATTTCTCCCATCTTCAAACGTCTGGCTCGCAGGCTCACTGGTTCTGTGATAGCCTGACGACGCTTGGGCCGCTCTCACCATGGTTGGGGAGAAACACGCTGCGGCGGGCGAGAATACTACGAGACTCCCGTCGGACACAAATCACTTCACGCACTAAGTGCCCAAATCCCTCTCTCCATACTCTGCTCTGTCGCATCATGCTAGCTAGAATGAAACGTCTCGTCTCGTCTCGTCTCGTCTCTGACGCTTGAGGCCTCCCTGAGGCTGCTAGGTTCAGCTTGTGATCAGTATGGTCGTTGCCAATTCCTCGCGTACCTACTATGCCCCTCTCACCTTTGCGTTGACAGCATCGATCGCGTTGCCGGAAACGAGCGAGGGGCTGGCTCGCCTCTCACTATGTCTGACTCCGCCAACCGCTTCTTCTCCGATCTGCGATCCCATGTCAACAATTGCGTACAGAATCTGGAAGACTGAAAAAGCCGACGCCGGACAAGCACTCCCAGTAATCGCATGTCCTACGGCAGCAGACTGTATCGCATCGACTACATCACGAACTAAAACAACCCCGCAGAGTTTAACAGCAAACGGCCATACACCCTACATCAACGAGGTTGTCTATAACGTGTGCTCCTCTCGTTGTCACTGTCAGAAACAAGTTACTGTATGTTCTATGCTCCTTGATGCCGTACTTTATAAAGTGAAGAATCTTTGCTAGTTATCTCTCGGGGCGTTGTACACTGCCATACTGCATCGCTTACGGTGTTCATATCTTAGTGGGTGATTCGTTGGCATGAGGGCAATCATCTGATACTCGTCTTCTGTGGTCGGAACAGCTGCCGAGTCAGCGGCATTGATTCTACATGGTGCCGCTGGCAGTACTAGTACGCTGACTGCGGGCGGCAGCACAGCCTTTAGCATCGCTATACGCCTTCTGCCAGCCATCTGTCGCGTTTGCCAAGCTCTTTCCCTGCGATAATGTTCGCCGGTTCCTGAGCCATACACTCCAGTACATCTTGATGTGTCGCGCCCCCACGTGAACGCGTGGACGCCATCTACGAGTGCACAGCCTCATGCTGGTACAGCCAGTGATATATATGTCTTCCCCAGTGCTATCCCTATCAACATATGCATCCGCTATCCCGCATTTCCGACGTTAGGTCCGCTGCAGACTCGTTCCTGCACCCAAAATCCAACCAGCCAGGATGCCTTCCCTGTTGATCCGGCAATGTGAAGGTGACTGCGGCACCAATGGTGGCTCCCCGCAGTCCATCGTCCCCGTGGTACTCGGGGTGATGGGCGGAATCGGAGGACTGTCCATCCTCATCGCGCTCCTGCGGTACGCGTCGCGCGATGATCGCCCTCCTGCTCCCCAGGTCAGACCTGTAAGCCTACTCTCCGCATTCAGAGTCGCAATGCAATGACTGAGATGAGACTCAGTTGCGACAGGCCCGCGCCGTTCCCCTTACTACGACAGCAGAGACAGAGACCACCTTACTGCCTGTGACGCTGACAGCAGAGGCAGAGACCGCCTTGCTGCCTATGACGCCAACACCAGAGCCCATTCATGTTCATCAACATCATCGCCAACATTCTCATAGCGGTCCTATCCCCGACCTACACCCTCCGCCCTCCCCGGTCCCCTCCGAGCCGCCACCTGCCTATGAAGCGATTGTCTAATCTTCTGTACGCGCAAGACTAGCTAGGACCAGGCCGTTGGCTCACGGTTGTCCCTGCAAAGTACCCGTAAGGTCTGTGATAGATTCCATAGCGCAGTGAGAATTCACGTTAACTCTCTGGCGTGATGGTCCTTGTCAACAGTCGGATCAGCTGAACAGCCCCTGATCTACTTCGAAGGAAGCTGCAGCCGGCATCGACCATGCGAACAAGGACCTTCGGTTGCACAATCACTGCAGCCGCATGTGTACCCGGTATAGCCCAGCTTCCGGAGCATCACGATATTCCGTTATAATTGACGTCTCCGAACGACGCCCATGCCCTTATCTCCACCGCCGTCTGGCTATGTACTGGAACGCGCCTGGGTCCTGGTTGTCGTTGGACTCCGCGTTGCACCTCCCCTATACAATGATACTTCAAATGTGCGGTCCCCACTACTCCCGGCATGGACTCAAGGCACTCCATATCACACTTCAAGGACTAACGAGCTCAGACCGGACCGTCGCACCATTGTCGTCGCGTCTTGTTCTGCCGTCAATCAAGCACACGCAACGGACGATCCCTCGGAGAGAGGCGCCCCAGACTATAGTAGTCGCCGTGATAATGATTGCACCACTAACAGCTAGTATGTAGATATGCTCTCAACAGGAGGCAGCCGTGTCCGACCATAGCATGCTCACTCAAAGTATCGGTCACGGTATGCTATGTGATCCCTACTTCTCCATCCCGGCGACGTTGATCTGCTCAATGACCGACTAGTTCTGTGATAGTAGAGAAGGGACACGCTGCTGCCGTCCGTGTGGACATGATGAGACAGACCCTTGTCGAACACGGGTAAAACGGGTTGCTCTGGCAGGTTCTAAGTGTCGCAGTCCGTCCCTCAGGCTCTGTATCCTTCCCAGCCTTAACATCAAGCGAGGTCTCCGACGCTTGAACCTGTCTGCCTGTGCAGCTGGATACTGTCGATAGGACGCTGCTACGATGGTAGACAGGCGAAGGCGCTACGCGTCTTCCTTCTGCGTTTGTAGTCAGACAGGATGATGATGATAATAATAACAATGATAATAATATCAAAAAGCAGCTGGATACTGTCGTCTTCACCCGCGATGCTTACTTACATAGAGAACTTGCCTATACCCAGTGTCGAAGATACGGTAGCCTGCAGTCTACAATTGTACTTAGTGGCGATTGCAGACATTTTCATCGTGCTATGCCGCCATCACGATCATTCGGCCCGGGTCCCGTGCATCGACGCCGCTGCACTGGAATCCCGATTTGGGTGGTTCCCCTCGAACACTGAACACATCGGCGAAGACATTACATTTCTTGGTTATGTTCTCGCTTCAGCGACTGCCGCTGTAATACTAGAATATCTATGTCCAGTACCGCGAGCACCGCAGCTCCCAACCATGTCTCCGACCTCCGACACTAGGTCTCAGGTAATCACGACGTACCTTGGCCACCCCACGTTCTCCTGTGCGAAGTGCACAGCGGTTATTGTGCGTGCCGAGAGACTTATACGGAAAGATCGGGTTAATTGACTCGCGGAACAGGCTCTCCAAGACGAGCTCATCAGCAAGGCGTTCTCAGGGCGGGATGGACGTGGCTTGTAGGAATCTCCCACTGTACTTTCTATACTTCAAGCTTACCTTTCTCACGACTTGACTCGGGCCTCAGCTTGATGCACTCAGCAGTCAACCTGAAGATGGGGAAGAAGGAAGACCGTCCCCTGCTGTGAGTACATGTTACGACTGGCCGAGTAGTTTCAGAGCGTTTTGAACTAATGATGTCATCGATGCGCACAGGACGGGGGTGCACACTGTGGCAGATGTGTATTGCATGGGCTGCAACGAACGCATGGGTTGGTACTACCATAGAGCGTCCGATAACTCGCAGAAGTACAAGGAAGGTACGCCGTTCGCTGCTATCAGCGATGCCGGTGCTTACTGTGTAAACGCAGGGAAATACCTCCTAGAACGAGAGAAGCTCGCGAAGGAGAACAAGTGGAAGTTGGACGACTAACGTTACTCAGTTGCAGCGATATCCCCTCGTTGTACTATCCTCGTCGTCGTCGTCGTCGTTGTCGTCGTCGTCGTCGTCGTCGTCGTTGTCGTCGTCGTCGTCGTCGTCGAGCCCAGGAGGAGGCCTAGTTTGCTCACTTTGCTACTATCAACCGATCACGTTCACGAAGTCGTGCAACGAGTGATGCTCTTGGTCGTTTATATACATTGCGTGATTTACATAGTGGTACAAAACCTCTGGAAGCAAGATCTGCATAGGGTCCCAGGTATCATTCGTTCCTCGTGCGTCTACGACCCCACCCAACGTAAGATATACTCCCGAAATCGTACACTCCCAATACCATTCTAGACGCCGCTACACTCGCCTGCTCGAGCCGGGGGAGCTCTAGAACGACGCCGTCGAGTCGACCTCGATCGTGGGCACGATCGATGCGATGAACTTGAGGAAGACGACGAGGTAGAGGTCGACACGCATGCCTTCGACCTCCTCCTCACCTGCGGAGACAGCCTTGTCGTCCTTGCCGTTGCCGCTCGCGCGGCGGAAGAGCCACTTCTTCTGCTTCCCATCCTTCCCGGTTGCACCCCGGCGAGCTGCTTGCTGCTCCTCGATGCCCTGGTTCATCCGCTCAATGACCTTCTTCATCACGCTTGCATGTTTGCACGGGTGCACCGACGCGGCTTGCAACGACGCTGAATGAGGGAACGGCTCAATGGTGACCGTCTTGAAGGCGTGGTCGGCGGAGACGTCTTGGAAGATTTGCGAGGGTGTGAGGGGCGTGCCGTTCTGCACATTGTGTGAGGACCGCGCAAAGGGACACAAGGACATATGATGAGACCGTACCTCATCATAGCCGACAAGCCAGATGCGGGGTGTCTGATAGTACTTGTCGTACGTGATCATGACATCGTACGTCCGCACTTGCAACAGGTTGCCCTTGGCCACCTCCACCTCGCTGCCACCCCCGTCACAAACAGCCCGTCAGCAACGCTTCGCCACATCAGCAGCGCAAGCAGGAGCATGTGGCACTCACTCAGCAGTGATGACGTTCGAAGCCTTCGGCGCCGCAGCAGTCGCCTCGTCCTCGTCCTCCAAGTCCTCCTCCATATCCGGGATCTCGTCCATGTCCGGGATGTCCGCCGGAACGCCTCCCCCACCCAAGCTAAGGTGCCCCAGCGCGCCCGCAACCTCCCCGTCCGCATCGTCCACGTCGGGGATGTCGTCGATCGTGCCGACGTGCCCGCCCGCGTCGCCGCCAGCGCTCCGTCCGGCGTGCGTCTCGACCCACTCCTCCGCCCCGCCCGCGACCCCGTCCTTGGGGTCCGCGAAGGAGAGCAGCCGCTCGGCGTCCTCGTCCGCATCCGTGTACGCGAGCGTACTCGCGCGCCGGAGGCAGGGCACGCCCCGCGTGAGGAGGTACTGCTTATCGGCGGGGAGGTAGTCACGCGCCTTCGACGCGTCGCCCTTCTCCCTGCGAGGACAGGCCACACGCGTTAACCATGCAAAGGACAGGTGCTGAGGAGGAAGGACGTACCATGACCAGACGGGGAACTTGTACGCCAGGAAGTCGCCTGCCGCGACGAACTCCTCTGTGGGAAGCTCCCGGGTTAGCGCACGCCGGAGGCAACGGATGGAGTGATCGAGAGCATACCAGGGGTGATGCGGCCGTGTTCCTTGAACTTGCTCTCTTTGAGAACCTAGAAATACGTCAAAATTGGCCTGTCGCATGACGGTCCTCATAAATTGTGGCGTACGGGGCTGAGATACTCGCGGACCGCCCAATATTGTTGCTAATGCGACGGATGAGCCTGTCTTCGCGACCGGAGACGACTTGGACATACCTGAATCGTATGCATATCTTGGACAGCCGTGAGACGACTTGTATGGCAGGAGGGGGAGGGTAGGGGAGGATTTATATGGTGGACCGAGGAGGACGGTCGGCTACTGTTTCAATAGGCCTTCCGCCCTGCACTAATCGATCTCGGCACGTGCCTCCCAGAATGGTAAGCTCCCTTCTCATGTTCTGCTCAGTAGCGGTGCTGCTTTGCACCAAAGCCAGCCGCACAAAGACAAAGCTATGTACAAGGCTAGCCCGAGACTCCTCCTCCTCTCCCCCAAAAACTTACATTTCGCTGTGTCCGACGGATGGCATAAAAGGGGTGAAAAAAGCATGAAACGTTTCAACATTAGCCCACCGCGAGGGTCGAACTCGCAGCCTTCAGATCACCTGACTTTAACCCGCCTAAGAGTCTGACGCTCTATCCGATTGAGCTAGGCGGGCTGTAAAGTTTGAAATAAACGGAGCCCATTGACCGTCAAAAAAAACCAGGAGGGAGAATTTCATCCGCCATCACCTGCAAGGTCGTTCATTGCTCTCTGCACCTCAAGCTTCTCCATTACTGCCCTATGTAAACTAGACTTCGTCCGCCGCCCTGGCTTCCCTTTCACCTCTTTGGATGCTGATTCCGATATATATCCTTCGGCCGTCTGAGACTCGGTAGCGGCTTGAGGCTGCCTGTGAGCCGTCGAGGTGAGGTGAGAGGGCACGATGATAGGCGTCGCTCGTGGAGGTGGCGGCCACTATGCATGGCGTGATGAACAATGGGATACTTATAGAACAACAGATGGTGCACGTACGCCACGATTTGGTTGGTTGAAGTGGAGAGCCGCCCATGGTGGGTACTCCCTCTCCAAATGAATGATGTGGTCTTCCAGATACTTGAGACGGTCAAGAAGGGATCGTGGTAAAGAAGGGACTGCAGTCGCACTGGTGTGAGCAGTTCGGGCAGGAAGGGGAGGCTGACTAGCACTTACCATAGCGAACAGCAAGGTGCTTCTCAATGTTCTGCAAACGCTCGTCAAAGCCAGAATATCGTTCAGCACTCGGATAGTCTTCGACACCGCGAGGGGCAGTAGCATTGGCAGCATCCTTAGCCTGCGCGGTGGCCTCACTCGACTCAGAGCCCGGCAGAGCACCTGCTTTCATTGTTCGGCGCAGCGGGCCGTCTTCGTTCTTCGCGATGTCGTATTTCATCTGTAAGTCTCTATTCTGCGTCTTCGCGTCCGTACGCGCGCAGGACGGTATCGAAGTAGATGGCTCGGGATCTCCGTTCTCATTCAGACGCCTGCGCTTTTCGGCTATGGACAAGAGGAACTCGTTACGATTGGACGCGTCGTTCCGAGCACGGTTCTGAGCGAGAAAGCGGGATATGTCCTTCGTGATCTAGCGCAGCAAGTCCAGGTCCGTTTAGCGGGTAAAACGGAGTGAGAACCGGACTAACCGAGCTGTGGGGGCGAGGTGTCACTCCGTCCGCCAGGTGAACACAGTCAAGTTTGCGCTCGTCAAGAGGACGTTTCTGCATCCCGACATCTTGGTTCTCCTCCTTCGCCTGAGCTAGTTGCTAAGAGCTCGTGAGGAGACGATATGTGCAATCATGATCGAGCATGCACGTACCATGAGATCCTTCATGAGCTCTCCGAGGGCAAGGGGAACCTTCTTGCGCTCCCACTCCGGGTTCAATACCAACATGTCTGCCTCAAACCCCCGCAACGCCTGAGAGAACCCAATGGAGGACAAGAACGACTTGAGTGCTGCATCCCAGTCTTTATTGTACGCTGGCGGAAGTGAAGGAGATGAGCTTGGAGACTTCTGCTTAGCTGAAGGGGCGGGTACTGGAACTGGCGCAGGAGAGACGGCAACAGCAGTCTGAGAGGAGCCCTGTGGCGGAGGAGCGTACGAGTAAGAGTAGCCAGTGCCAGGAGGATATTGATACGTGGCAGTATTCCATGCATTCGCCCAAGCATTTGGAGGATAGCCATAAAACGAGTAATTTCCAGCCGCAGGCTGCGCTGGACCAGGTGGGGGCTGCTGAGGGTAGTACGTCGCTTGTGCGGGGTACGGCTGAGAGGCAGACTGAGATGTGCCGGTCTGATATTGTGGTGGCGCGTAGTACGATCGCGAAACAGGCTGTGGCTGGACAGCGAATTGCGTCGTGTATGCGTTCGCAGGAACGGACGGGCCGGGAGTGGATGAGGGAGGGGCAGAAGAAGGCGATCCGGCAGGGGCAAGATGTGCAGGAGAAGAAGTCTGTGCGGCCGCGTTAGCACTAGAAGCTGGCATAGCGCTATGGGAGGGTCCCGCTGCAGACGGCGGCGGGCCCAGCGTCACTGTGGGCGGGGTGGAGGTCAGAGACGAAGTCCAAAATTTCTGAGAAAGGAAAATCCCGCCCTGGACAATCAAAGGCGCCGGTAGCGCTTCGATCACACGTCGGTCCGGGCTACGCTCCCTGTTGTCTATTCCGCCTCTGTCGGACTCGGTCGCGTTCGCACGAGTCTCTCTCTTGACCGCTGGCATCCTGTTTCAGGAGCATACACCACCAACTGGTAACGGCTCTAGATTACCCTGTGATGGCAGTCGAAGCCGCTCGCCTACCTACGCCAGCTTTCAGGTTGCGGGAGGACGAGCTTCCGCCAGAGCTCATACTGTCTATCGAACGTATCCTTGAGCTGCACACGACTTCGGACACGGATCCTCTGGACAAGCTCACGAATGATTTTGATCCCATAGGAGTCCTAAACGAGTACTTTCCCGACGGTGAGCCCAGTGCACGTAAGACGTCACTGGCATGTCTGTAACTTGCTTGCGTGCCCAGAGGCTGCGCTGGGACAGTTAGAAGCCGTTCAGGAGCGACTGGCACAATATGAGCGGGACCTCCAGGCAGAGATCAATGCGCTCCGGGAGGAACTGCGTAAGGACCAGGACCCGAGCAGAATGCAGCTCATACAGGAGATGATTTCGGTGAGTGAGCCAGTACAGATCGTCCTGCATGTTGTTGTATGTTAAGGACACTCCCTTTGTGTCATCTTGTGTTGCAGGACCTTCTTGGCCAAATGTCCCGGATACGCGAGAAGGCCACGGAGTCCGAGGCTGTAGTCCGAAACATTACCAAGGAGATCCAGGTCCTTGACTTGGCCAAGAAGAACCTCATCCTGAGTATGACGACGCTCAAAAGGCTGCAAATGCTTGGTGCGCGCTCTGTGCATTCCACTACACGTTCCCTCTGACATCTCCGTCCGTTCAGTGAACGCGTTAAGCCAGTTGGAGGACCAGATCAAGGAGCGGAAGTACCACGACATTGTACAGTCGCTCGCAGTACGTTCACAGCGTCTCACCATGAGCGATTGCGTGTTTGACATGCGTGCTACAGGCAGTCAAGCAGATCGGCCAGTCATTCAAGCCTTATACCTCCGTGCCGCGGATAGCCCGACTATGGCGGCGCATACAGGAGATCCAAACAGAGATACGCACAATGATTGACCAGGATTGGGACAAGTTGTATGTCTCCTAGCCACGGATGTGCTTATCTCATGTGCTTACACAGCACGCAGCTATATGCAGGATCCTGCAAAGCCCATAAAGCCAGCTGTGGTCGCAGATGCTTGCCTTGTCCTAGACGTCTTGGGTCCGGAAGTCCGCGCTCAGTTCGTTGAGCGCTATGTCGCACTGGAGCTAAAGGAATACCGTCGCATATTCCGTGCTACTGATGAGGCAGGGCAGCTAGACAATATATCCCGGCGCTTTGCGTGGTTCAGACGATTGCTCCAGACACATGAGACTGAACAAGGCCGAGTTTTCCCTGCCGAGTGGAAAACTGGCTGGTTCTTGACCGCAAAGTTTATCGAGATCACAAGGTTTGTCCATGCGCATCAATGGTGCCAGATCGGTGCTGACTATGCGTATATACACCAGAGATGACATGACAGCGTTGCTGTCGAAAGCAGGGTCAAAACTTACCGTGAAGCAGCTCCTCGATACCCTGGCCGAGACGATGGAGTTCGAGGCATCAGTGGTTAAGAAGTTTTCCACTCCTGTATGGCATATCTTTCTTCGGCTCTCTCTTATCAACTCACGAAGTCCTAGGTGCGCGAAATCTTGAAGGCGACGACGCCAGTGAACGCCACGCGCCCATCGAAACCCATCACGTCCGCATTTGAGGCGCACATGGGTGTCTATATTGACGCACAGGACAAGTGAGCAATTACTCTCCAGATGGTCATGTCAGTCGCAGCTGAGCGCAAAATTCTAGAATCCTGTCAGACATGCTCGCGCAATATCGAGGCTCCAAGTCTCGCTCCTCTCTAGAGGCCATATCTACCTCGAGCAGCGCGGACGACGAAGGGGCACCCCCGGTCCTCGTCCTTCCATCGTCTACCGAGCTGTTCTACTTCTACGCCCAAACGCTCGACCAGTGCGCCAGGTTATTCACGGGCCAGCCGCTGTACGACCTATGCGCTCTGTTCAAGAAGTGGTTGCGCATATATGCGGGTAAATAGTGTCTGTGGTTGACGGATATTGTGTCTGACCGTCCCTTGCAGAGGAGGTACTTGTGCAGAGTTTGCGAAGGTAGTGCCGCGAATGCGAATACCTCTCTAACGGAGTCTCATGCACAGTTTTCCTTGAATGATAGACCGGCGAACTTCACGCGAAAGTCCGTAGACACCCGATACGACCTTGCTGAACTCAAAAATGCCTGCACGCTCATCAACACGGCCGATTACTGCCAGACAACGGCTCTTGAGGTAAGTGCACTCCGGCAACATCGTTCGCGCGGAGTGTCTCGTTGACGTCCGTTCAAGCTCGAGGAAAACATCAGGGAGAAATGCGATGAAGCTTTCAAGGAGAAAATCACGCTACAGGAGGAGCGGGACCTCTTTGTGAGGTAAGCAATAGGCCTTTATTCCTGAGCTCAGTTCATTGTCTGATGGACATATCAGCGCGATCTCTGCAGCAATTGGTGTGATGCTTCGTGTGCTCGAATCCGCCATAGAATCACCGTTTAACATGCTCTCGCGTACACCTTGGACGACCGTGAAGCTGGTCAGCGGGCAGTCTGCCTATGTCCAGGACCTGCTCAGCATTATTCAACAAATCGCTGAGGCGGTCAAGCCGCTGGTTGAGCAGAAGAAGTATATAAGAAATTACTTTGATAAGGCGGCAAGGTACGTGATGTCGAGCAGTGCGACCCTATGAGTACAAGGCCTAATTCAATGGCCAGTACGGTGTTGGCCAAGTTCACGAACGCTCTGGTGAAGAGCAGGCCATTGCTGGAGATCGGCGCAGAGCAGGTGAGGAAAGTTCCTCTACGTTCTTATCACCTGAGTTCATCTGCTTCGCAGCTCTTGATCGATCTGCAAGCTATCAAGGCCTGCCTCTTGAAGATACCCGGAGAAGCACTCACGACGTCAAAGTATGCTTATTGGCGAACGTATTAGAAGCCCTTTTCTAATATTATCTACTAGCTACACAAAGAGTGTGAACAAGCACACGACCAGGTTGGAAGCGCTGCTGAAGGTCATCGTGACCCCGGTGGTGCGTGTTCTGACATTGTCTCTGAACCCGCCTATTCAGACAACACTGTTCAGGATCCCGCTGAAGGTTTTATTCTCAACTACACACTGGTCATCGGCGACGCCTCCTTCTCCAACTTCCAGAAGATCCTCGACCTCAAGGGTACGCCCAAGGCCGCACAGAACGACCTCCTCGACTCCTTCCTTACCATCACGAGCACCAAACCCGAGCTCGAGAGCACGTCTTTCCTCTCCTCGCTCGACATGGACCCGGGCTCCATTGCGAACCTGACAAGCCCCGGAAGCAGCCGCGTGTCGCTCATTCCGGGCGCCACGGCGGGCGAGAGCATTCTCGCGGCGCTGTCGTCGCCCCAAGTGGCGAACGCCCCGTCAACTGGCTCTGATGGAGTTAGGTCCGACCAGGCGAGCAAGCGGGAAGTGTTCTCGGACTTTAAGCGATTTGTCAGCTTCGGGCTGAGGAGAGAGACACTGCCTCCGTCTTAGACCAACTCTGGGCTCCTCTACGTCGTATCGGACACTGCTGGGGAGCGGTCTTGTCAGGCCCTACGGAGGCGACATCACCCGATCAGGAGAGGGGACAAACATTGTGTAGCGGAAGGAAGCACTCCGTCCCCCTTCGATTTCGCGAGCCCTAGCACCAGCTCGTCAGTAATGACAGGCAGAAGGATTGATGTCTTGCTCGATCTCTGCTAGAATTAGGCGTACTCAATCTCCCGCCATACCCGATTGTACTGGTCTAACGTCTCCAGATGCTATACGGATACAGATTGCGCTAGATACAACCCGTGGTACACGCTGAGCAACTATACAAACATGAAGATCCTACTCGTCCATCGCGTCGTCCTGGTTGCGAGCCGGAGCACTCTCGCCCTCCTTCCAAGTCTCGCCCCATTTGGGGTATACCCTTTTGTACAGTGACATACACACGGTGTCCATCTGGCTGATCGGCCCATCGAAGTGCGCCTTGTAGTACCCGTGTGTACCGAGCGACTCCTTGATGTGCCCTGTCCGCCCGTATTTCGTGTGCAACTGGATTGGCTTGAGATACGCGATGTCCTCTACTCACCGGGGAGTGTTAGTAAGATAGAGGTGATCAAGTAGGCTGTAAGGGGAGGCACGTACCTGGGTTGAAGAACATGTAACGAATGGTAGCCGTCTTCTTGTGAATTTTGAACGGATGGCCAGTCAATATGATACGCTTGGCGATGATGCGTGTCGTATCCGGGTGCAGGAAACTGCCCATCGCGACCAGTTCAGGTGCTTCCCCGACAGTCAGCCCACATGCATACATGCAGGTCGTGAAGAGAGGTGCTCACCTTGCGGGTCATTAGTCTCCCGTAGAAGGGTGCACGGCTGCTTACCATACACCACAGGCCCGTAGATTGTAGCGACATTCGTGACGCCGTGGCGGAGATACCGCTCGAACTTGTGCACGTTATTCGGACCTTTGCCTCCGCCACGAGTGTGCTGGCTGTAAATTGGGTTGACGCGGATTCGTCGAGGACCGACGCAAAGGATGAGAGGGTCCTGACGCTCACAATCAAATCCTTGCCCAAGCACATGAACAGGGTATTCGTACCTTGGATCGTACCGAGCCATCGTATTCCGTATTCCGCTGCAAAGTGAAGTTGAGGACAGTCTTCTTGTGCTCGTGCTGGAGCAAGCTGAAGACGGTGAATGGTCGCCCAGGGATCACTCGAGCGGCCTCATTGGGAACATCCTTGAGGTAGACCGTCACTCGGGTCCCAGGCTGTTTCAGATGTGGCGTTTTCATTCGGTATATGCGCGTGATATGGGGTCGGTGAACGTACCTCAACTCCGCCCTCCTCCTCTGCCCGCCGCTTCACTGCTCGCTCCGTCCGCTTGAAGTCCTCAAACTGGAATATCCGTGCATAGTCCCGAGGTAGATTCTCATATGGGTCCCATGGGCTTGTACGGAAGGAGCGCAGGCCACGGTATCTCTGGAACCGCGTCCGTGCGGGCACATCCAGGGGCGTGTCGATCTCGTCTGGGAATTGAGTATCGTCCTCTTCCTCGCGTTTCCGGTCTCTCCACGACTGCAGCCTGTACAGCCCAGTCAGAAGCAATGTCAGAGAGATGAGGAAAGTGAACGACTCACTGTCGTGCCTCCTCAGCCTCGTCAAGGTCCTGGAACGCCACACTCCGCTTATCGTCCACGTCCATCTCAGTTCCCTCCGTAGCCGGGATCTCCTCCATCTCCTCCACTTCCTCCATCTCGACCTCTCCGTGCTCGCCACCTTCCCCCTCGCCACTCCCTTCCGCATCTTCCTCGTCGGACTCGTCAATGATCCATGCCGCCTGGTACTCGCTTGTGCCCTTCGGTACCTTACGAACCGCCTTGGGCGTCGTCCCGGTCTTCGCGTCGGGGACCGCATCCGGGTGACCGTTTCCATTGGACGCGCCGCGCATCTCCTCCTCCGTCGGCCAGGTCTGCTCGTTCGCCATGTCGTCCGGGTCGTTGCTTGAGACGAGCGAGTCGGCGGAGGAGGCGTCGGGCTCTGCAAGGAGCTGGGGCTCGACGTCCATCCCGCCGCCATGTTTGGTGTGTTTTGGGAGAGGGGCAGAGACGATCTAAGATGTACCGCTTTGAGCGCCCAGCGAAATCATGCACGCGTGTGAATGAGGGTGCGCACCTTGTCAATTTGGAAATCGCCGTAGTTCGGTATGTGAATGAGGCGGTTCGCAGAGAGGTGCGCGCCGCGGACGACCCCGATGACGCTCAGCGCGCCGTCCACCCAGTCAACCTTTTCTCCCAGAATATACGAGCGACCGTCTCGCCATTTCACGTCCGACGGCTTGCCCTCACATAGTGCACGCACTGTATTGAGTGTGTCCGCCCCGTGGTGCATGTCGAACACCCTTGATTGGCTCGGCACGAAGTACTGGATGAAGGACAGCAGCGACTTCATGATGCCGGACTTCTCCTTCGGGTCCATGGGTTGGTTGGAAGATACGACGGTGACCACTTCAGGGAGGCCCTGCGCTTGAAGCGTGCGGAGGAGTGTGTCGCCCCATTTGTCGACCTCGACGTCTGGCGAGAGCACGAAAATGACATAATCTGCGACTTTGCATGCGTCAAGGATGGCATACAGCTGCCGGTACGGAAGGGGGATGAATTGCAAGGAGGTCTTGAACCTGTCTGCTCTACACATGTAATCTCAGGATGCAGCCCGCGCAGAACTCCACAGGGGAAAGAACGCACCTGAGCTTCTGCAGTCCGCTCGCTTCGTCCTCCTCGACTGCTCCGTCGATCGCCTGCGCAAGCTTTGCGCTCACGTCTCGCGCCTTCACGTCCTCCGTCAAGGGCACGATGGCGACAACCCGCGGCGCACCGTCCGTCCCACTGAATATACGGGTAGCCGAGACAAGGCTCTGGCGCCTCTTGAGCTGAGCTTGCTTTGCGTTATTACGGCGGTTTATGCGGAGCTGCGCTGCCGCATTGGCAGTGTGGTTGGCTTTGGGTGACTGGTGGGGCGTCCGTCCTGTTGAAGTGTGAGAGATTGAACGGAGGAGGGATGGAGTACGCGACCTTTCGCAGCCTCCTTGAGGGAACCTTTAGAAGCGTGCTTAGACTTGAATGGCTTGTTTTTCTATGGATGAATTCAAAAGTTAGCGTTGAGCAGTCGCTAGTAACACGATACTACTTGCTTGTTTGAGTGTAGGCCTGTGGTGATGGACTGTTTCCGTCATGTTTCTAGGTGTGTGTGTGTGTGTGAACGCCCTTCCAGTAACAATTTATTCACGATCGTGAAGGCAGCTGATGCTGATCAGATGCCCGCAGAATCCTAGACTTCCTTGCAAAGTGGGGTATATGTACAAGAGCTGGATGACGCTTTTCTGTGAGCAGGATCCAAGTCGGCCTCGAGTTAGATCTCACCAAATTTACTGTAGCATCTAATCTAATCACGCCACTGCATGCTATCTAATCAGCGGACCACATCCATTTCTCGCGGAGCGCGCTCAAGCGCTGCAATGGCTGTAGACTATGTACTAGTTAACCGTTCACAACCCAGAAACGTCGAGCAGCCTTTGGGGCTGCACCACCGATGAGCGGTAGAATCATGTGCAAAGAAAGAAGCAGTCGGTTAGATTGGTCGATGAGCGGGTATCGTGGCGAATACATTGTGAGAGAAGATTGACGAATGCTTGTTGTAGATGCTATTCCAGTGTCCTTACTTGAGCAGATGAAAGATATTCAAGAAACAGAGTGGGGGCTATATGATGGAGATACTGCGGTTATGTGACTATACCGCAGTCTTTCACCCGGATTTATGCTCCAGCTCGTCGAGGAACGCTAGCCAGGTCTTCTTATCGATCACTCCTTGGTCTGTGACGAACAGATACCTCAATCGACACGCGCGCCAAAAAAATGAGGAGAAGGAAGACGTACAATGGCCATCAGAGTCGGTGACAACAACATACCTCGCCCCAAGCTTCGTGAAGAACTGCTGCACGAGCTCGAGCGGCGAGTTGTCCTGGACCGTCAACGGCGCCTGGTCCATGTAGCAGCTGAAGTCGTACGGGTCCAGCCCGAGCGCGTTCGAGCCCGTCTCCGCGAGCGACGACACGGAGGACGCCATCGGGAAGTGGCCGTGCGGGCCCGCGGCGTGGAACGAGATGACCTCGTCCGGGTCGTCCGCGACGATGCTCAGCGCGTGCTCGAGCTCGTTCGCGCCGATGTAGCCGACCATGCGCAGCCCGTCGTCGTCCGCCTTGAGGATCGGGAGGCCGCTGTCCGAGTTGCCGCTGTCGACGAGCTTCTGGAGCTGGTCTCTGAGTGACTTGACCGTGTTCGGCTGGTCGAGGCGGATCGCCTCGACATCGCGGTCGGTCTGCCACGCGGATGTGAGCACAGCACGTAGAGGCGAACAGAATGTGTCGGGACTCACCACATCGCTCATTTGATAGGGACCCCAGATGTACTCGTGCTTGGCGTCGAGGTATGGCAACTGGGAAAGGTTAATGACGAGGTCGTAGATGCCTTTAGGTTCCAGAGCGTCTGCCACCGTCTTCGCCACCAAAACCGCAAGCATGACCGGCACAGCGTACGTCAGCGTGTCCGTGAGCTCGAACATGATGACCGCCAGAGAGACGGTAGTGCGCTAATGAGAGGTAAGCACACGCATTAGAACGAAAGATTCGTAAAGACATACCGTGACTCCGGAAAGAGTCGCAGCAGCGCCGACCATGGCATACAGCCCGGGAATCACACAGTTGAGGTCACCCTTGCAAACCGCGAACGCAGCGCTGTCCGGGTACGAGAATTGCATCCACTGCACGAGGATGCCCAGGATGCGTCCCGCACATGCACCAACGCCAAGCGTCGGGATGAAGATCCCCGCGGGGACCTTGATGCCGAACGTCACGATCGTGAGGACGCCCTTCACGATCAATGCGACGAAGATCGCGTAGATCACGGACACAGCTTGCGTCGGAGGGTTGAGCACGCAAAGGCCAGAGTGCGTGTTGGCGCTGCCGTCGCGGCACTCGGCGAAAAGGTTGTAGACGAGCTCGGTCCCGCCCATGCGGGTGTACGGGTTCAGGAAGCTCAGCAGTGCCGTAACGAGAGTGACCAGGATGACTTCGATGACGGGGTGCTTGCCGAGCCATGTCCCGTTGCGGACGTGGCGGCTCCAGCGGTAGTTGAGCTTGGAGAAATATGCGCCATACACACCCTGTGACGCATCGCATTCAGCTGAGCTTCAAGTGGTGGTGGATTGCGCGCTTACTCCGAAGACCCCCAGAAGAAGGAAAGGGAAGAGCTCGTATGCATGCCAATCCTGATCGACTATCAGTCACCAGGCACGCATCTTCGCTGCAGGGACAGAGAGGCCACAAACCTTGTCGTACGTAACCTGGAACAGGACCAGCTTGCCGCTCCCAAATGGATCCAGGAACCGGAGTGTCACGGCCGCAACCATCGCACAGAAGAAGCTGTGCGCCAGACATGTGAGCGCAAAATCTCTGTGAAAGAACTCTAACAATCACCTCCGCCACATGACCTTCGCAGGGAAGAAGTACGACACTTCTTCGAGACTGAACAAGACGCCGCCGATGGGCGCACCGAACGCAACGGCCACCCCAGCTGCGCATGCTGCACTGAGGATTCCGCGACGCTTCCCTGCAAGGCAGAGTTAATAGGCAATTCGCTACAAAAGGAGAACGTGCGTACCTTCGTTCGTCTCATACTTGCTAAAGAACCTGCTTACGATGTTGCCGACGCAAGAGGCAATGTGAACAAAGGGCCCCTCCTTACCTGCAGAGGGCATATGCGGCGTAAGATTCAGCGGCTGTATGGAAGGGGCTCAAGTGCAACGTACCGAGGGACAGTCCAGAGGCGACAGATAGTGCCAGTCCGACCGCCTTAGTGAACAGCGTACGTCCGCCGAGATATCCATGGATGACGAAACCTAGACATGAAATTCCCAGCCACTGTGTGGGCTACATCACTGGAAAGTCACGTACCAGATAGGATTGTTTTGATCTCAGGGATACCGCTACCGGCAGCCTATAAAAGATCCATAAGCATAAAGTTCAACGAAGGGGTGGAGAGTTCGTGATCCGAGCGGAGGTTTACGTACATAGAATAGAACTTTGCGAGCGGGTGCAGGGGGGTTCGTCGAGCTCTTGGCGTCATCGCCAGCCGCGAAAGTCGACGAGAGGACGCCGGAGTCCTTCCTCGTGACGAAGGATGTCGACGCGGTGAGATAGATTGTCAAAAGCGAAGAGATCACCGCGAGGGAGATCTGCACCTCGGTTGAGCATCGAGCACCCGAGGTTGGACGATTGACTACGCACTGCTATGACGGTGTACGCTGTGTATTCGATCGCTTCCACTTCTAGCCAGTCCGCGCTAGACGCCACCGGAGCGAAGTACTCTCCCCATGGCCGCCATGCAGGACAGTCCTGAGCGGCAGTCAGGGTCACGAATGACGGCAGAGCGCGTTTCAAGAGCGTGTCATCGTCCTGAACAGGACAGCAGAACCGCTTCGCCTTCCAAATGCTCGTCGTACAATAGCCCTCCTTGATGTCGAAAAGCCACTGCTCGCTGCGAACGATGAGGAACGCGATGATCGCGGTTAAGAAGCCGATTATGGTGACCGCTACCCAGCCAATGCTCCTGTCAAACTGCCTCCGAAGTATCCCGCGCTTCGACTTGCGTCTCCTCAGGGCCGACTGGCGCGCCGAGTCCTTGATCGCGTCGTGCAACCAGTCGATGGAGGTGAACGAGGAGTACCACACGCGGATGCCATTCGTGTTCACGGCGCCCTCCCGCTCCGTTTCCTCCTGGCCGATCACAGGCTTGTCGTAGGCGGAGATGGGACGCTGGGACGCAAAATAGGTGCTATTGCGGAACGATATCGAACGTGGAGTCTGACTGCCAGGTGTGGGCGGACTCGTGTGCCGACCCTTGGGTATGAAGAGATTCGGGAGCGCGCGCAGGGCGTGGCGGGAGCGGAAAGTGGACTTTGACGCGTTAGCGCGTGCAGTCGACGGCAACGTTCCGTAAGAGGCAGCGCGAGCCTCTAGGGTCGGACGGAGAGAAGACGTCTCGTTAGCGACATGCTCGGAACCACTCGCTGCGCCCGAACTGCTGCCAATTTGCAGTAGTCGCTGTCGACGCCACTCGATGGTGGCGGGGCCGCTCAAGGGTCCCGACGGTCCCTCCTCGTCGACTGTGTTGAGCGCGGGGTTGGACGGGCTCTTCCGTAAAGGCATATGCGGGGCACGCCGTGGAGTGAGAGGGGAAAGACTGCTTCCCTTCAATGGTCTGCGCGTCTCTGTACTGAAATAGGACCGTCCTCGAGGCAGTAGAAGCCGTCCAAATCGCCAGCGTGAATGCTGACCGGGACGAATGTGTTATTGTCAATCGCAATCCGGAATCCGGAACGTCTCGCACCTCGGGGAGTCCAAAGCACCCGGAACCTTTCGCCCCGCTTCTAGAGTCTCCCAGAGGCTGCGCGCGATCGACGCCGCTACACCCTGCAATCAGGCAGAAGCTGGAAGGAGCGTGAGCGTTGTGAACGAGTGGTGGGGACCGTCGTCCGACGTCGTCTTCGGCCGTCTTCGAAGGGCTGCCCCGGGCCAAGTGCTAGCACGAGCGCTCATCTGGTCGCGTGCGCGCCAAGACACGTCCATGAGGGCCCCTCACACAGATCTACCCCAAAACCCAGTCCCCGGCATATTTCCTCTTTTGAGCACTGGCACGTGGGATTAGCTTACCCAAGACAGAGCCTGGTGCGCCGCGCACGCCTGCGCCTGGCGTTCAGCAAACGTCCGCGCGAACGCGTTTGCGCGACCGTTTCTCCTCTCTCCCTACTCCAAAAATGACAACAGCAGGACTCGGCGTCCCCGTCAAGCTTCTCCACGAGTCCCTCGGACATGTCATCACCGTAGAGCTCAAGACCGGCCAGCTCTACCGCGGCAAACTCGCGGAAGGTGTGTTTCGTCCTGTCTTTTCTTGTCAGGGAAATACTGACGCCCCTGCGATGCTTTTGTGTAGCCGAGGACAACCTGAATATCTCCCTGAAAGATATCACCGTGACTCAGCGAGACGGCCGTGTGTCCCAGCTTGATCAGGTCTACATCAGGGGAAGTATGGTCAGATTCTTCATTGTCCCGGACATGCTGCAGAACGCCCCGATGTACGTCTTCAATTTAGCTCATGCGATGTGCCAAATGTTCATCGTGCGGCGATGATACTAGGTTCAAGCGTGTAGGACCGAACGCCATGAGGGGACGGGGTATCGGTACGGCTCGTGGAAGGGCCACGATCATGAGAGGTGCGTCTTGTCGTCCTGTGGACTTTTTACGTCTATTGACATCCAGCGGGTCTACTAGCGAATGGTACGCTGTGTTTTACCCTTTGCAGTTATATTCACAGTGCTGAGTGTATCTCTAGCTCGTCGTGGTCGCGGCGTCCCCGCTGCAAGAGGTATCCGTCGATAAATGCTGCCCTGGATTCAGCTGTAGTGCGCTCCTTCTATCGCCTCAAAACTGTTCGCATAGTTGTATTTGTGTTATTAGATCATGATACTTGCATCTCATCTCTGCATCGCGTGCGGCGTAAGGAATCAGACAGAGCCAGTCTCACAGTATTCTCACAAGCACTTCAAACGATCCAAATAAATATGCGCGAATGATAGCATCCATCCGACATAAAACCATAGCTGTCCTAATCGTACACGTCAACGGGCTGATCACGACAACATGCTCAGTGACACGCCATGCCCTTGCTGTCCCCTCCTCCCGACAGGACGGCGTCGATGTCGATGTGGGTGGAAAAGATGAAGTGGCCAAGAGCAGCACCAATAACAGTAGCGAGGATGAGGTATGCCTGGGTAGCTGGGTGTCAGACAGACCTTGTCGAACGTGTGACCGACAGATACTCACATTGTAAGTCATGAAGATCAGCATGAGGAAGAACGACAAGAAGACCTGCACGCCGTAGAGCGATGCGCGGGTAACACGAGCGGTGAAAGGAAGCGGCGTCCTAAACGAAGGTCAAGGCAGGCTCGTTAGCACGCCCAGCTCATCCTACCACGAACACCAGCGCTGTCCCAGGATGCGTGCAGCAGCCAGGCATCGCGCCCTAGAAACGACAGCGCCGCGTCCTGACCAAGCCCTCGCACTCACCCGGTGTGCCCCTTCGCAACCAGAACTCCAGTCAACAAGCCCGCCTCCTCGGAATCGATCTCAGGCGAGTCCCGACCACTCACCGGACCGTGTGCACGGGCGGCGGCGGCCTTGCCCTTGCCCTGCGCGCTGAGCGTCGCGGCGATGCGCCGGTCGAGCCCGCGCTGCGCGACGCGGAGGTACTCGTAGAGCACCCCGAGGGCGACGACGGCGGCGCACGAGAACACGAAGCCGGCCTTGGTGGAGATGTGCCACGAGCGGAAGACGACGCATGTGTCCTCGATCTGCGTGTTCCAGAGCATGTTCATCGAGCACGTCGGCCCGGATGGCATTGGCATCGGCATGTCGTGCCCTTCGTGGCCGCCGCCGTGTCCGCCGTGGTCTCCGTGGTTCATGTTGGTGCTTGTCTTGGGGTCAGGTGGAGAAGGAGAAGGCTCAGGGAAAGAGGGGGAGATAAGTAGCAGGCGAGGGCGCTGGCTACCGCTACGCAACGAGAGAAGACTGGACTGGCGTGCGAGCCTCGGTCACGGTGTCGAGGCTAGGGACCAGGAAGCGCCCATGGTACTACGCTCGGCAGAGTCCGACGACGCGTACGCTCTGGTGTCGGGACGCGTCAACTGCCGTCAGCTTCAGATCGACCTCTATTCTCTATCTTCCTCCTCCTCCACTACCTAACCTTCATCATGGTAAGCTTCATTTTGCACTCAATTGGTAAAGATACTAATGCGAAGCTTGTAGGCCAGACGTTACGACAGTGCGTACGCGAATACGCCTTCCGGGACCATACTAATGCGTACATCACATTACAGGTCGCACCACCATCTTCTCGCCCGAGGGTACGTCTCGTGGGTTTCTGAATGTGTACAGGCTACTAACCTGTGTCTTGCTTAGGGCGTTTATACCAAAGTAGGTTTGTTGTGTAATTCACATAGGGCTTGTCCTCATAACCCGGATGGCAGTCGAGTACGCCATGGAGGCCATCTCGCATGCTGGAACGGTCCTTGGCGTCCTATCGAAGGATGGCGTGGTACTGGCCGCGGAGAAGAAGGTTACCGGAAAGCTCCTCGATATGTCAATCGCGAAGGAAGGCGGGTATGGCGGGAGTGGCGAGAAGATCTTTCTGTTGAACTCGTGCGTCCTCATCACCTGCTCTTCTGTCAACTGTTCTCTTGACCTTACTCACACCGCTGTAGAAATGTTGTCGCTGGTGTTGCTGGGATTGCCGCAGACGCGAACTCTCTCGTGAACTACGCACGACAAGCCTCGCAAAGACACCTGTTCATGTATAACGAAGACATCCCTGTAGAGCTTCTGGCTCAGCGACTATGTGACCTCAAGCAGGGATACACCCAATATGGAGGTACGTATTTTGTCCTTGATGTACCCCGCACGGCCATCCGCCACGCCTCTATCCGCACGGGCTCACCGTTGTTCGTTTGCCCCTCATCCAGGTCTCCGGCCATTCGGTGTCTCTCTCCTGTATGCCGGCTACGATCCACATTACGAGTTCCAGCTCTACCACTCAGACCCCTCCGGCAACTACTCTGGCTGGAAGGCGACATGTATCGGCGCGAACAACGGTACGGCGACCTCCCTGCTCAAGCAGGAGTACAAGGAGGACATCACGGTGGAGGACGCGATCGAGCTCGTGCTGAGGACAATGAGCAAGACGATGGACAGCACCACGCTAGGCAGCGAGAAGCGTACGTCATCTCCCCTCTATTTCACCCTCCCCGTGATCTCCGGACGAGGGTCGGCGTGCTCATCCGGGTCTTGCGCTCACGCCTGTATCTTTGACATGTCCTCCGTAGTGGAGTTTGCGACCCTCACCCTCGACGCGAACAAGAATCCCAAGGCGAAGATCTACAAGCCGGCCGAGATCGATGCGCTCCTGCAGAAGCACGGGCTGGGGAAGAAGGAAGAGGACGCGGACATGGCGGCGTGATAACATCGACTAAGGTTGCCCCAGTGCAATCTGACATACCTCTCGCCGCCTTGTCCAGCTACGACCCGCGGGGAAGCGCAGGAGGGAGAGTGTCGAATCTGCACCGGGCCAACCCCCTTGTAGGATTGCTGGTTTGGGGCGGACTTGCTGTACAATGTACAAAATACGACCTTCGCATCCCTCTCTGACACATCTACGAGTGAGTCTGATTGTCCGCAGTCGCACGAAGATCACAAGGTTTGTAAGTACTGGTAACAGGCGCGACGGCACCCTTGCCTGTGATACAGCAGGGCTGAGCGCTCTGCGCGGTGGCATCCTCGTCATACGCTGCAAGGTGGGACTCTGTCTCGTCCTCCCGTCCCCCTCATCGGGTCTGCAGACTCAGCCTGAAACATGCTTGCCTTGTTCTAACCACGGTTGGCAACGATTCGCCCCCCCTTTTTTTTTCTTAGCCGTGGCCCCTTCCCGCTAGAAGATCGATGCTATCGCCGCCCAAAGACCTCCTCGCAGCTCGCGCACCCCGACTGAAACAGAGTCGTGGCCGTCTTCGCTGGACCCTTGGCGCAAAGACCTCTCCCCCCATGCGCGCGCGCCCCGGCGTAGTCACGCTCCGGGACAGCCGAGTCTGCGGGCGCGACTGTCCGGGTACCCTCGGGCGAGTGCTCGGGCATGGTGCGTGCGCGCGGCCCCTTGCGAGCGGGACTGAATGGCAGGGGTCTGCGAGAGGTGCGGTGGGGCCTCTGCCTCCCGCGTGAACATGGCACGGCGCGCCCGTCGCCCAACCCGAATAACGCATGCGTGGTTATGTGTAAATGCGTCTTCCGATCGTGACAAGGGTGCCGCAGCGCGCCGGGGCCGTCCCTTCGCAGGACGGCCATTTATGCTATGTACTAGTCGGACGCGCGCGCGCTCGGCATCGTAAACAAATCTGACACCCAGCGCGCGAAATAGAACGTCGAAAACGAAGGAGCATGTACGCGAATATGCCGTCTCGCGGTAGAAGCACCTATGTTTGAAATTGCTGCGACAGCACGACAGCGGCACGCACGGCGGGGCCTACGCACCGGGGCGAAATCGCCGGGACTTTGCTGCGACAGTCCTCAAGAACAAACGAAGCTGCCGCAAGTATTGGTCAAAATCCTCCGGAGAGAGGTTCCGTGTATGGTGACGGATGTGGATCAACATACTGTGAGCCAGGGACGAACAGCTGTGTGAAGGGAAGCCAGAACTCAAAAGAATGGCAATCGACATGATATATTGACAGTACAGCGCACAGCAACGCGCGGTGACATCACCACCGCAGACAAACAACATCGAAAGCCGTTACAACTGATATCACCAGCGTATGCTTCTTGCGTGTAACACTTGCTTGAGGGCCGCGGAGCCTTGACGGCGAGTGGGGGCGTTTAATCGGTCGATGAGAGGCGCCGAAACGGACGGACAAAGGGATTTTGTTCGCTTTGCCACAACGGCAGGAGGACGCGCCGCTCAGTCGTGCATCTCGTCGTCCTTGGCAACAAAGGCCTCCTCGTGCTCGTCCTCCTCTACGGCGTCCTCGGGCTTGAGGCCGGCCTTCGCGAGCGCCTCGGGGGAGGTGTAGTCGACGCGGACCCCGCGCGTGCGGCGGCCCCCAGTGTTGATGATCACGGACGGGTCAATTTCCTCGAAGTCCTCCTCCTATACGCGTCGGACGCGTAGAATGCAAATTTGAATGAATGCTCAGCTCGGGACCGATGACAGCCGGTAGCAGAGACGCGTTAGGACCCTGCAGGACTGACCTCGGCCATTTCCTCGTCCTCGTCTTCCTCTTCTTCTTCTTCGTCTTCGTCGTCCTCATCGTCATCATCGATCACGTCTTCCTGGACGGCCTTGCCCTTGCCCTTGCTGGCGGGTGGCGAGGTGGGCGCGGGGTGGTCGCCGTTGGCAGAGGAGGCCCTGTATGTTCACCACGGCTGAGACATCACGCTGAAGGCCACACAGGGCAAGTACGTACGAGAAGCTAGTCGCGTCGGTAGACATGGCGGGTCAGAGAGAATGCGTGCAGGGGTGCGGTGGCGCGCAGCGGCAGACGATGTATGCGCTGCAGGTGGTGGAATATGCTCAAGGCGTGTAAGATTCGGACGCGTCGCGACGCGTCCGCTGACCCTCAACTGTTTGCCGATGTTTGGGCCCCATTCTTGTCACGTCCCGTGTCCGGCGAATCGCCGGGCGCCCGGGAAGAGGCCGGCTCCGAGACCGGCGGAGGCATTGTGGGAGCGATCAGACCCGATTTGTCCGCTCTGAGTCGTTGGGGCTTTAACCGCACATTCAGCTGAGCGTGCGCAGTGCGTTCATGTCGGGCTGGTGGGAGGCTGGGAGCCGCGCCGGCGGTCGGAGAGCGTCCCTGCGTTTCACATTAGCCGTGGATGGACTCGCACCGAGTTGAGGGCGTGTCGGGCGAGTGTTGCTGGAGCTGGAATGGTTGCTAGATCGGCTCGTGATATGAACTTTGCCTGGGTGCGGACACAGTCACTGCGCCGTGTTTACAGATGACGTCGTCCCTCGGTGCCTTGACGGTATCGCCGAGGGGTGTGCTCGCGTGCGCAATGCAGGCTGTTTCACAAGTACTGTGGTCGTCGGGAGGAAGACGAACGGACGAAGATGAAGGGGAGCGAGAGGACGCCTGGCAGGGCCAGGAGAGAGGCCTGATTAGGGCAGATTGTATTGGGCGTAGGTTCTGGATAGAAAACGGCGAGTATGTGGCGAATAGTATGATGTAAAGATGCAGTGATGGCCATGTGCGTTGCGGCGTGAGGCTGGGGCCCGGGGCAGGGCGCGCTCGTAGAATGCAAATGGATGCATACGGATCGACATCTCAGCCTCTCCCAGCACCGCGCTGTCTCTGAGCCCGTCCAGTCCGAGTCTGAGTTCTTTCTGCGTGTGTGTGGCACTGTGTGTGCATCGCGGACTCTATGAGCTCCCACTGCCGTCCAGGCCCACGCGCGATAACCCCGTTCCTGCTTGGCTCTCCCCTCGCATCTCCCCGCCCACTGTCAGACGCCGCCGGCCACCATCATCAGTTAGAGACAGAGCCTGAGCCTGCGCCAGAGCCAGAGCCAGAGCCAGAGCCAGAGGCGGCCAAGTCCCCGACAGAGACCCAGGATCCGCGTTCACCTGCCCATCCCTCCGCCCATTTGTCACGATCCCTCTCTGCCCGAAGCGCCAGGCTGTCTTCCTCTCTCCTCCCCGCCCTCCGCCTCGCCGGGCTTGCTCCTGACCCCGACCGCGACCGTGTCCGCGACAGAGCCCGCGACCGCTCCTCCCGTGACATGCGCTCCTCCTCCTCCCGCTCATCCAAGGACACCCACACAAAGCCCCGCCCCATCGTCGTCCTCAAGCTCTCCGGCTCCTCCTTCCTCGACACCGTCATCAGGGACGACAAGTCCAAGGACCCCATCTACATCCTCGAGACCACCGCAGAGAACACCCACATCTTCCGTCTCGACCATCCTCGCGACGACGCCGTCAAGGCGGCCACCGTCCAGTGGCCCGCACACCCCGTCCGTGTCAAGGGCAAATCAGGCAGATCCATCCAGTTTGGCAATGGCAGCTGGAGGGAAGCCGAGGACGTGCTCAAGAGCGGGCCCCTCGGAAACACTGCGTACGCATATCCACCTCCTCCCACACCCGCTTCTCCACTAACTGTCATATCTCACTCGAACAGCATACGCAAGTTCAACCTCCCGCATTATCCAAACAGTCTCAAGTGGAAGCTCATTCCTGGTAATTGCTTCTGCGTACGTGCGCCTCCTGTTCGCGTCATTAGCGTCTCCTGCTCACGTTTTCCCCCTCTGCCGTTGCTCTATACATCCAGTGTGTAACGAACGCCGTAAAAGGCCCCGTCGCCGTCCTCGATGCTGCCACGCTCAGTGCTCCCCCACGAATCAAAATCTACGACTCGCTTATCGACAAGGAGACAGCGCGCTCCCAAGACAATTACAAGGGCGTCCCAACAATCCTGCTCGACTACCTTGTTACCACCGCCCTCCTGCTCGTCACAGACGTCCAAGAATGGCTTGACCGCCCAAGGGAAGCACGTATCCCCGGCAGTAATTCCTACACCATTCAGCGCTGGCTTGCTCTCATACACCACACACCGGCGCCTCCAGAACCAGACCACCCCACCGTAGACCTCAGCCTCACAGTCCCTTCGACCCCGCCACACTCTGCCACATTCCCGTCTCCAGGAGGTGGTTGGGATGCACAGAGTAGGGTGACGTCTATGTCGGGATCGAACGGTTCGGGATCAGGTGCGTCATACATCGGTGATCCGTTTACGCCAACGACCCCCGCTACGCCTGCCACGCCTGCGACGTCTGCACACTCGTCTATGTTGTTCTCTCAGCCTGGGGAGGATGTGCCTCCTGTGCCGCCAATGCCCGCTTCGTCGAGCTCGTCTCCTTTCGTGTTTAACGTCAATGAGCCCCGTCCTCGACAACGTCCCAAATCGAATCCGCAAACGTCCTCCTCGCATTCCCCTACTTCGTCTACGTCAACGGCACAGGCAACACGATTACCGAATCCCCTCACTATGCCCATTAGTGTTCCTGGAGCGTCTTCTCTGCTATCTCAGTCCGCGCCTGTCTCCGCCTCCGCCCCTACTTCCCCGTACCCTACTTCTGCAGGGCCATCGACGGCTTCTTCGTCTTCCTCGGGCTCACGACTCGGACGGCGCCAGCTGCCAACACCTCCGGCTCCTGCCCCTCCGAACTCGTTCGCGCAACCCTGGCTGTATCACTCGAGCTCCTCGTCCTCCTCGGCTTCTGCGTCTACTGCCACGCCTGCCCCCACTTCTTCTCTGCCGTCACCACCTCCTGGAACTCCGACGACATCGGCGGGCGCGAGTGTCAACACGCCATCGCGTACGGCCGCGCGCGTCTCTATGCGCGGAACCCTGCGTACAGCAGCGATACCGCCACCACCCCCTCCACCCTCAGGCTCGATCCCTCTCCCGCCAAAATTGGCACAGGAGCAGCGCGGGTACGCAAGTCCGCGGCCACGCACGGCGCCCGACCTGCAGGACGGGAACAGGCGGAGACATTCCGCAGGGGAGTTTGGGGGGTACGCGCAGGCGGCGGCAGACGAGGGCACGCCCGCGAGCACGCACCCGTACGCGCAGGCGTACACGTCGCTGCGCGGGCGAGACGTTGACGAGCGCGAGGAGCTCGCGGCGCAGATGCGCGGGCTGAGTGTGGGGCCGTCGACGTCGACTGCGCCGATGGGACACGGACACGTGCGCGCCCCGAGTCAGCCTGCGCCGGACTACGACACGCACTCCTTCGTGAACATGCCGCCGCCGGTTCCAGCGCTCTCGCCCTTGCCTATACCGCACGGCGCAGGGGGCTCGGGGATGCGCTCGCCCCCTGGCGGTTCTGGCAGGCGCGTGCTCACGGTGGTGAATGGCGATGCGAGCTCGCTGCCCGCTGAGGACCCGGGGCTGCTTCTGCACTCGGAGCGGGAACGGGAACGACGGATACGGCAACAGCAACAACAACAGCAGCAGCAGCAGCAACAACAACAACAACAACAGGCAAGGATGTCGTACGCGGACAGCGTGTACGAGATGCCCCCGCCGGCGTATGACGCGATCGACTTCTCGGTCCCGCCTGTCCCGCCTTTGCCTCGTCAGCAGCAGCCGCAACAAGCAACGCAGATGCAGCAGCTGTCGATACCGCAGATGGCGCCGGTGCCGAGTACGCCGTTACCGCGGACGCCTGTAGAAGAGCGCGGGGAGGGGCCGCGCGGGTCATAGCACCCGCGCATGTAACCCGCGTTGTCAAAGTCCGCGGAGTGGGAGTCAGCCATAGGACCCCGCATGTCATTTTCACTCTCTTTGTTTCTCGTCACGCTCATTAGACTTTCCCTAGTTTCATGTCCACAGTTCCGGTACACTGTTGTCCAATCTTATACGCTCGTTTTGTTGCATCATCCATTCCTTCCTCTGTTTCGTTCGCTCATTCCATCATTCGCTGTCTTTCTTTTCTCACTGTGGCTGTTAGTGTCCCCCGTCTGCACACACATCTGTCTTTTACAGCTGCAATGTTCTTGGCCCCCACGCATATGCTTCTTCCTGTTCCACTTCACGTGTCGGTCTCCCTCCATCTGTTGCTTGCATCCAATACGTGCGGGATCTTGACGATCTTGGCTCACTTCTCTGTATCATACGCTACAACACGTTTCTCTCTCTATTACTGCCCCACCGCTGCCGCACAATTCTCTGCCCCCTCTCGCCCTCCCCCTCCCCATCAACCCGTGCATGCCCGCTCTCCGCCCCGGTCTCGGGTCTCCAACTCCTCTGCTCCTCCTACGCGGTCGTTGGGCGTGGACTGCGCTGGCCAGCAAAACAAGACTGCTCGCATATCGTACTCGCGCCGGTCCGTAATACGCATACCCTCCGCCACAATACAATATATCCCGTTGCTCGCCCCGGCCCCCCAATCCCCTCCGATCCCATCACCATCGCCGTCGTCCAGGAACCCCCTCCTTCTCCCCGTGTCCCCACGGCCCCGGGTCATGTCGCCGCTTCTCCCACCCGCGGGCGTGCTTCGTCGGCTGTGTTCACTTTGGGCTGGGTACGCTTGTCTCTCGACCCCGCCTGTGCGCGAATGTTAGATACGGCAACGCGAAGTTCTCCCTCGCTTTCCTTTTCACGTCCATCGTTGCCGGTCTTCGGAACGGGGAGATGCCCGTGGGGGACCCGGGCCGCTTCCTTCGGTATCTCGTAAAGTCATCTTTAGTTTGGCGTTTGGCAGTTTTCATATGTCGTTCTGCTCTCCTTTCAGCACGGCACACGCGTCATATCCGTGCGGGCAGGGCCGCAGCAGCCACTGTCGACGTGCTTCTGTCTGTCCGTCTGTCTGTTCGGATTGTTGGACTTCTTCTTCTCCCCGGTCGTCCCATTGGTCGCTCCACTTCATTGTGTTACTTACTGTTTCCGTGCGCCCCCGCTTCCCACTTCCGAATTCGGTCACCATCGCAATCGCATATCCGTACGCAATCTATTACCTTACGTCCGGCCCCGCCCGAGTAGCGTGCCGCAGTCTGTTATATATTGTACAAAGATCTCCTCATTGCACCAAACCCCCAATACATGTACTACTACACGCTCGCATCTAATCGTCGTCCTTCTCTCTTCGCCCTATACATACATACATGTAAGGCCCTCTATAAACCTCCCGCGAATAGCAATAACATAGCAGCCGTCCTTATACGTACCCTCCCACGCCCGACGACAGACAACCGACAACTGCGGGGGCCGTCAGAAAACAACAAGCGGCTGCGTACGTCAAGCTTTGTCTCTGTGTGTTCGATAGAAGGGCAACCAGGATGCAGAAGCGTCGGCTGGCGCGGCGCGGACTGCTAGCCGAGCCCGGACGCGACGTGCGGACGGCCACCGAGGGAAATGGGTTCCCAGCGCGACAGACACATGACAGGGCGCGGGAGTCGACCAAGAGGGCGGATGCGATGAGGAGCGCTGGCCTCGACTCTCGACTCGGAGCTCAGCGGCGACAGGTGGGTGTGGACACTGGACGTGGCGCGCTGCTCTCCCCCTCCCTCCCATCGGAGGGGAGGAAGGGCCGTACATTTGCGGTGGCGTGCGCGCATGTGGGCTTGTGGGCTCTAACAACGTTTATGCCCCAGGCCGACGGCTGTGGCGTCCCCTCCGGACGTCGATACATTTTGAGACCGCAGGACTCGACGGGCACCGATCGTCTGGGCGTGGAACTCCGCGTGGTCGTTTTTGGGATGCTTGTGGGGTTGGTTTGGATGAACGTGATATCGAGCCACGCGTTCGGCGACCGGTTGTTGCCTCGGTGCCTTGATGGGGGCTAAGTCTACACACTTATCAAGTGCTGGGTACCTGGCGACTGGCCCTGGGATCGATGTTCAGTGGACAGCTTTCCCCGGACGTCGGTCAGCTACTTACCGAAACGAAACTCAGGATCTGCTGCTCTTTGGTTGCCTGACATACTGTACGTGTAGTCGATGATTGACTCTATTGCTACCGAACGTCAATTCCTTGTGTTGCGCTATGCGTCAAGAGCCCAGAGCTGATTAAGCCCCGGGTCACGACAACGACGTCAACTTCGAGATCAGTGCGCATGTCCCCCTTGGAGTATGAATGCTGAGAAGCCTGTGACGAACCATCGCACATCGACTCGACGACAGGATAGCACGTATTTGATAGTATGCCTAGCGCCGTCCGGATCTCGGGTACGTCTCACTGGGCCGGCCTCAAGACGACGGCGAAGAGGACTCCCGATTGCAAGCCCTAGATTGGCTGGACGCTACTAGGAACAAAATATGAGCTTGACAGTGCAGTAGTGAATTCGAGAGCATACAGTGAGAATTTCCGTCCCAATAAAGGCCCTGAATGTAGTCATGCATGTTATGGGCCGACAAGTCGTGGCTTCGTGCATACCATGCTGCCATGTCGCAAATCGAGGTTGACGTAGATGGACTATCGTTCATCTTTTTTCGAAGTAAGACACTATGGAGCATGTTCCCAAACCACAACAGTCCAAGCCGGAACATGGAGGCGGGCAATCGCGTGCCAGCAGTCTCACCGGACCGCGACTGGACGGAGACCATGGCGGATGCCATGCGGATCCAACAAACTTATCCTTTGATGACAATAACATAAGCTACAATCGCGACCCCAGTGTTCGGACAAACCGCCGTGGCTCCCGCACCTGCTGTCCGATAGAGCTATAAATTTGCACAATGATGCAACGCGTAGAGACTCAAGTCAGATAAAAAAGAATGGCGTGGATTGAGCGAGGTGTTGTTGCGATCTGTTAGCAGGAAGAGGTTCAGTAGATGAGCCATGTGCAATGTTGGTACTCGGTCCAGCTTCCTTGTCGAGCGCTCATCCCCGAAAAACTTTGGCACCGTTTCCTAGGAATCCTGTATATGATGCATATTTTTCCGAAGGTATTTGAGGTACAGAAGATGTGCAGTAGAATACCGGCCATCGAGCGTGACCTTGCGCCACAAGACGGTCCTTCATTGTCAATCTCCGCTCGAGCGCCTGTGCGCGCGAATCTGCACACTCGGGTCGGAGTCTTAACCGGCAGTTCTCGGCATATGTGACTTTTCGTGACCACTCCGCGGAGAAATGTCCGAACACTGGGGTCAAGACCCACTCCTCGCCCTCCCGTCCTCTCACTTCTGAACGGAGTACTTTCATATTCCTCAAGTGTGTTCTATCACGGTAGATG